GTTTTGATACAAACATATAGTGCAAAAAAAAAAATTTTTTTTATAGCTTTATGAAAAATATAAAGAAGATCCTCCTATTTCCAGAGTTATGCCTCCTATTGCAGGCAAGATTTCTTGGGCGCGTCAGTTAACATACAGTATTCGTGAACCAATGAGTTACTTTGAAACACGTCAATCTACCTTATCTAAAAAAGATGCATTAAAAGTTGTTCACATGTTTAATAAAGTGGCACAAGTTTTATTGCAGTTTGAGATGGTGTATCTTGATGCATGGTGTAAAGATGTTAATACTATAAAATTAGGTCTGAATTAAATTCAAATTTAAAGAATATTTTAAATATATGAAACTTAAGTACTTGTTGTATATGTATGTATTTGTATGTATATGTATATTTGTATACACACACACACACACACACACACACACACACACACACATATATATGAATGCACACTTTGCATTCAATACTATGCTATATGAGAGTCTATATATAAAATTAGAAGAGTATGCATACCCTTCTAATTTTGTATATAATTTTGAATGATTTGTTGACATGGTGCAGAGCTTTTCTAAAAGTTGGTTGTAACAAGTAGAACTGGTTATAACGAGTAGAACTGGTTATAACGAGTAATAGGAAGTGCATTCGCCCTATATGAGTATCTTAGCAATAGCAAGAATGCATTTGCAGTTGATAGTTAAAGCCTATAAGTTATTCAGAGGTTTAAAATAAAAGAAAGGCAAATCTGTTGATGTGCATTTAACCAGTTTGGGTTAACTAATGCTGACCATAATTGAAAATGAAGAATTATTGCAACAAGTATTTACAGCTAGATTGCCCAATAAAACCTCAAAGCAACTACAAGCACAAGTAATAATATCTAGGATTAATTTGCAGGATGTATAAAACTATGCAAGAGTACTTATGTTGAAAGTAACAAAAGACAAATATGTTTTGACAACGATCTCTAGAATCTATAAAAAGGTTAATAGATCATCTGCCACTTACTTTAACTGCTATAATTGCAGCCTGGACATGTAGCCCAAATATGTTCCCCCAAAAAAAAGGCATTAAAGCTTTGAGTGTCACATGTGATAAAACCAAGATGGAGAAAAATTGGTGACAAAATTTCAATGCTTTTTATATCAGGGTTACATGTCTCGGTTTTGGGTTAAATTCTGCACTAAAAATTGTCTTCAATCTTAGGTTAAGTGCTGAGTCTCAATGCAAATGTTAGTGAAGCAACTGACCACTACATTTACAATCTACTTGTTAATTTGAAAAAGACATCAGTTAAAAATGTTGTAAACCATTTGGCACAGGATGGATTGTTAACAAGTAAGCCAGAGAAATGTAATACTGCATGAGTTTTGGGTTTGTAGCTATTCAGAAACAAAAAGAAAGAGCTTTGTTATTAATGATGTCAGACATATTAATATGGTTGAGTTAGAAGCTGTGGGATCTAGTGGTTAAGTGAAACATAAGTAATCTTTCAGTACTCACAGAATAACAGTTCATGGATGATTAAAAAGTGTGCTGACTGAAAGTCATTGGGTGGAATCAAATGGACTACCAGAAATGCTATTTAAACAAAAATTTTCTCTATTGTGAGATTTGATGAAAGAATACAGCACGAACATGAAAAGGGGGTTCTGTCCTCCAAAAAAAAAGTTGATGATTTGACAAGAGTTGACCAAAGACCTGGTAAAATGAGCTTTCAAATTCAAAAGTGAATGTTGCAAATGAAATTTGCAAATGTCCCTCAAAGCATCATTTTGGCATTAATTAGATAATGATTACAATGCAACAAAGTATTGAGAAATTTGTTGAAGAATGTGTGAGCAAATGTTGTCAATGTAACTCAGTTAATCCAGCATCAGTAAAATGGGAATATGGAGTGCTAGATGTACCTGACATGTGGTATTGTATTGCTTTTGATGGGATCCACTAAAAAAAGGTCACCATATCTAACAATGATTGAATCAATCAAGTCAGTTTGCAGTCATGAGAAAGATGTCTCGCAAGGATACTAAAAGTATAGTAATAAACTGGATTTTTCGGTCATTGTAATTAATCCAAAGTCTCAACTAAGGACTCCTTTTGTGGACTCAATTATGCATAACAAAAGCACCAACAAGGACACCATCCATTTGGAACATGGCACTTTTTTTAGTCTGATATTTTACAGCTGTTGTTGGAATCAGCTTTTCTGAGAGCTAAAACAGAGTTTGGGAACTCTGTTTTAGCTCTTTAGGAAGAGTTGTACCCTCATTAATAGTTAACAGGATGAATTGCATAGTATATCATAGAGGTACAAACAAAAACCCACAAGTGGAGTCATGAAGATCCAGCATCGATTCTATGCAGGAAGTAATGTAAAGCAATTAAAAAACCTACGCTAATAAAGAAGGGGTGAGAGGCTGGTCAACAAAGTTATTCTGCTTACCCATAAAGTCTTTGCCTAGGAGGCCTTTACAAGATAGTTTCTGGATGCAGTTAACATCCTGCTAAGAAGAGTATTTTCATTGAGACATAATCTCTAGCCTTTAATTAAACAAAAATTAAAAGGTAATTTAAGTCAGAGTTTATTTCTCTTATTCTTTGGCTAAAAAAGCAAACCCTACAAAGCAATAGAACATTGTTCTAGTAGTACTGGGTTACATGTTACCAATAGAAGGGCAGGCTTTTGCTGGGAAGCGAGAGCTTTAGCTCTTGCTCTTGCCTACACTCCCCTAAAACAGTTTATGGGAGCAATTTATGGCTCTCACTAATGTATAATTTTTTCTCAAAAATATAATTATCATTGTAACTAAAATAGAAAATACAGTCATTTTAATAATTATTTTTAATAATTCTTAAAATGCCTGCATTCTATTACAATAAGAAAATATAAAACATTTTTTTTATAAGCAGTAAAAACAACGCTTGTCGCAAGAATTTTTTCATGCTGCAATAAATGACACTTGTTATGTATATATTCTTGTACTTTTAACATAACAAACATATGCTTGACTTAGCGCGATGTCTACAAACGTGCAAACTTTTGTTAAAAAAAGACAGAAAAATAAACGTCACGTTTCTATATTTTTGCATATGCAATTTGCATATGCGTTTGCTTAAAATTTTTAGAAACACACTCTTTACTTTATTAATTTTTTTTTCATTCAAAAATGAATGAATTTGCAATTACTTTAAAAGAAACCATTCTTAAACATTATTGCTTCTATAGCATGCTTTTTTTTTTTAATTTGCTAATTTTTTTTAAAGCGAAGTAATGTTTATTTGCATGTTAAATCACTTTTAAAATGTTTGAAACAAATTTTTAAGCTTAGAATTAATATGTTTATTATAGTTTTTATAACTTATTAGTTTTTATAACTTTATAGTTTTTATAACTTATTAGTTTTTTATAACTTTATAGTTTTTAACTATATTATTTTAACTATATTATTTTATAACTTTATAGTTTTTATAACTTATTAGTTTTTATAACTTATAGTTTTTATAACTTATGCACGCGTGGTAAAGATGGCGGAGTTATAGATAGAATTGTAAATAAGAAAAAGTTTATCAAATAAAGTAATATATCTTTACATGACAGCAATTAAGAGGAAAAAATATTTATAGAAAAAGAAAAAGACTAAAAAAAAAAAAAGACTAAAAAGTAAATAAAAAATTTATCGGAAAATTAATTAGAAAACCAAAGTACTTAAAGTTTAGAGATGTATAAGAACTTCATAGACTCAAATAAATATAATTAAAGAACAAGATACATTACAAAATTAATAAACTAAGAGAAAGTAAAGAAAGAATCAAGTTAATGAAAGAAAAAGATCAAGAGTTTTTTACATTTGTTTTGACTATTTTTTGCTTTAAATATTATTTGTAAATTTAAGTATTTTCCAGGATTTATTTTTATTATTCACTTTTTGATTATTATCAGCAGTTATCATTGTTATTATTATTATAATTAAATATTTATCATTATTATTAAATAATATAGCATTATTTATCCTATATCTATCCATTATTTACCTCTTATTACAATTTACATAATTTATCTTATATAAATGTTATTTACCTAATATTACTACTTATCTCCTTCTTTACTTATTATTACTTACCTTATTATCATCAAATTATTTAAATAACATATGTTATTTATATTATACTATGTCTAAAGCTACTAGAGGTATTAATATACCTAAATTTATATTCTAAATCAAGTTAATAATATTATAATTTTATCTAGCTGTAATACTTATTCTCCTGTGTAAAGTATTTAAATCTCTTATATCTTACTATCATTTCTTTATAACTGATCATTCCTCAATATTTAAAATAGCGACCATTTCTAGATTAACATTTCTTAGTTTTAATCTCTCAGTTGCTTTATAAATATATAGTAGATATCTTTATTTAATTATTTTTTCTCTATACTTTGTTTAAGCATAATAAGTCATGTTAATAGGAAATCTTTGTAAATGCTGCAATAAAACAGTGGTTGATAGCCATAAAGGTATTATATGTAATTACTGCTCTTCTTGGTTGCACCCTAAATGTAATTATATTAACAAACACACCTATAGCTTTATTGAAAAAGATTCTACTGACTGGTATTGCAGTGACTGCATCAACAAAAATTTGCCATTTTGTTCACTTTCTGATTTTGAGCTCTCTTTAACTTTATCGTCTCAGACTATACCAACCAATAATTTAAAATCTCTAAAATCTCCCCCTCACTTCAAAAAATTATTCAATAATATAAACAAAATCTCCAACAAAAGTATTAACTATAAATATTATGACATTCTTGAACTTAATAAAGTTCTTAATAATAGTTGTAATTTATACCTACATCTAAACATTGCTTCGCTCCCTTATCACATTGACAGTCTCCACAGTCTAATAAGCTCTCTTACCACTCTTCCAATAGTAATTGGTATCTCTGAATCAAGACTAAATATCAACAATTCCAGTAAAACTGATGTTAATATAAATGGTTTTACTATTGAGCATAGTCCTACTGAGGCCAAAAAAGGTGGTGCTCTTCTATATTTACGCTCAAACTTAAACTATTTTATTCGTAGTGATCTAATAGTATACTCTCCGAAATACCTGGAATCTATCTTTGTTGAAATTGTCAATCCCCTAAAACAAAATATTATTGTTGGCACTATATATTGACATCCATCAATGAACTCTAATGAATTCATTACTGATCATTTTAATCCCTTGCTTGAGAGGCTTAGTCTAGAAAATAAACAAGTTGTCCTTATGGGTGATTTCAATATGGACTTGTTAAATTACAATGAATTGAAAGTTATCTCTAGTTATCTTGATACATTATGTTCTTATTCTTTTATCCCTTCTATAATTCAACCTACACGTATAACTGCTACATCTAAGACACTCATTGATATATTTTTTTTTAATTTCCAAACTCCTGATTTAATTTCAGGCAATCTTACAATATCGATTTCTGATTATATGGCGCAGTTTATCTGCATTCCTTGTCTTTCTCCCAAAAAAAACTAAGGAGGTAATATTCAGACGAACCTTCCAAAATTTCGATAATAAAAAATTTATTAAGGATTTCTCTAATGCAGACTGGCAAATACAAATTACAAATAACAATAATGTAAATGAATTATTGCACTATTTTTTTAAAACATTTAAAAAAATTCTTGATCAACATGCACCCTATAAAAAACTAACTGCTAAACAAATTAAACTTAAATCAAAACCTTGGATCACCAATGGAATTCTAAAATCAATATCTATTAAAAACAAACCATATAAACAATATATAAAAGCAAAAAATCATAACATTAAAATTCATATTTTTAATAAATTTAAATGGTACAGAAATAACATTTGCAATTTACTAAAACTTTCTAAAAAATCATATTACATCAACTTTTTTTACAATCATCTTTACAATGTAAAAAATACTTGGAAAGGTATAAAAGAAATTATTAATATCAACCCTTCTTCCTTTTCCAGTAAATCTATTAATCTCAAATTTAATGGCAATACAATTTCAGACAGCAAAGCTGTATCAAACATATTTAATAATTACTTTGTAAATACTCAACAAACACTGTTAACAAAAATTGTTTCACCTAAATGTAATTTTTCAGAATATTTAAATAACCCAAATATTAACTCCTTTTTTATAGATCCAGTCACTGAAAATGAAGTATCAAATCTTATAAAAAATTTACAAAGTAAAAAAAGTTAAGGTATCAATAGTATTCCCACTTTTTTTCTCAAACTTGTTTCCCATATCATCTCAAAGCCTCTCTGTACAATGATAAATAGCTCTTTTGAAAATGGACTTTTTCCAGATGTCTTTAAAATAGCTAAAGTTATTCCACTTTATAAAAAAGGCTCTAGAACTGACCACACTAACTATCATCTGATTTCGCTACTCTCAAACATCAGTAAAATATTTGAAAAAGCTATGCACAACAGACTTTACAACTTTTTAGATAAATATCAATGTCTTTACAAACACCAATATGGGTTTCAAAGCAAGCATTCCACAACGCATGCACTTATTGAAATCACTGAGGTTATCAGAAAAGCTCTTGACAATAAGCTTTTTGCTTGTGGTGTGTTTGTTGATCTACAGAAAGCATTTGACACTGTTGATCATTCTATTCTTCTAAGTAAACTGGAATACTATGGTATTAGGGGAATTTCTCTTCAATGGTTTACCCTATATCTTTATAATAGGTTTCAATTTGTATCTATTAACGGTAACACATCTTCTTTAGTAAAATGCACTACAGGTGTACCTCAAGGCTCTGTATTAGGACCATTGCTTTTCCTTGTTTTCATTAACGACCTTAATTTATCATTAAAATATACAACTTCCTACCATTTTGCTGATGACACTAACTTACTTTTAATTAATAAATCATTAAAAAAAATAAACAAATATATTAATCATGATCTATCTAATCTAATTCAATGGCTTCAATCTAACAAACTGTCTCTGAATACTAGTAAAACTGAAATTATCATCTTTAAATCAAAACAATCTAAAATCAGTAAACACCTAAATTTTAGGCTGAGTGGTCAAAAAATCAATCCAGTTATGTACCTAAAGTATCTTGGAATCAAAATTGACTCAAATTTAACTTTTTCTCAACATCTTATGGACTTATCAATAAAACTATGTAGATTGAATGGAATGTTAGCTAAAATTCGTCATTATGTCAATCTTGAAACTCTTATCAATATATACCATGCCATTTTTGGATCACATCTTAGGTATGCGTGTCAAGTTTGGGGACAAATCCGCACCCAAGAAATTTTAAGATTATCCAACTTACAAAACAAAGCATTAAAAATAGTATATTTTCAGCATTATCAATCTAACTCCGATCATCTTTATTTTTTATCCAAAATACTCAAAATTGATGATCTAGTCAACTATTAAATTGCCATTTTGTCTTTAATCATAAACAAAAATGTCTACCCAGCACATTTACAAATTTTTTTACTGTTAGAGAAAGCTGTCGCTATCATCTACGATCTGCTATTAGCTATAATCTTCATGTACCAAATCATTCTTCTATAAAATATGGTCTAAAATCCATAAAATACCAAAGTGTAAAATCATGGAACAGTCTACCTTCACCATTAAAATCAATTGACTCTATTGCTAATTTTAAAAACTGTCTTTTTAACTATTTTTTAGCAAGATATTATACCTGAAGACCTGAAAATATGTTGTTATGCTTTTATTATTACTACTTTCTTGATACCTACTAGTTTTATTATTAACTTTTTGTTCTCATATTTTTATTTTTATTATTAGTATTGATATTAATAATATTCTTCTATCTTTATTAGTAAATTGTTATTTTTATTTATAACATAATAAGTATTATTATTGCTTTTTTAATTTTTTCTTAAGTTTATTTACTACTTATACTATGTAACTGTTATTACCACTATTATTGCTTTTATCTAATATTGATTGTATAATATCTTTTTTATTATTGTTAGTATTATTACTAATAATATTCCTTTTCATAGTCATCTTATTATTATTGTTAATATTATTTCTATAATTATTATCAATACTATTATTATTGTTATTATAATCACTTTTATTGTAATGTTGCAGGTTTTTACTTTAGATTAGTACTTGTACTATTTGTAAAAGTCCTTGAAATTTTACAACTTATTTCAGAATATATTGAATTGAATTGAATTATTAAATACATATATATGTAAATAAATATAATACTATTTTTAAAAGTTTCAAAGAAGAAATATCAAAACAACTTATTTTTAGCTCCCTTTATTTTAATAATTTCTTCAAGTTTATACGTTTTTTTATTTATAAATAAATTTAGCAACTTAAATTAAGAAAAATACATTGTTTAGTATCAATGGATAACAATTTACAATTATTAGGTAATTGCATATGTAACAAGTATAAAACCAAAATTTTGAATTTAATTATTAAGTTTGTTAATGAATAAACATAGCCAGCGCAAAAACCAAAAGCTCTCCAAAGAAGCTGTTTAGAAGAGCAGCTTGCATGGCTTGCCATGTTTGTTTTATGAGAGCTCTCGCACTTATTTCTTCCTGCCAAGACATGGCAGGGTGATAAGTAAGGCATAAACCAATATTTTAGATTTGAGCTTGATTAGATAAAGAATGCTTTCTTGATATAATAAAAAATAGTTCCTAAAGTATAAATAACAATAATTTTTAAAAGTATAAATGACCTTAATTTTTTTAATATAGTTCCTAATAAGGAAAGAAAAAAGTTAAAAAAATTTTTTTTTAAATTTTTTTCTTTTTACAAGACAATATAAAATTTTGCTTTATCAAGAATAAATATGTTTTGTGAATAATATAAAACTATTTAATTTAAAAGTTTTTAGCTATTAAAGTAGATTACCCATCAAAAACTGATTCTAAATGCACATTTTTATTACATTTAAATTGTTAAATCTATAGATTTTATAATTTTAAGAGATTTAATTATAGTATAAAACTGCCTTAAAGTTGGCATTAAAAGTTGATTACTTTATGAATCTTTTTGTATTAAAATTTCTCCAGGATAATTGCTTAATTAGGTTATTAATGCGCAAAATAGTTAAACCTCTGAGATGACTTGGAATTACTTAGTAATTCCAAGTAAGTTACTTATATAGATATATAAGATATACTATTGAGTCTTTAATACAAGGAGAAGAAAGAGGGGGGAGGGGGGAGGGATTGGTTGAAATAAAAGGAGGGGGGTTATAAAAAGGTTAGGGATTTTTTTTTTCTAAACTATATTTATCTCAGTCAAATCGAGATTTACTAGGTTGGCGATTTTTAAAGTCTGTTTACACTGAAAGTTTTAATGTATAACAATTTATACATTACATATTTATCTATTTGTTTAGTAAACATTTTAAAAGTTAATCTATAGAAACTTAAACGATTGTATAACAATATTAAACCTTTTTTAGGACTTCAAGTTTCATTGCTTGTTCGTTATGAAGATACTTTTTTGGTGAATTTTGATCCACTAATTTCTCAGTTAATTAGGGAAACAGACTGTTTGATTAAGATGGGTGTTAATGTTCCTGAAAGTGCCTTGTCGATTTTTAAAAGAAAAGAACAGTTGAAAGAAGATTATTATTTGATAAAAGTAAGCGTATATAGAAATTTTTGAAATAAAGGCTTATTTTATTTATATATTATATTTGAATAAATTATAAATACATGCATGTGTTTATATATAATATTTGTATCCAATGTTTTCCCCACCAACTAGGGTATTATTATTCAGGGTGTCTAGGGTATGTTAATTTATTTTATTTTTAAACTAAAGATTACCATGGTCTCAAAATTATGTTTATTTTTCCAACAGAAAACAATCATCTTTTTTGATTATTCAATATAATCTTGGCACTAATTTAAAAATTTTAAATTTTTGTTTATTGCTTGTATATATATTATAATAAAAGTTTGACTTAGGATTTTTGCCAATCAAATGCAATTGAACAGAATTTATTTCAGGATATCAAAATTTTTTACATTTTTTACAATAATAGCTGATCAACAATTGTTGACCAGTTGTTATTCTTAAATATATTTATGTGTAAATGTATGTATGTATGTATGTATTTATGTATGTATGTATGTATGTATGTATGTATGTATGTATGTATGTATGTATGTATGTATGTATGTATGTATGTATGTATGTATGTATGTATGTATGTATGTATGTATGTATGTATGTATGTATGTATGTATGCATGGATGTATGTATGTATGTATGTATGTATGTATGTATGTATGTATGTATGTATGTATGTATGTATGTATGTATGTATGTATGTATGTATGTATGTATGTATATATATGTATGTATGTATGTATCAATCCCCCCCCCCCCCAGATACACACACACTTATACAATTAGGGTGTAGGCCCGTAACCTAATTTTTAGGAGGGTGACATATTTTTTACTGCAGCCCACTGTTTAAAAAAAAATTTGATGGTCATTTTTTTATATATTATAACTAAGCACTAAATTTCCTGCCACTTTTAATATAATGTAACTGAAGAAAAATAAGTTAACAACAAGGATTTGATCTGAAAAATAAGATTTTAACTAATAACAACAAACGTTATTCGTCTAAAGAAAGGTGACAAATTCTAATCTTCTTGGATGTAATTTTGCAAATATTTTAACGGCCACATCTAAATCAAAGTTAAAATCATAGTGGATGTGCATTAAGGCCAACTCAGAAAGTCGTTCTTGTCCTTGCATTGCTCTTGTGTACGAATTAAGGAGTCAAGTTACACTTCCCGTTCTTTCACATTCTGCGGTAGTGACTGGAAGAACACATGCAAGCAAAAGAACAACGTAAATATTTGGAATATTGTCAGGCTTACATTCTTTAAGAGCACTAGCAGCACTTGTGGATCGATTCTCTGGTTTACATCTATGCCATATTTTTTGCCACATAATTGTTTCTTTATCAAGGAAATTAGAGATTGGCATATTCACTATTATTGCCACATCAATTCTTTGAAATGACTTTGAAAAATACTATCAGAAACGGATGAGCTCTATCAGAAACGAAATTTCTCCCAACCATCTAAATTTTCAACCCATCTCGTAACACAAATATCAGTAAGAACCTTTTGACTATTCAATGTGTGAAAATGGTTTTCGTTTCGGTACACCAAGTTAAGAAGTTCTGTTCACTTTGCGCTATTTTTTATCCATTTTGTAAATTCCTTCATTATATCTAACACATTTCTTATTTCAAGTATTTTTCAAGAACGACTAATAACCAAATTCAGTCTATGACAAGCGCAATGGGTGTATATTGCTTTTGGTTGAATACTCAGATTGGGCTTGTACACCTGATAATTGGGCTTGTACACCTGATAAAGAACCTGCCATTGATGCTGCACTATTATATCCTTGGCCTCTCATATTTTCAATATTCAAATTAAGCTCATGTAAAGTTTGTTTAATTTTAATATAAATATCTTTGGCTCTCACACTCTCCAACTCTACAAATGCCACAAACTCCTCACGTATCTCATGTTTCTTATCAACAAATCTAACTACAAATTTAAGTACAGAGATAAATGCTCTGTGTGGTGAGAATTAATTGCATCTGCAAGGATAGAGAAATATTTAGCTTCCTTTATTTCTTTTATTATAGGAGCTTCTACCATATCTTTGCCTAAAACTGAAATAATCTCATTTTAAATCTTTGCTGAAATATAACGAGCATTTTTCATTTTTAGACTTAACAAATGCTGTTGCAGTTCACTGTTATAATCTCCCATTGATTTAAGCAGTGAAAGAAAGTTACCAATATTTCCAAGTTTATCTGCATTTTCAAGCGTACCATGCAGAGGTATACATTGTTTTCCACAATTAATAACAGCTTTCATGATACATTTCAAAATTTGTGTATTGTATTTGATTCGGTCAACAAGTTCTTTATTCAGTTGACTGTCTACTCTAAAAGAAATATTTTCAGGTGTTGATTGAATAGCATAATATTTGTCCAAACAACGTTTGTGATAAACTCTATTTTTGTGATAATCTAATTTTTCTTTAAGTTTATTCCAATTATAAAAGGCTCTATTAACAATAGACCCCTTATCATCTCTTTCTTTTAAAAACAAAGCACATGGGCCGCAAAACAAACCTTGCTGCACAACAGAATAGCATACCCAACTAACATTCACCCATCCATTTGATCGAAAATTTTTTGGAAAGTGTGTTGGTATCACAAGTTTTGTTATGTATTGAATTTTGGTTTCAGGCAGCATCTTTGTTATACTTTGCTCAATAGTCTTTAAGTTCATAGTAGACATAATGACATTTCCAATGTCAAAAAAATGAGTGTTCTTGACACCTGACATCATTTTTTGATGATTACTGGTCGCAATAAAAGACGATAATTCGTCTGACTTATTTTCCCTGTGAAGTTCTTTTCCCCGTGAAAACTGCCAGAATTTTCTGCAAATATGTCAGAGGAAATATTGTTTTAAAAAGATGTTGGCATATTCTCATGAAAAACCTGTGGTTGTTGTTGTACGAGTTCTATTGAAGACCTGCTCATGTTTTCGTTTTGCGTATTTCTGTCTTTTTTATAAAAATAAGATGTCAACTTCACACATTCTTTTGCAGAAGATGTTAACTTTTTAAGTTTTTAATCCGTTCCTTCTCAGCCCCACCTTTTCTTTTTTGATTCATGGTAAACTTAGCAACTTATAAGAATAAAGTAAAAATGAATGCTTAAAAATACAGAAAACAAAATGTTTGAGATAAGTAATAATAAAACACATTGTTATCTAGTACATAACAATTTCATTCCAGTTATGATATGTACTGGAATGTTTTAATTTTGCAGCTATTCATTTTCTAAAAAGCAGTTCTATTGGTTAATGTTTTAAAATTTTTTTTAACCTTTCATGCATTATGTTGCTATGTAATAAAATTTAATTGACTTTTTTGTTAATTATTGTGTTTTTATAGTTGGCAGAACTAAGAATTTTAAAAGTTCTTGAGGCAACAAGCATTTTTAAGGTTAACTTAACTAAAGTTACTTTAAATGAAAAATTAAGCAAAACCATAAATTTAGTAAAATTCTGACAACGGCCCATTTTTTTAAAATGGAGGCTGACAGCCACCCTAATCACCCCCTAGTTATGGGTCTGAGGGTGTGTAAGGTCTGAGGGTATCCTAACAATATATATATATATATATATATATATATATATATATATATATATATATATATATATATATATATATATATATATATATATATATATATATATTTATATATATTTGTTAGAAAAAATCATCATTCTATAAAAAAACATTTTGAAAAAAAATTACAAATAAAATGTTTTGTAAAAATGCATATTATTTGTTTTTTAATTAAAATGTCATTTTCTAGGCAGTAAATTTTTTAAATAATGATTTGTTTTGAAACTTTTATACAATTTTGCTTCTTTTAAGACCCAACATGATATACTTTTGAAAAACAACTTTTGACAACCCCTAAATTTATTTTTTGTTCAAAATTTTTAAATCCAGCATTATTTTATTATAAAGAACTCATTTGGATTTGTGAGCAGATATTTTTAAAAATTGTTGTTTTAATAGCCACCCTAATATATATATATATATATATATATATATATATATATATATATATATATATATATATATATATATATATATATATATATATATATATATATATATGTATATATATATATATATATATATATATATATATATATATGTATATATATATATATATATATATATATATATATATATATATATATATATATATATATATATATATATATATATATATATATATGATTTCTTAATTAGATTTTTTCACTTACTAAAGCGTATTTTTATAAACATTTGCTCACTTTTTTTGCTTACCTTAACCCATACGGGTTTTTTAGAAAAAGAAGAAAAAAAAACAAAGAATAATGAATGAAACGATTGCTGCCCCATCCCAAACCCTCAGTCGATGTAGCAGCACTCCACTGCAAGTCAGGATATTTGTCATCAATATATATATATATATATATATATATACATATATACATATATATATATATATATATATATATATATATATATATATATATATATATATATATATATATATATATATATATAACAAATACTTTTTATTTTTTAATGATCATGATTATTAATGGTATTTGCAGAGTATGATTGATGAATATTGTGAAATAAAGAAAGTTGTTTTACCCATATTCCTGCCTATGATGAGACCTTATTTAAACAAGGTATATTACTTTTTATTTTATTTTTTGATGTTTAATAAAGAAAAATCTGAAATGAAAATAGCATTTTGATAAACTTTATTATATTTATTATGTTTTTGGTAATCAAAATGACAGTTTTTCATGTTGACATAAATTTTTTTTTTGTATCTTTTTTTTTATTTTTTTTATTTAACATTTTGTTTGGTATTCAAAGAGGCAAAAATATTGTAATATGCAAATTGTATCTTGATGATAAAATGTAAAATACTTACAGATAGAGGCACGAATATCACCAGGGTTAACTATGTTAAGCTGGAATTCATTACGAATTCATGACTTTGTCAATGATGTACATACACATTTGAAAGAATTTAAAGTTCTCAACAAACAAGTAATATGTTGTTTACATTTATTTATAACTTAAAATGGTATCCTTTGATAATTCTAGTATTTTCTTGTTTAATGATAGTAAAAGAAGTTTTAACTATTGTATTTTAATAACAGTTTTTCCAACTTTTCCAATTTTTGCAGGACTTTTTTAATTCCTGTTTTAAAATTTTTGAAACACGTGCCAATGAAATTGATTTATTTTTTATTAACAATTCTTAAAAACTAAATACTTTTTTACTTAACCATATACTTTTTTTACTTAACTTTAAGAGAAGTATGTCTATAGTTTATGGTCTCAGAGTTTTTTTTTACAAATTTAGTTTTGATAACTATTGTATGTTACTAAGATGAACAATTCTTTATATTCTTGTTTTAATTTTTATTAGGTAATGGACATACATGATGCACGGATAGATTTACTTTTAGAAGAAATAATAAATACAGAGTTGTGTGAAGTTCCAATAGATAAACCTTGGACTATAGAAGAATTTGAAACAAGAACAACTGTAAGTTTAATTCATTGGAAAAAATAAACTATGGATTAAACAAAAGTTAGTCGTTGTTCTCAATTATAATTATATCTTAAACAATGTTAGTTTCTAAATGAAATAACAATAAGTGTAAACAACAACAATATAAAACAATATAAAAACAATATAAAAACAAGAAATGACTAATGTCACTATTTCTACATCCCCTTCCATGTTTTTAAGTGTCAATACATATAAACATAATTTCTGGGTTCATTTCTTAAAGTCATCTAATGTCAAAGATTTCCCAGTTTCTGGTTTGTAGAATTTCTTAGGGATACGTAGCCTGGATGAACGTTTCAATGGTTGATCTCCTACGACTTCAGTATTTAATAAGGGTGGCATTGCTAGATGCGGCGAGCTGGTTGATAAAGATGCTGGCATCAACGGTAAGGGTACTGGAGTTGTTGGTAGAGGTAGTGGTGGTACTGCTGGTGCTAATGTAGGAGGCGGTAGCAATACTGTAAATGGTGCTAGTTCTGGTTGGGATGGTATGACTTTGTTGCTACTTTTTGGGACATACTCTGTAAATGGCGTTGGCGAATCGGCAGAGTTATCGTGACTAGAGCTTGTTGTTGGTGGTGTGGTCAATGCAACTTCGGTTTCGTATGACTTTAGTGGGTTGAGGAATTTGCACAAATATTTTCTATTTCTCAATGTTAGTCGACCTGTTCCTTCAACCTTAATGATGTATTGGTCATTTTCCTTACATTCAACAACTTTTCCACTACGATCCCATTTTTTAGGGTGGTTCCCTACTTGATTTTGTATGAAGACACTGTCTCCTTCATGTAGTGGTGTGAGGAAACGTGTGTGTTCTTGAAGTGATTCAAGGGTCTTTGCATATCTTGTTTGTAATGCTTCTTCTTTTGCAGACCATGCATGTCTCCATGTTTTCAAGAATTGGTCGTTATTAAACATAGGTATTCTGGATTTTATCCTGGGCATGGCGTCGCAAATGGGATAGCCAAATAATACTTGAGCGGGAGATAACTGACAGGTAGGGTCTGGTGTGTTTCTTATTGTAAGCATTGCCCTTACAAAAGCGTTATTATTGAGATCACCATTTGGTCCCACATTATTTTCGAGGAGGCGTTTTGTTGACTTAACTGCAAGCTCAGCTCTTCCATTAGATTGTGGGTGGTGGGCTGATGAAATGCGATGAGTTATGCCCCATTGTTGTAGAAACTCTTTTGTTTCTCCAGAGGTGAATTGAGGACCACCGTCGGTTGAAATTTCTTCTGGGACTCCAAATGTTGTAAATAGTTTACGTAAGCACGTGAAAAGACCTTTTGCACTCATTTCTGATGTTCCCGATTTTATTCTGTAGGCTTTGGTCCATCCAGAAATCTCCAATGACCAGATAATCCCAGCCACGGAATTCAAAATAGTCAGCAAATATGCATTCAAATGGTGTCACATGGGATGTGAGGTCGGATGGGTGGTAGTCGTGCATTAGAAGGTGCATTTCGATTACAGCTGCAACAGTTATCGCGCTTACTTTGTATGCTGTGAGTGAACCCTTGCCAGAAAATTAGCTTGAGCTCTGGCTGTCATTCCTGATACTCCTTGGTGGGCTGAGTGTAGTACGTCCAATATCTCTTTCCGTAGAGTAGGTGGGATTACAATTCTGTCGTTGTATATTATAACCCCGTCGGACACCATCAAGTCATTGCGGTATTCCCAGAACGGTAAAAGATTTGGTATGAAGTTATTCTTATTTTTTGGGAAACCGTTTTCTATTGCTAACATTAATGCTTTAAAATCGGTATCTTTTTCTGTCTCTGCTTTGACACTATCCCATGTTACTGCAATCATTTTATCTATGTCGTTTCGTATCGAGGCTATTATTAGTGATTCTGTGTTGTCAAAATCGGTATTTTGATTGCAAGTGGCTGAATTAACATATTCCTTTGTGTTCTCTGCAGGGTAACAAGAAGTAGCATCTGCTGCCAGGTTTGTTTTTCCTGGTTAATGTTGAATGGTAAATTTCCATGGCAAAGTTCTCTGTTTTAGTCGGAAAAGTCATGTGTTAGCAATTTTATCTAAGGTCCTATCTCCTTATAATTTGACAAGTGGTTTATGATCAGTTACTACCATAAGGTTATCACAACCTTGTGTGAAATATTTAGTCTGCTCCAGGCTCCATGCCACTCCTAGCATTTCGCCCTCAACTGGTGCATATCGTTGTTCAGCAGATGACAGGAATCTGGACCCTGCTAGGGTTATTTTCCATTCGTCTATACAGCAATCTGGGGAGTTCGATTTACATTCACAATGTTTTTGGCTTCGGTAATATCCTATCCCCAATTTTGACCAGTCGCATCTTAAACAGGTCTTCTTGGTAATGTCAAAAATTTGGACTCCATCTTTAATTGTGTCAATGATTTTTTCCTTTGACACGTTGAATAAAGTGTTGAGTTCGTCCGACCAATAAAAGTTTGATTTAGGGCTAAGCAGAACTCTGAATGGGGCCATAGTTTCTTGAAGTTGAGCGTAATGTGATACTTGGGTCACTAAGCCAAACCAAGATCGGATGTCTGTTATTGAGGATGGTGTTGGAAATGATCTAATGGCGTCGATATATTTAGGTAGTGGTTCAACTCCATTTTCAGATATTCTGAAACATGAAAAATCCACTATTCTTTTAGCAAAATCAAAATGATCCCAGCTTTGCCAACAAGCTCAAGAAATTCGATTGTCCACATCTTTGTTTGCCAATAAAGTCTGCTAAAATTTCGTCGAAACGCCTGTTGTAGCCAACCCCACTAGATACAAAACCTTGAGGAGCTCGGATGTATCTGTATTGCCCAAAAGGAGTAATGAAGGTGGTAAGATTCCTGTCTTCAACCCGTATCAGGATGCTATGATAACCATTCCATGCGTCGGTTACAGTTTTCCATGAATTTCTTGGGACTGAACGAGCTAGTTGGAAAGGCGATTTCATTGCATGAGTTTCTCTGTAGCAGTACTTGTTTAAAGGAGATAGATCAACAGTGCAACAAGGCCCACCGTCATGCTTACGTGTGATAACCATTCTATGACACCATGTTGTAGGTTCTCCTAGAGGTACCTTTTCAATAACTCCAAGAGTTTCATCAGGAATTAAATCCTTTTCCACCTGGTCTTGCCAATGGATTGGTATGGTGGCTGGAGTAAATGCTGCAACTGGTTTGGCATTTTCTTGAATTAAAATACTTATTGGAGGTCCCTCCATATCAGGTAAAATCTGGTGTGGACATGTGTTAAATGTTGAAGCAGAATATCTCACAAGGAGCCACGTTTTCATCCGTTGTTTTCAGGACAGCAGACAAATGGAAGTTTGGTGGGTGCACCTGCTGGGAGACTTCTTTTGGGGCAATTGCACACATGTGAGCTATTATTTTCACTGGATGTTTTGGTCCCTATAGTTTGGGGGCCTGAGTTTATAGCTCCGTGGAGGGCACTGCCTATCTCTGGAAAGTCCTTAGAGATGATACCCAGTTGGGTCATTGCTTCTTTAGATAGGTAGAATCCGTTTGCGTCTGGACTTACGTAAACCATTACTGCACATTCAACTTTGTGGCCATTAGATTGTCGTCCTTTGAGACGTAAAAGAATTGCACCATCTATACGAAATTGAATTTTATTTGCGGCCGACATGCTATGTTTCACAGGTATTAAATTGTTTGCATTAAAGCCTGCACTGTCAAACCCTTTCCTAGACCATAAGCAGGACTGTGCACCGGTATCTGTAATAACTTGTATATATTTTGGTATAATGGAAGGAAATGGAATACCAAATGCGACATAGTCTGATTTGTTAGTAGTCACACGCAGCTGAATTGTAGGATGAACAAGTAATTGAGCTGTGGCCCATCCATCATGGGTAAATATATGATGGTTTATTCCTGTGCAGGGTTGTTTCACATTGGTCTTCATTTGTGATCTAATTTTTTTTTTTTGAATACTCAATTGCACTTAACTTTAACTCAAGTCCGCCTGCCCCGAATGCATCTTTGGTTGCATTCGATTTCTTATCATTTGGGATGATTCTGTTGTTAATTTTAGAAGTGCAAGATCTGTGCTTCTTCCAACAGTCTAGACACAGCTTGTGGGGTTTTTTGTTCCATCCTCTGGATGTTTCTGTAAATAAACTGTAAGATTCTGAGCAATCTGGACATTTGGCTGTTATATTGGTCCCTTTACTACTCTGTGTATTGCTCTTGTTTTGTTTATTGAAAGTTGATACACTTGCTGTTGTTGAACTACAGCCTAGTGCATTTCGTGCCATTTCCTTACCCTCTATAAAAGCAATGATATCTGTGACTGAGGCTGTGTCAAGGGAGACCCATCCAAGTACATCTTTGCGGATGTCAGTGTCTGATAGCCCAGCAACAACAATGTCTCGTATGATAACATTGGTAAAATCAACAGTTGTTTATGGGTGGCAGTGGCATTGTACAGTGTAGTTGCAAGTAGCAGCCTTGCCTTTCAGTTTTGCATAAAATGACCGAATACTTTCGTTGTGTCCCTGTCTCATTTGAAGGAGTTCTGCTCTTCTTACGCTAGTGGCTACTGGGATAACGGCCAGTTTTTTCATTGCTTTTAGAAATGCCTCATCGTTTTCATTAATTATCATGGGATTTTCTTTTAGGAGTTGATTTCCAAGGTCTTCCTCACAGCACTGAAACAGCTGTGCTGTCATCTCTTCTTGTCTGATGTCTGTACATCTCTTAAACAATGTCCAGCCACTAATAAAGTTTGTCCACTCTTCTTCTGAGATATCCTGACCGATGTGGGGGCGATCCATTTTAGGTGCCTTGTGTTTTGAGAAGGCTGAATGAATGTCAATCGAGTTTGGAGGATGGTGAAGCTGGTGACTGTTGAATAATGCAATTGCAATTGCTTCGCTGGGACCTTCAATGACGACATTGCATCCTGGGGCCTGGCAAGGTAAGCTTATTGTGGACATAATGTAGGAAAGAAAAAGGTTAGCGAAATCCTACCTTTTGTGTGTACATTAACAACTTCAAATGAATATGTAAGTGAATTACAATTTCAACCACTGACAAGAAGTTTTTATCTTTGAAATACCAGTGTTTCTTTAAAATTCCATAGAATGAATAAGAAACTAACATAAACTAAAGTTAGTCGTTGTTCTCAATTATAATTATATCTTATTGTTCTCAATTATAATTATAATAATAAATAATAAAACAATGTTAGTTTCTAAATGAAATAACAATAAGTGTAAACAACAACAATATAAAACAATATAAAAACAATATAAAAACAAGAAATGACTAATGTCACTATTTCTACATGGATAATCATGAATAAATTTAATATTTGATTAAAATTATTACAGATAAACTAATACATACTATTAGGTGGGCTACAAAGTAATAAATGATTTTTCCTTATAATTCCAAAAAAGTACTGGAGAAGTTTCCATAGTTTAAGTATATCAGACTAGTTAGAAATTCTTCATTTCAGTTTTTGTGCAAAAAATATATGACATTACCAATCATGTCATTAATTTATGCACTGCCTTGTTCACAATTTTCAATCAGACCACTCACCATTCAAAGCCACAAAAAATATATGCAATCAAATAGGTTAGGGTTTAGTGTCTGAGGTGACAGCAAAATTTTAGTCATTTTCAGCATTTTAAATATTGACTCAATGTTGGAAGTGCTCATTCTACACAGAAAGGGCATGTAGCTAGTGCCATAATAATCATCAAAACCATCTCTAAAAGTTGACCTACACTCCAAAAAGGTGCTGCTTTTGTTTTGGCATAATAACGAGTTTTAACTCTTAAAAAAAGATTTTTACTTTTTCTATGACAATGCTAGTCCTCATGCTACAAAATCTAAGCAGCAAAAGTTATTTAAGCTTTGCTTGGAAGTATTTTCATTTTCCTACTCACCTGACTTAATTCTAACAGATTATAAATTGCTCCAACCATTAAGCAATAGCTTGTGCAATCAAAAATTTGACAAAGAAAGTCACTCTGACAGCACATCAAATCACATTTTTAGTTCAAAGTCTAAAGAGTTTTACACTAACTGCATTTGTTCTTTGCTAAACGTCAACAAGAGGCCATAAAAAATGGTTATACATATATTGTTAAATATTATTAATGTATATATGTGATAATCAAAAATAAATAATCAATATAATTTTTTTTAAATGCTTTTTTTTTTTAGCCTAACCAATAATAACTACTGTTTTATATTACTATGGACTGTTATTGTTGTTTTATATATTTTCAAGGAGCTATGCAATCTTGCTTCAATTAAAATAGAAAGGAATAGCAGTAGAATAGAGGAAGCAGTGTTTTCAATCATAGAAATTTTGAATGGATGTTATCAAAAGCTAAGTGATGACTCTGAGATATCAAATGCAGCTTCAGATCAAAATGATACCTCTCCAAAAAAGGTATTTTTTAAACATCTTAATTGCTTTCTATATGAGTTTATTCTTGATCTTTTTGCTTTTTTTATTTTTTATTTTATTATGATTTTTTTTTATTGCGCATATTTTTATAGGACTTACATTTACAGCAACTTAAATTGAGTTTTATCTTGTGTAAGGCAATACTTACACAAGATAAAACTTAATTTAAGTTGCTCTAAAAGTCTTAAAAAAAAAAAATGTCAGTTTTTACAAAAATAATCTTACAGAAAATTTAGCACTGTAAATTAAAGTAATTGGTATTTGACTTTGTTTAATTAATATAATTAAAGTTTTACATTATCAAAATGATTTTTTATGTAATATACCTTTATTTAACGTTTCATATAAATATTAGATTACCTGGAAGAAAAAATGTCTCTTAAATGAGGAAAATGAAGAAGAAAGATCAGAACTTATAAATATATTCAATAACAAACTAATTGATGCTCTTTTAAGATGCATACGAAACTCTTTAGATGTACTTAAAAGAAGATTTCAAGGGTAAACTTTTCACTTTTTTCTTTTTAATTTAGTAAATTTATTTTATTGTTTTTAATCTTCCATTTTTCACAATTCTGAATTTTTAAACCTATTAATAATGATTTTACTTTTTAAAAAAAATTGTTTGTATTTAATTATTATTTTTCAAAAATAAAAAGAATTTTAAATTTTTTTAAATTAAAATTATATTTTCATTTTTAAAGCAAATCTTACAACTCCAATGAAAAAAATTCCAGCTACTCTGCATTGCCATTTTTCAAAGCAGACATTGTTCTTTCAATTCCAAATGTGGTAAGTATTTTTTTTTTTTATGAATTTTTACTTCTTTTACTGATTCAAGTAAAAATTCACAGTTCTGATAGGGAAAGTAATGCATTTCCTGCCTTGAATTTTAAACAAACTTTTCTATTGTTTCCTCTTTCAGTAAGATTATTTATTACTGCTAGAAATTTAGCAAAATATTTTAATATTTTGAAGCTGGGCTGTGTAAAGCAATATTGTGGGTAAAGGAAAAGCCAGTTCTAATTTATTTGTTTATCTAATCTATTTTAATCCAGAACTTATTCTTACTTGAAAAAGAAACACATATTCTAGTATAGAATAGTTATACAAAAAGTAGCATTATTATTTAAAACAACATTTTTGTTATTCCAAATAAAGTGCAATGTAAAATTAAGTCTATGCAGTACAAATAAAGTGTAATTTAAAATTAAGTCTATGCAATACAAATAAAGTCTAATGTAAAATTAAGTACAAATACTATGAAGTACAAATAAAGAAGTAAAACAAATTATTGTTATTTAAAAATGCTTATTAAGCAATCTATATATATAAAATTACCAATTGAATTTACCTCCCAAAGTCACCAGAGGTTCTTATTATTATTTTTTTTTTGAAAAGCTCTCTAAACAGAACCTTGTTAAACAAGGTTCTGTTTCAGAGTTAGGGTTTAGAGAGCTTTTCAAAAAAAAATTCTTAACTTTTTACTTTTGCAAGAACCAAACCTGTTTCTCTGTCCAGAAGCACAGAGAAACAGGTTTGGTTCTCGCAAAAGTAAAAAGTTAAGAAATTTTTTTGATACAAAAAATTCAATTTAATGTGTTTTTTTAAACTTCTGATTATAAACTTCAGTGGCAAGAAATACATTTTTATATTTGATAAAATTAAAAAAAAAGATGAATGATAAATGAGTATTTCGTTGTGTCTACCTGTGAATAAATAATAATAATAAAAATATTAATATTAGACATAGGGAACCGCTTCATTTTACCCTTAAACATTAAACAGTTATATTATATTATTACAGTTATATTAAAGACCCTAATATTATAGAAAAAAAAAATTCTTCCAAAGTATGTCATGTTAGGTCTCAAAAGAATCAAAATTTTATAAAAATTTCAAAAATAATAATCATATTTTTAAAAACGTCTTTAAAAAAATTAGACTTTAAAAAACCATGAAAAAAATTGATTTTTTTATTTATGTCAAAAAATGACAGTTTTGACAGAAAAAATGTAAACTAATAATCTAAATACAAAATAGTTATTTTCTTAAATTTTTCTGAAATTTTACTTCTTTTGAGACCCATAATGACATTATTTTAAAGAAATTTTTTCTTAAATATTAAGGACTTGTCTAGTATAATATATATATATATATATATATATATATATATATATATATATATATATATATATATATATATATATATATATATATATATAATATATATATATATATATATACATATATATATATATATATATATATAGATATATATATATATATATATATATATATATATATATATATATATATATATATATATATATATTAAGGACTTGTCTGTGTATAATATATATATATATATATATATATATATATATATATATATATATATATATATATATATATATATATATATATATATATATATATATATATATTGACGCGGTTACAATACAAATTATGAGAGCTATTATTATTGCATTAAAAGAAAGCGTTTTTAAAATTTCTTTTCATTTTTATTGTGTCTTGCTCTTTGTATAAATGAGTTTGATATTAAATTTGTGTAAATCACTTCTGAATAAAGTTTTTTTGAAAATCTTAGAAATGGTTTACAATAAAAATATATTGTATTAAATATACTATTTTTGTTTTTATATGTTTATATTATAAATATAAAATGGAAAATAACATAAAACAATTTTAAAATAAATTATATAAGCTCATATTTTCATATGTTGATTTTTTTAAACAGTTTCTATGTATCTTATATATCATGCATAAACAGTTTGACAACATTTTAAACAAGTTAAAACTATTTAAATAACTGACATTTTAAGTATTATAGGTTTTAAATAATGTTTTAAGAACTTTTTAAGAAAAGTTTTAAGATTCTGTTTATTATGCTTAAACTTTTTTTATGCTTTTTCATTTGTATATTTTTATAATAAAATTTTTATCATTGAATAAGTTCTATTATAAATTTATTGTTTATATTTTAACCTAATTCTTTGTGTTTTAAAAAGCATTAGATAAATTTATAATAACATCAAAAGATAATGTCAATAAAAAGCCCTATTTAAACCAATAGTTTGTGTGAAAACAGATAGCTTGCACAAAAAGCTGCCTAGGCTAGTAGCTCACTATTTCTGTTTTACAAGAATTTTTCTCAGCTCCTGCACTCATTTATTCCTGCCAAGGTTTGAGATATATAACATCTGGGGTACACAAATGTACCCTAAATTCTAACCTATATATATTTTCAAAAGAACTTTTTTCATAGATTTTTCAACCTTCAATTGATGATATCCAACAAGTTTTAAATAAGTGTTATCATTCTATATTGGAGGTTTGCAAAAATGTGCATCAATGGAGTCAGGTTAAGGATTCTGGTAATAAGATATTTAGTTATCGTTCACAATTGTGAACATATCAAAAAGTCATATAAAAGAAAATTTTTATATTTTTGAAATTTTTTTTTTAATTATGCTTTAGAATCTGCAATTCCAAAATCAAAAAATTTTTATAAGTACATAACTGATCATAAAGATGTGAACAAACTTTTGGTTATGTTAAGCTCAGCAATTAGTTCTACAAAAGCAGACACAAATCAATGCATTGATTACTTCAATAAATTTGATTTTTTATGGAAAGCAGATCGCGAAGGTACAATAAAGGTAATTTTTTTGAATTAATTTGATTTGGAATGGAAATATCCCCAAACATTTTTGAGCTATACTTTTTTAAACAGCATTCTTGTTTGACAAGAATTAGAAAAAAAAAAGAATAATAAAAATTAATCTTTTTCATTATAATATCCCTCTGGGCCTCAAGAAGAGGAGAACAAAACTTGCAACATATGAGCTGTTTATTTTGAAAGTGACATAAGATTTTTTTACTTCATGGTTGTTTTTTTCAAACTTGCTAAATTGATTATACATTTTAAATGATAGACTTTTTCTCACAAAAAAATTTGCGAGACGAAACTTTCTCTAAATTCTGTTTAAGTGCTGCAAATGAAAATACTCTCCTCGGTAGAGAAGAGTATTTTGGTCCATTTTATTATAAAAATTTTGTTAGTGAAGTTGTAGTTTCTTTCCTTATTATTTGAATATTTCATTGCAGACTTTCATTTTTTAATATATAGTTTCAATTTGATATTGTGTGTTTTTTTAGACTTTTCTGATATAACTGGCAATGCTTATTTTTTTTTTTCTTTTACTATTTGACAACAGCTGTTTTGAAGTTTTAACAATTTAAATAAAAAAATAATAATAAATTTAAATTTAAAAAATTGTTACGTTAAAAATAACTTTTAATCATTGATCTTTTTATTTTACGTGAAGGCTTTGAATAAAATCAAAAAATAATAATAATGATCGTTTAAAATAAACATATTATGTGTAAATTAAATATTAAAATATTTTTTTAGTATTGTCATGTATTTTTTATGATAATCATGTATTTTTTATGATAAATTTAAACGTTTGAAACAATTTTTCCATATTTTTTTTAAAATCTTTCAATATATTATTTTTTCGAGTTATAGTTACTTTAAATTATGAATAAGTTAAATTGAATATTTACATGATTAAATTGCTAAATTTTTTTGTTTTGTTTCTATTTTTACAAAGAATTGTTTAAAAGTTTTTTTTTTAAAAATTGACTTACTAATTAAAGCACGAAATGATTAAAAATTACAATTTTAAAAAGACTACGTTATTTTTTAACTTAAAAATATTATATTTTTTCTTTTCAATAATTTAATTTTACTTTTCAATAATTTAAATAAAATTTGTTCATTTATTAAACAATCAATAGAAGTAATTTGTAAAAGAGTTTTGCGTAACTTTAATTAAACGTTTTAAAAGATAAGTTTCAAAGTAATTATTTTCAAATGCAATTAAAAACTCAACAAAAAGTAATTTTAACTTCAATTTTTTTTCGTTTTATTAATTTCTTTAAGTTAATTTTTTTTTTTTCTTTTCGTTTTGCTAATTCTTCAGTTTTTCAATTTTTTCCTTGTTTAAGTTTAGCTTAACGTTGTTTTTTTTTCAGCGCATTTCTGAAATGTTTAAATCATCAAAACATCGAAACAATCATGGTCAAATTGTAAACAAAAAAATCATTTGCATGGTCAGCAATAGCATTTGATAAGCACATCATTCCTGTCCAAACTTTATTTTATAGAATTTAATTCCAGTTGGTTAAAATGTCCGATTACTCTGTAAATTGATTGGACAATCTGAAGTTTTAGCTGGACAATGTCTGATGTCTGAGCGTTAAATTGAGCCCTGATATTTATAACCAAAATCTATTTTTTAAAAATTTGCCTAAATCAAAAAGTGTAAATAGGTGTAAAATAAAACTGATTTCAAATTAATGATCCCATAAAAGTTCACGTCTTTTTTATTAGGAAACTTGTATATAAAAAACTTGAGCCTAAAGCTAAAAAATCATACAAAACTATTAGTAAGTTATTTTTTTATAAGAAAGTTATTTTATTAAAAAGTTAAATGGAATTTTATTTAAAATTTTAAGAAAATCCATGAGAAACTTTTTGTTATTTTACAAAAAAAAAAAAAAAAAAAAAGTTTCTTAAGGCTACTCAATTGTAAAATCAGTATATACTGTTTTTATACTAAAAGAAAACACTTTTATTTTTGAAAAATAATTTAAGTTTATTGCTAAAAATAATCTAAATATGGTAATTAATTTTGCTTCGGCACTTTTTTGCCTGTAATACTGTAATAGAAAATGCTTTTATTTTCGAAAAATAAGTAAAAGGAGCTGACAAAAAATTATTAAAATGTGGTAATTATTTTTGCCTCAGGACTTTTTTGTCAAAGCAATTTATCAAAATACTACAAAGCCCTCTGTAAAACTTTCTGCTTGGTGATACTATTTTTGTTGTTTGATAATGATGCTTAAGTTAGTATTGCATGGTTATATCTTTTTTTTTTAAATTAGTGTTGCATGGTTATATAATTTATGTAACTGGCGATTGATGATACAAATTTTTTATTTTTCATTTTCATCCAACTATATTAACTAAACTTACAAATGCTATCATAAATTTGCAGAAATTAGTCAGGTGTCATCAGCCTGTTATATTCAAAAGATTTTAGGTCAGCACAAGAGTGCCGCATTAAGTGCCAATTTTTCAAATTTGTTTCATTTAACAGTTGCGTTTTTTTATTTTGAATGAATTTAATTAAAACCTTTATGAAAAACTTGAATCAAATTTTAAAAAAGTTTAATGTTTTTTAATTAACATGTGTTTAACATAACTAAGACTAAACTTAATAGACTTTCTGATCTTAAATAATATTTAAAAAATTGTAAATTAGTATTAGATTTTAAGACCTTATAAAATAATAATTGCGCTAAAATTTCAAGTAAAAAGTGTGAGAACAACTGACATTTGAAAAGTAATTTTTGAATAAATAAATTTATTTAATACTTTAATAAATTTGAGAAAAAACAAAAAACTTATTTAAAGGGATCCCTAAGTGCTACAAAGATATGATCTCATATGATAGAGTATTAAAAAAAAAAATGTTTGATGTATATTATTTTTTCTAAAACGTAATTATGAACACACACTAACAAATTTAATTTTCAAAAAAACGCTTTTCTTCGATTAAAAAAAATGCGCCTTGTCCAAAGTTTATTGACTCTATTGCCTCAAAAAACTAACGTTAGTACGTCAAATTAAACAAAGTAGACAAAATGTCATTATTGCAAACTTATTAGTTGGTAATTAAATTTAAAAGTAAAGTCGTTTTTTTTCAACTAACACATAATAACTTACAAGAATAAGTTTTGTAGCATTTTGTGAAAATATATTTGTATATTAAATTTTTTTTTATAATATTAATTTATATATTTGTGTTGTAAGGGCAATTCCACGGCTAAAAATGAATAGAAGTCAAATTTTAAACTCTTTTTAGTCAGTTAAAAACAAATGAATATTGACTTAGACATATGAAAGTTTATTTAAAATATTTCCTTAGTAAAAAAATTAATTTATTTCAGTAATTTTTATGGTTTCAAAAGTGACGAATACACTTATTTTTGCTTGATAAAAAAAATAATGATTGTAAAATGTTTTAGTTAAATTAACATTTATGTTAAATTGCTATATTTTTTTGGTTCAAATTGATAAGGTTGAACAGACATTTTATTAGAAATTAAACTAAGACAGGGCTCGAATTAACGCAAAAAAATCTAATCGCGAAAAAATTTTTTTTTTTTTGCTCTCTCCCCTTACCCCTCTCTCTTATAGCTCTCTCCCCCCCTCCCCTCTCTCTTATAGCTCGCGCCCATGTGCGGTAATGGGGGCAAAAAATTATTGTCAATAAATCAAAAAACATTGTCAAAAATTTAATAAAAAATTAGATACCACATTTTTTATAATTTATTGTTTCTTGAATAAAGGACTAATAAAAGTTTAAATATAATTAAGTTTTTCATTTAAATGGTTGATGTTTTTATTCAATTTTTCTATTTCAAGTTTTCCAATATAAGATAAAACAAAAAAATTTGGTTTAATAAATCGAATTATAGTTCATGTTTAAAATAAGGCTTAAAAACGTTAAAGTAAAAAAATTGCTGGTTTTTATTAGCATTTTTATACTGTTTGAAAAAAAAAACTAATAAAAAAGAATTAACTAATAATATATTAATTAATAATTATATAAAGACTTTTTTTAAGAAAAAACTAATCACAAAAATGTGGGTAGCAATCGCGATCGCGATACGCTTAATACGAGCCCTGTAAGACTTTTTTATAAGTTCTAAACTATTTAAAACTATTACTTAATAACTTTTTTTTAACGACGTCTTTCAACCGAATGCTATTATACTGTTTTTGCAAAACTAATTTAAAAAACTTGATTAAAACTTAACTATTTAATCACAACTTTTTTTTACTTGAAAATTGAAGTAGATATTTTAAAGTTGTTGTGACGTACTAATGTGATTTTTAACGACTAACAATCGAGTTTCAATGGTGAAAAAATAAAATCAAAATGGAGTTGTTTTTTAGTGATTTCGGCAATTGCTTTTTGTTAGCATGCATTTATTATTACAATTTAGGGAAAAAGAAAAAAAACTTACATATTTTTTTTTATGCTCTTTCATATGAGATCATATGTTAGGTGCACTTAGGGATCCCTTTAAAAAAAAAAAAGATTGAATTTTTTTTAAATAAAACTTCTCAAGCTTGAAAAAACAAGTAATTATAATAATTAATTTATGAACTTATAATGAAAAAATATTACATATTTTTTTCATACATTTATTTTTATATGCCGACACTTTAAAAGATTCAGGTCGTCAGTTGTATGCTGTTGTTAATCAAAAGATAGGTCACTTTTGCATCGGCAACCTGAATTTTGCAAGCTTTGTCATTCGTATAGCAACAGTCAATGGAGTGACACTTCAAAACATCAAATGCTCAAACAAACTAACAAACAAAAAACAAGCAAAAAAAGATGACTACTACAGCAACACAAAACTATAACATAAAAATCATTATGATAATAAATATTGGTTATTTAAAAGCTAACTTAATATAAATAATAGCAACAGTGAAAAGTAATAGCTGCTATAATAATTATAATAATATTGGCAGTGATAATTTTAATTCATGACTATTAGCAGTACATTTTTAATCCATGGTTTGTTAGTTAACTGTGATTAATTTTCTAGTCAATGCTTACCTTCAATAATATTTTTTCTCTGATGGGTTGATTTTTTTTTCTGATTCCATTGATAAATGAACCTCTTATGTAACTTCCTGGATTCAGGCAGATATGAAAGCTTTCATTCCTTTTCATCAGTTCCAAGCCAACCGTCATTCCACTCCACGATTTTTACCTTCTTATGCAGCTGCTATAGTTGTAATCTATTTTTAGTTACTAGTTGTAATCATTTTTTTTTAAATCTTTTTCAAAAGAACAACATTCTTGATAGCAAATTCCTTTTTTGTTATTGCAAAAAATCAATATAAAATGGTGCTGTTTGATGCTAAGCTTCATTATTCCCAGTTTACTAAACCTCATATCATTAGCAAAAGTTTGGCCATAGTTGTAAGAATGAATAGTCTGGAAACACGACTGGAAACAATAGTTTTTGTGTTGGTGTTAGGTTCTTGTACCCAGCCTACTTTAAGGTGCAAAACAAGCAATTTTTAATAAAGAGTTAAACTAAAAGTACCTGGAGCATTTTTAGTTTAACTCTTTTAGTTTTAACATTGAAGCTCTCAAAATTTTTAAACCTTAACCCTCTCTGATTGCTTATTTCATATACTTTCAAAAAATTTTAAACCTTAACCTTCCCTGATTGCTTATTTCATATACTCTCAAAAAAATGTAAACCTTAACCTTCCCTGATTGCTTATTTCATATACTGTCAAAAAAATGTAAATCTTAACCCTCCCTGATTATTTTATATACTCTCAAAAATATATATTGATCAAAAATTTAGGTGCAAAGTGAATGCTCTTGTTTATTAATTTTTAACTAGGGATGGGGACTTCATAAACGAGTGGGCGGGAATTTTTATTTTTATTAGTGCACTTATAATATTTTTAAGGTTGGTTTACCCTAATCGTTTTTTTTAGTTTTGAGATATCATTTCTTTATTGATAACAAATAAAATATAATAAACAGATATATTTTTTAACTTAATTTTATTAAATAAAAAAATTTAATAAACAGACTCAATAAGCTCAGAATAAATAGGAAAGTTTCTTAAAATAACTTGGAATATGGTAATAAAAACCCTAAAATGTCAGCCCTAAATGTTATCTAAAAACTATTAATTATGTAAAGTTTCCGATCCCCACAAAATGATATGTTTGTAAATTTAATATAATCATATATTTTGATTTCAACTCTCATTTATTAAAATTTTTTGCAAAGCAAAATCCTTATTTGATAAATTAGATGTAGAAAACTTTTTTTTTAGCCTGTAGATTATCCTTGATTAGCCTGTAGATTATCTTTGACATAGGAAAATGTCCTCAATTTCACATACAAGTTCAGGATGTCTTCAAGAACATTTAAAGAAATTTCTTTATTAACAAAAGTATCAGTTTCATTTCTAATCTTTGAAAAATTTGATAAAACATTTGTATCTTTAAGAAGAGAGAATAGAATATTTTTGCTGTTAATTTTATTGATAGACTTACTAAACATATTTTTAAAGATTGTTTTAACAGAAATAAAAATACAAATTGCCTCAATTTCCATTTTCCACAAGCCTGATCTGGTACGCATGTTAACATGTTTGTGCTCAGGCAAATCATTGCCTTCTTGATATTGAGCAGCAAGTAAAATAGATATATACTGTTGATAGTATTCTTCCTTATAAATATCTGAAAACCTGATGCAACGATATGTGCTAAAAACATACCCATATAAATAGACAATAACAGATCGATCCCTATTTGAAAGTACACAACCCTTCCAAGATGAAATTGTATATCTTAACTGATTGACCAGAAAGATGTGACAATACATGGTTAAAAACTTCAAATCCGAGTAATGTGGAACACTATTTATTCCTATAAAAATTGAATCAATCAAAGATACATTTGTAAAATGTATATTGTCAAAAATACATTTGCAAAAATCTGGATAAAAATTTTCGGCATTTCCTTGAAATAAAGATATAACCGCTTTTATAATCTGTATGCTGTGTTAGCTATATCAAAATTAATCACATAAGCTTTAAAATAATTTTTTATGGATTCAAAACAATTATCTGCTTTGGAAGTGTTGAAAGCTTTTCAATACTTCTAAATATATTTGAAAGTCTTCGAGATCAAGAATTTCTATTGATATTTTAGTTTTTTTTATATCTTTTAAAACGTTAGAATGATTTCATAAATCATTGGAATGTTTAGTATTGATGTGAAAAGCTCAAATATTTTTTGTTACAAAATTGACAGGATTGTGTTATTTGTGGTATATCTGAAGCATGTTGTTTTTCAGCAACGTTATTTAACAAATCCTGGTCAATAATTGCAAAAATAGAATCAAGCTCGTCTTGATGCAACTCAAAAATGGACTTAAAATTATTCAAATCTTTTGAACTTTCAGCCATCATAACAGTTTGTTTTGCACTTTATTCACGCTGACCACCTGATTTTCAACTTAAACAATGGAAACTATTAAAAACAGCCTACGTTTCTAGACTATTCTTTTTATGACTATAATTAGGCTTTAGAGACTTTTGGAAAATCTTCAACAGTGTCATTAACAATGGTAAGTCAAACATTCCATTTCTAATTCATGGGTCTAATCTTATTATTTTTCCCATAGATAAGATTAAACTATTTGCATAAATTTTTTTTTCTAATTTGACTCTTGAATTTAATAGCCTTACTCTTCCTTCCATTCTAGTTAAACAGGTTAATCCATTATTAGACATCCAAATAACTCTGGCTTCCATTGCTAAAGTCATTTCTTGATTAAACTCTTCTATTGCTTGTGTTCAGAACTCTCTTCAATTCTTGCTAAACTATTTAATAAATGCTTGAATGAATCTTGTTTTCCTGCCTGCTGAAAAATGGGATCTGTGCTTCTAATATTAAAAACCCTAGATAACAGGACTCTTCAAATTATCATTCAATCATTTTTCTCTATTATTATTATTTTACTTTATTATTAGCAAGCTCTTTGAGATCAACAAATTTCTAACATCTTATTATGAGTCCTGTCTGACAATCAATATGGTCTTCGATCTTCTGGTTCAATGGCTGACTTGCTAACTGCTGTGACTTAAATATTTTATTATGCATTAGATGGAGGCGGCGAGACAAGGGCTATTGCTCTTGATCTATCTAAACCTTTCAATAAAGTTTGGAATGCTGGTTTTCTCTATTAGCTTGGTTCTTCATATGGTGTATCTGGGAAAGTTTTTGAGATTGTCAAATCATTTCTTTCTAACCACTTTATTAAAGTCATCTTTAAACACCAACACTATCATTTTTAGTAACTTCTGGAATACCTCAAGGTTCTCCAGAAGTTACTGGAAATGATAAAGAGTTTTGTTCTTTTTGCTGATGACTCAACTTTATACTTCTGTCTTGACAGCTTAGAACAGGCATCTTGAATCTGATCTTATTTCTGTAATATATTGGGGCTTGTTGTGGCTTGTGAATTTCAATTCCAACAAAACTCATTTTTTTACTGCAAACAACTATCGCAATACTATTGACATTCCTATATTAATGAATGGCAGCCCTCTCACTGAGTACTCCTCTTTACGTCTTCTTGGATTACCATTCATTACTGATCTCTCATGGAAACCATACAATCATTGCAAAGCTAGCATCTGCTAATGTTGCTTCTCTTTAATGTGCTCCCATTATCTTACTCCTAATCCTATTCTCTACCTCTACAAATCTCTGTTGAAACCAGCCCAAATCTGACTGTTGTCCTATTTGAACTGGTTTTTCTAATGATGCTCTTTCTCTCTTAGACAAGTTCTAAAAATACATTGTAAATGTAGTTGGGTCTGCTATATCTATATGTAAATGTAGTTGGGTCTGCTATATCTGCCAAGCTTGAACCTCTCTTCATTGTAAAGTTGGATCTCTTTCTATTTTCTACAAATACCATCATGGTTGCTGCTCAAAGGAACTACCTTCTTTAGTTTCATCAACCAAAACTCGTTCTCGTTTGACTCTTTGTTCATCAAAGTTGCATCCTTTTACTGTATCTGTTGCTGCATGCTCTAAAAACTTTTATTCATCTAGTTTTTTCCCCAGAACAAAGAATACTAAATCAATCTAAGAATTTAGATAGAGACATAATAACAAATTAGCAAAAAGCATATTGTGTTTTTTGTTAAGAGTTTTTTTTTGTGGGAAATGAAAATTAATTTATTCAGTTTTGTTGGCATCCAAAAAATTTATATATCTATTAAAATGAACAATGACTCAAGAGCAGAACTCCTAATATGTGAAGAAAACCAATCATTAGCGATACCCCTTTAAATTAAGTAATCTCTTAACTTTTAACCAGTAACCATTTAACTAAGTACATACTGTGTAATACACAGTATACATAATTGATAAATAAAAAAAAACTATACACAGTGTATATAATTTTTTTATTTATCAATTTTGTGCAAGTTAAGTTTATAATATAAAGAAAGCAACTTTTCTAGTACCATGTGACTAATTCTAGTACCATGTGACTATTCAAAAAATTCAAAAAAAATTTAAACCATTATTTATTCAAGATTTTCATTTAAGTTAAAATTTATTAAATTTAATTTTATAAGTTGTCATGTTTATCAGTTTATGAATGGCTTAAAATAGAATTATTTTATTTTTATAGAAATTAATTTTTCCATAGAACTTTATGCTTACCGATCCTATTTTATCTGAATTTAAAGCAGAAATTATCAGGTATCAAGATATTGAACAAAGCATAAATGAAATACCTAACATATTTTACTTTGGTCATTGTACAATTCAACTAAATTCAGAACCTATCAAGGTTGCTCTTAAAGTAGAAGCTCAATCATGGAAGTTGGCAGTAGGGCAAGCATTAAATTCAAAATATTCAAGCATTCTAGAAGAAATAGTTTCTTTCATTGCTGATTATTCTAGGCGTCTTACACACCCTATCCAGGACTTGGATGATATTCGATTTGTTATGGCAGCTCTTTCAGATATCAGAGAAAATGAAATACGTCTTGATATGTCAATAAGTCCTATTGAGGTAATTTTTTTTTCATTTTTATTTTTGACAAATGTAAAAAATAAATAACAAATTTTTTTGAGTCTAAATGTTTATCACAATGATTTTTGTTAATAAATAAAAGGAACAATTTATTAGGTAAAGTTCTGTTAAATTTATTTAGGAAACTTACAGCCTGTTAAATCGATTTGCAGTTCAGTACAATAGAGAAGAATCAGAAAAAGTGGATTCCTTGAGATATTCTGTTAAGAAATTGTTGAGTCAAGCTGTAAGTTTTAAACAATAAAAAATTGTATTTGCTTTGTAATAATATATAAGAATTATATATAATTAAATTTTATAAAAAAAGAAGATGAAATACCAATAAAAAAATAGCTAATTTGTTTATAAATAATAACAATAAAATAAATAATTAAGAATTAAGAATTATAATAAATTTAATAAAAAAAAAAAGAATATGAAATACCAATAAAAAAGTAGCTAATTTGTTTATGAATAATAACAATGAAATAAATGTAGTATAGAGAGAATTTGTATCTTTTAATATTTTAAAACTAATTCATAGGAACTCCTAAGATATTTCCATTTAAATATAATTATTTAGAATATATATAATTTTTTTTTTAGTCTGGAGTTCAAACTGAACTGGTTAAGATTCAACCAAAGTTTCGGGATACCTTGTTAGAATCAGTTGAAGTATTTAAAGTTGAACAGAAAGCATTTACTGATGATTATCTCATGGTTAACTAAATATTTTTAAATTTATTTATTATTTGGAATGTTGAGACACATGCTAGAGTTTTTTTTTTTTTCTTTTTGTTTATAATTATTAAAATTGTTTGTTACTTGTTTCCTATTTTACTTATTGGTTGAACATGATGAAATTCAACACCCTTGAAATTATTAATTTCTCAAAAACTGCTTAATTGTTTTGCATACGGAAGTCAAGGTGTTGTTGTTTGATTCTAAAGGTAATGAATATTTGTTATTATTGTTATTAGGTTATAATAAGTAAATAAATAATAAATAAAAAAAAAGTTCAACAATTTTTGACATGTGCTTCTCGATTCTAAATTGGATTTATTTTGTGGCAATATAAACAGGCTCAATATATTGAAAGAGATGCTGGAAGTAGAAAAAGTATGTAAAGATAGATATAAAACAAAATCTATGATTTGTTCGATATAGGCAAAACCATTTCAGTCACAGAAAGATCTTGCATGAAAATTTAAACCAAGCTTTGAAAGGAAAAACTCTTACATCTCAAGAATTTAATGCATATCATAAAAGTCAAACTTCAAAATGATTCATTGATGGAGAAATTATAGCAAATAGTAAATCAAAAAAGCTACATAAACTTTTAAGCCAAAAAAAAATTGTGTGTAATTAAAAACGATGAATCTATTGCGAAAAGAACTTTTCACAATTGCCAGGCCAACAATATTTTTATTAGTCAAAAAGTATATATGTTGCCAAAAAATTCAAGTATATTCAAACTGAAAAGTTTGCTCCCAAGTTCCTTATATGGCAAGCAATCCTGTGGTTTGAAAAGTACACTATACATTGCTTTTTATACTTTAAATGCGGATTTGATTACAAAATACTTAAAAAAACACCTTTTGCTATTTATAAAAAAAGCATGATATGCCCATGATATTTTGGACTAATTTGGGTGCAATCCCATCCATTGGGTGCAATCATCTCCAAGAAGTCTCTAGAATGGTATGAACAAAGTAATGTTGAAATTGTACCTAAGGATGTAAATTCTCAGATTCGTCCTGAAAAGTGAGTTATTGAAAGTAATTGGTCAATTATAAAAGGAATCTTATGGAAAAGCAAGAAATTTCAGAGCTTTAGATAATAAAAAGCTTTACTTAAAAAAGATTAAAAAAAAATGAATAGCAACTATAAAAAAGTAACCCAGAGTAAGATCCAGCAGATGTTGTCAAGTACTTGCAAAAATATTTGGTTTCTATCTAAGCGTCCAATAAAAAATGTTAAAAATTATTGAAATAAATAATTCAATTAGCTTCATTGCATGAAAAAAATTAAAAAAATCTGTTGAGTAGTTTTTGAGTAGTTAACAATTACAGGGAGCTGAATTTCATAGTGTTCAACCAATATACAGCTGCTTTCTGAATTGTATACAGTTTATATTATACTGTTGTATTGTATTTTAATATTGTTCGCAACACTATAATATAAAATTACTATATAGCTATTATATAAAAGCAGAGATAATATATAGAATATATTTAGATTTTATTTCTTCATGGCAGTTTAAATTTCAGCCTCACTCTATCCCATTTTAAGATTCCACTAAAGCTCTTATTTTATCTCCGAAATTAGGTTCAAGAGAATTTTGACAAACCTTAACAATATCATTAGTAAAGACAAGTCTAATATTTCATCTCTCATATATGGTTATGATCTTATTACTTCTCCCGAGGATAAGATAAAACTATTTGCAAATAACTTTTCCTCTAATTTGTCTCTTGAATCTAATAATCACACATTTCCTGTCATCCCAAAGAAACAGCTTAATCCATTGTTAAGCATCCAAAGCACTTGTGCTTCTGCTATGTTATTTGCCTCATTCAACAGCTTGTGTTCAAACAACATTTCTGTCATGTTCAAAGAAAAGAGTTCTTCAGAAATCTCTTTACTGCTCTTTAAACTGTTATAAAACTTTTAGAGAATAACAAATGATCTTGCTAATAACAGTAATAAATTTATCCTAGAATCACAACACTCTTCTTCAGTTTCAGTAATTTCATTCTGACTTATCATTTAGCAGAGTTGCTAAATGATAAGTCAGAATCTTTTTACTTTAAATGTTTCTTCATGCTCAATAATTATTTTTTTTTTAGTTTTTTTTCCTTAAACTTTAATGCTTTGGAAATCTTCATTTCTTCCTGACTTGCATAATTTAAAATTTTTTTTAAGTCTTTCATCAACACGTTTCTCCACGCAGCGGCCTTGTTCGTCAAGGTTCGTGTTTCGGAGTTATAGAGTTGAGAGAGGGTTATATAACCACAAATAAGTAGCCTCCTTGTCTTTAGTGGCCTTCTCGGGCTTTTCGGAGGTGAATTAACAAAAAAAAAATAATAATTTGCTTTCTATTTTCTGTTTTTTATTTAACTCTAAAATTAATTAGTGGTTCATTGCAGCCTTGTTTGGTCTAAATTTAGGTAAAGAAAAATCAGAAATAGTTATATAAATTATTTCTGATTTTTTGCTAGTTACATATTTGCCAAATATAACTAGCTCAGTATAAAATAAGTTTTATACTGAACTAGTCATATTTGGTACATCTATAGTACAATATTTTTTAAAGGTTAGTCCAATATTTTTATAGGTTGGTCCAATGGTACATGGAATAACTCCTCAGGAAGCTAGTGATAGATTAGCTCTTTTTCAAGTAAAAAAATTATAATTATTTTATTGAAATAGTAGTTTTTTATGTATGTCTTGAATTTTTTTTTTAATTATTTTAGATACGCTTTGATGATTTATGGAGGAAATATCAAACTTATTCAGGTGGTGAAGAATTGTTTGGGATTCCATTATCTGAGTATCCTCAAATTATACAAATTAAAAAAGAACTTGGGCTTTTGCAAAAGCTTTATGGGTTGTACAATGCTGTCATTGAGACTGTTAATAGTTATTATGATATTCTATGGCATGATGTTGATATTGAAAAAATAAACACTAGTCTTTTGGATTTTCAGAGCAGGTATTTCAATAAGATTTTTTTATTCATTTTACATTCTTTTATGATATTAACAAAATTTTTTTTTTATACTTATAGGTGTCGTCGCTTGCCAAAAGCTTTAAATGAGTGGGATGCATATATTGAGTTGAATAAAAAAATTAATGATTTTAATGAGTGTTGTCCACTTCTGGAAATGATGGCAGATAAAGCTATAAAGCAGCGCCATTGGGATCGTATGGAAGGAGTTACTGGTCATCATTTTGATGTAGACAGTGAAAATTTTTCATTGAGAAATATTATGGAGGCTCCTTTACTAAAACATAAAGAAGATATTGAGGTATGAAATTCTCTGTTCATTTTAGTTTTTTTTTTAAAGTACTATTATAGTTTATGTATTTGTTTTATTAGGACATTTGTATTTCTGCTGTGAAAGAGAAAGATATAGAAGCTAAGCTTTCAGTCATTGTGTCAAACTGGACAGTACAAGAGTTTACATTTGGGTCATTTAAAGCTCGAGGAGAACTACTTTTAAAAGGTGCTAACACCACAGATATAATTGCACTACTTGAAGATAGTCTTATGATTCTTGGATCGCTTATGAGTAACAGGTGTGATGATAATTTTATTCATTTTAAGTAATTGTTTTTAAATTTAAAATAGTATTTCTGTTTATGTATATTTTAATAGTATTATTGATGTTGAATTTAATTTTGATGTAGTTTTTATTAGTCAAATATAATAGAATTAATTTAATAACATTTATTGCTAGGTACAATGCACCATTTAAGAAAGAAATTCAAACGTGGGTGTATAATTTGTCTAACACATCAGATATAATAGAAAGTTGGATGGTTGTTCAAAACTTGTGGATTTATTTAGAAGCTGTGTTTGTAGGTGGAGACATTGCTAAGCAGCTTCCCAAGGTAATTTTGATAGAGTTTATTTTAGTTATACACAGGTTATATCATGTTATTTGACCTATTTTTACTAAAGTAAACTTGTTTGATGATTTATTCAAATATCCAAGTTGTTATAAATTTTTTTGTTTATTCAATTTTAAACTTTTTTGTAAATTTTAGGAAGCAAAAAGATTTCAAGGTATTGATAAGTCTTGGGTTAAAATTATGGCCCGTGCACATGAAACACCTAATGTTGTTCAATGCTGTGTTGGAGATGAGACAATGGGGCAATTACTTCCTCATTTACACGAACAACTGGAATTGTGTCAAAAGTCTTTAACCGGATATCTAGAGAAAAAGCGTCTTCTTTTTCCTCGTTTTTTTTTTATATCTGATCCTTCACTACTTGAAATTTTAGGTCAAGCTAGTGATAGCCACACTATTCAAACGCACTTGCTTGGCATTTTTGATAACACAAAAAATGTTGGATTCCACCCTCAAGATTATGATAGAATTATTTCTATTATCTCAAGTGAAGGAGAAACTGTACAGGTAGTTTTTAAAATAATCCTTATTTACACTTTTTGTAGATACTATCCTATAATAATAAAATAATGCTTTGGTTTTAATGCTATATTGTCTTTTGCTTACAAGGATTTGAGCGTGACTCATAGATAGGTCTAAAAGTCTTTACTCTACTGAGCTTATGAAATTCAAGAATACAAGTTCAAGTCATAAGTGGTTATGACAACAACAAAAAATTGATTAAAAATTCTCTTACTGTATATTATGTTTTTAATATTTCTTTAAAATATAGAAAGAAGAAGAACAAGTCTAAGAAAAATATACTAGATAGCTTTGTTGATTTAGGTGGTAAAGATATAAATGAATTATTATTTTTTTTTTAATGTAAAAGAATTACTCATCTTTTTTTGTTTTTTTGTAAAAAAAACATTTTTAGAACTTTCAGAATTATTTAGTTAGGTAGTTTGCTTCTACTAGTATTATAATATTTCAAATTATGCCTATTTGCAAAGATAAGCGTTACCCTGAAAATAATAATTTATTTATGTTATTTCTGTAAGAGCTGGTGACCTTCATAGAAAAAATGCACAAGAGCTTAGATCTAAATTTCTATTGTGATTTAAATTACACTATATTTTATAATATAATTTGTGTATAGCAGAATCCTGAACAAAAATAATTTCATGCCTACTTTGGTTTTTGAAAAACAAGTTTAATATCCAAATTTATGTTTTAAAATGTAATGTAATCTAAACATAACTTTAAAGGTAAGGATGGAAAGTATGGTATTTAACTAAGAATTAATAACTTATTTCAAGCAAGCTTTTGCATCTTGTTTTATATTTTATGCGCTTTTAGGGAATTACAAAATTATTTTTATAAGGCATTATTGGTTACTAATAAATAAAATTCAATTATAGCTTGACAAGCATGTTGTTGCCAAGGGTAATGTTGAAGTTTGGTTATTAGAATTACTTAATGAAGCACAGCATTCTCTTCACAATGTTATTCGTGATGCATCTATTGCTCTCAAAGATCCTGGAATTGATATAATGAATTTTTTTAATACCTTTGTTTCACAGGTTGTTGTTTTTTTCTAAATTCAAGTTTTTACTTTAAGTAGTTGCAACTTTATGTAATAGGTTACATTAATATCAAGGTTACATCAATATCAAGGTTACATCTATAACTCACATTAAGTTGTTAGTGATAACAGAAAAGTTTCAACAAAAACTTATAATCAAATACGAATTACAGCTACTAATATACAACATTAAGTAATAACTAACAACAAGTAATAAGTTACAAAAAGTAACAAATCACCAAATTTTGATAGTATTATTTAGGTTGGTTTACTTGGCATTCAAATGATTTGGACACGAGATGCAGAGGAAGCATTAGAAAATTCAAAACAAAACAAGCTTATAATGAAGCAAACCAATCAAGCATTTTTAGTTCTCTTAAATTCCCTTATTGATGTCACCATACGAGATCTTACTAAAGTGGAAAGAACAAAATTTGAAACTCTTGTAACAATTCATGTCCATCAAAGAGATATATTTGATGATCTTGTAAGTATTTAAGTAATAAATAGTTTGAAATGAATGATATGAATTCTTTGTAACAGATTCAAGCTTATTATAGATTTATTGAATGTTTAAAAAAATATGATTTAGTGAAAAATATACAATTCAATGGCTCTGCTCTGTAAAGCTGCTTTAAAAAAAAAAAAAATTATGAACATGTGACCATGATTCATTTTTAAGATTCTATATCTTTTTAAGACTACTTTCTTTGAAACAACAGAGCCTTGAAATAGGAAAGCGCTTTTAGAGCATGCTGCTCTTTCAAGTTACAGTTTTTCTAAGGTTTTAAAAATTTACGCAGAGTTTAAGGAAGTTATATAAACTTAAAAGCGTTTAGGGAAGTTATAAATTTACAAGGAGTTTAGGAAGTTGTACTTCTTGCAAAAAAAAAAGAAAAGTTGAGTTTTGTTAAGAAAAGTCTTATGGAGCACAGTGTTGACCTAATTTTAAGCCAACCATTAATTTTTAACAAAATTTTTTTTTTCTATTTTTGCGGTTGTTTTTTTTAAAGGTAAAAATGCATGCTCATAGCACACAGGATTTTGATTGGTTGAAACAGTCTCGATTTTATTTTCATGAAGATACCGACAAGTGTATTGTGTCAATTACTAATGTTAATTTTGAATACCAGAATGAGTTTCTTGGATGTACTGATAGATTGGTAATTACACCTTTAACAGATCGTTGCTACATAACAATTGCTCAAGCTCTTGGTATGTCTATGGGTGCGGCTCCTGCAGGTCCAGCTGGAACAGGAAAAACAGGTATTTGAAATAAAATCATTAACTTTAATTATAACTTAATTAATAATAATTTGTATTATATATATATATATATATATATATATATATATATATATATATATATATATATATGTATATATATATATATATATATATATATATATATATATATATATATATATATATATATATATATATACATATATATGTATATATATATATATATATATATATATATATATATATATATATATATATATATATATATATATATATATATATATATTAGGGATGTCCACATATACATGGAGGAAAAAAAATTTCTTCCGATTTTAGTGCACATAGGCTCATTTTGTTCGTTTTTCAATATTTAGTCATGTTTCCAAAAAGATCCCTAATCAATTAATATTTAGGGGTTGCTCAATGGCCCCAAAGGTTTTTCAATATGCATCAGCATTGGGTTACCCGCGAGTCCGCGATAAAATTGTAACAACAGAAAATAATCTGTCCATTTGACCAATCTTTATGATAAGGTTACTGACTGTAAAGCACCATTGCATTTGCATTACTTATTTATTTAGTGTTTTTAGAATTTAGATATTCTATGATGATGTCATTGTCAATGTAGCAAATGAGAATTATTTCAGCAAACTTGTGAATTTATACAGAATTTATTTAATACATTGATATAAACTCTCAATAAAGGTAATTATAATAGTTTCAATTAGTTTCTTACTTTGTGCTGATTTCATATTTATTTGATCATTCTATTAAACAGTTGTAGGAACTATAGACAACCTGCTTAATGCTGTGTTGAACCATTAGTAGGGTTTCAAACTTTATTTGTGACAATCCGAATCCATTATAAAAATAATAAAATATATTCTAATAAATCATTTTTATATGAATTCATTGAATTAATAGGCCTATCTTGTTATTAATTCTAAAATGCTTCTATCTTAATTTTAGACTGTTGCTGAAAATGGCTGCAAAGTCAAACGCTGTACCACTGACACGCACTCGAACTGCTGTTTGGCTGATTGGTCAACCTGAAAAGGACCTACCGAGTAATGTCCTTCCGACAACGGGCGATGTTCTTCGTACATTTTTCCATTACCACAAAACAATAAAACAGACAGTATCTGCCAGTGCAAAGTCAACCTCATCTGATTTGGTAAAAATTTGGAGCAAGGCACGGATACCAATGACCTATCAACCACATATCGTGTCAAAGGTGAAGGTATGCTTTGATGAATACAGTTTGATCAAGAAGAATAAAGGAAGAGAAAGTGAATCACAGCTAGCTAGAGAAAAAGCATTTAAAGACAAACTGAATCTACTCTTTGATATTGCTCACAAAGATACAGGTACATTAATCAAAATCGATGAAGACAAGCTGTTTTTGGAGGATCAGCGGAATGCTCGCATGATGAAGATGAGTGGAGAAGATGTAAGATTATCACAACAAGAAGAGCGAGCAGCACAGCGTCGACAGGCTGAAGCTGAAAGGAAACAGCGTGAGGAAGAAAGGAGAGATGCAAGTGCCAGAAGCAGCCATCACAATCATGGTCTTGAAAGCGACAGTGACGGAGCAGAAGAGGAGGATATTGAAGATGATGATTACGAAATAGAGATACCAGTATATCACAAGAAGCAGCTATGTGAGGTAGTGGATGCTGGACATGAATGGACTACAGTTAACAAAAGACCACGCATTTTGGAGAACATTCTGTCGTCACCAGATGTTTCATCAACACTTGATCGCATAAATTTATCTGACCAGAAGTTTACAATTTTGGCAGCAGCAATTGCTAAAGCCAGTGGACAGGACCTACAAAGCACGCCATTGTCAAGATCAACAGTACGTCGCAAACGTATTGAACACCGATCTTCAACAGAAAATTGTATTCGGCAGGAGTTTCTCTCCAGTGAAAAACCGCCTCTGGTGGTCCACTGGGACGGTAAAATCATGCGAGACAGCACGAACTTAGAGGATCCAAAGTCCAATGTTGACAGAATTGGTGTTAGTGTGACTGGTGTAGATTTGGAGAAAATCTTGGGAATTGTCAAGCTTCCAGCGGGCACTGGGGTAGCACAAGCCAAGGCAACATTCCAGTTGGCCAAAATATGGGATGTTGATAGTGAAATCGTTGGCATGTGCTTTGACACCACAGCTTCGAATACGGGCTCCAAAAATGGTGCATGTGTCTTGCTGGAACAACTAATTGGGAGAAACCTTCTATACTTAGCTTGTCGACACCACGTGCATGAAGTGATTATTGGTGAAGTGTTCACAGTTTTGCTTGGCCCAAGCCGTGGCCCAAACATTGCTCTATTTGAACGTTTTCAGCAGTCTTGGCCAACTATTGACCAAATGAACTTTGTTCCACTTGATGATACGCGACTTACAGTTCCACAGCTGCAACAACTCAGAGCAGAATTTGGTCCTTTCTTGCTGTCTTTTCTGTCAGGTCAAACGTCATATCTACCACGAGAGGACTACAAGGAAATGATTGAACTTTGCCTCTTGATATTGGGTTTCACACTACCAAGCCATCCAGCTGGTGGAAAGCCATATCATTTCAGACAGCCGGGTGCCTACCATATGGCAAGATGGATGGCAAAGGTCATATATTGCATGAAGATTTTCCTGTTCAGGAATGAATTCAAACTGACTTCAACTGAGGTGAAAAACCTGTCTGAATTTTGCATTTTTGCAGCTCACATTTATGTACCAGCTTGGATTGCTTGTCCAGTGGCAAGTGATGCACCATTGAATGATTTGATGCTGTTTCAGAGAATAAAAAGATATGCTGAGGTACACAAGATTGTTTCACAAGCAGCTTTGAAGAAATTGCAGAATCACATGTGGTATCTTGGAACAGAAATGGTTCCTCTTTCACTGTTCTCCAGCAAAGTATCTGATGAAGAAAAGAAGTTGATTGCGGAAGCCATGATCCTCAGTGGAGATGATTGGAGTGTCAGGGGAAACAAGTTTCCAGTATCAAAATGTAATGAGTTGGAGAAAAAGCAACTACATGAACTGGTAACATCATCATCAACAGCTGCATTGCAGTCACTTGGACTTGACATAACTACCTTGTCAGGACTTGAGCCCCCGAGTTGGGAAGAAAGTGCTTCATTTCGAAAAACCAAAGCTGTTGTTGCTTCTCTCAAGGTTATCAATGATACTGCCGAGCGCTCTATTGTACTGATGAGTTCTTTAAACCAGTCAATAACAAAGACAGAGTCTGAAATGCAGAAACTCCTCCAAGTTGTTGAGGACAACAGGAAGCGCATTCCAGATTACCGTAAAAGCACCCTGATGGCATATGCCCCTCGGTAGACGTCGCAAGCTTGAAAACTGAAATAAGTTGAACTTTGAACACGTGAACAATAAATGAGCATGCAATAAAAATCTGAACGAACATGTTTAAAAATTGCTGTTAATTTCTTTGATATTAATTTTGATAAATTAAAAATTGTTAATGTGTGACTGATTGTGTCTGCACTGTCTGTGTCATAACCAGTATGTCTTTTTGAAATGAATAGTAATGTATCTATCACATTTTATCATCTTGTGATTCTAGTTTGAAGATTTCAGTCAAAAAAGTGCAGCCGCGGCAAGTTTATCTGTACTGTTAAACTTCACCTCCATTGAGCAACTTGTAAATATCAAAATATAAATGCCAAAATTTGCATAAAAGTTAGTTTCCATCAAAGGAACAAAATGAGATACTGTGCTAGGTTGAATTCAAAAATTTTTTTTTTTGGACATACCTAATATATATATATATATATATATATATATATATATATATATATATACAAAAAAATTAAGTTTAATATTTTAAAATAATAAATCCTTAAAATAATTTCCAGTTACTCCCTAAAATTAATTCAAATTGAAGTAACAATTTGCAGTTAACTAGTTCTTGAACACATCTATCTCTTTATTTTCTTGGAAGTTTAGTTTGACAAGATAATAGTTGTTTAGTTTAAAAAAGTAATTGTTGTGTTGAATTGCTTTTGAAAAAAAAACTGAAAAATCATTTTGTTTTTTATTGTATTTTTAAAAAGCTATTTTAATTCATATCATACTTTTACAAAGTGAATTTATTTCATCCTGATTTGTTTTTATAAAACATTCTGATTTGTTTTTATAAAACATTCTGATTTGTTTTTATAAAAAAAATAAAACAGTGAATTTATTTCATTCTGATTTGTTTTGTTTTTATAAAACAATTTAGTTTTAATTTTATAAAAAAAGTTAAAGTTTTTTTTGATTTTAATGAAGTGAAATTTATTTTATCATCTTTTTATGGTATTATACGAAACAAAAGTTTTTTGTAAAAATAAACAATTGTCTTTTTATATTTAAAACAAAAAATAAAGTTCCATTTTTTTTTTTTTTTTTTTTTTTCAAAAAAATGATTTAATTTAGTTAATTTCCTTAACTAATTTAAGTGTTCTTAAATTGTCAAATTAAATTGTCAAATTAAATGAGTTAATTGTTTGACACCTTAGTTTTTGTAAATATGTCCTTTTATTTTTTAATATCTTTTAATATTTATTAATAAAAGTAATTTAAAAGTAATAACATTTTTCACTTGAAAACAAAGAAATTGTTAAAGAGTAAAAAAACTGTTGACAGAAGAACTAAAATACTGCAATTTTCAGAATATATGAAGATGGGAGAGAGTTCCAAAGTATTAATGTGCAAGCAAAAAATTAGATAAACAAAAAAAAAAGTTTTTAGAGCATGAAGAGATAAATACAATAAAAGAATTTGACCTTGCTGATGATGTGTCATGCAAGATTGAATTTTGATCAATGGAGCAAGAGATAATTGGTAGTTTGAGCAACAACTATGATTGTATTTATAATAAAGAGAAAGAGATGCAACCTTATGACGATTCAACTACATTTAAAATACATTTTTGGACCTTATCTAAAAAAGAAAGGGGATCTTTAGGAAAACCTGCCCAAGTATCACAACAATTTTCCATACAAGGATAAATGAGAGACTTATAGCAGTAGAAAATAAAATCAGGAGAGAAAAAATGGTGAGCACAATAAAGAGAAACAATCTTACAAAATGCTTACTTTGCAATGGATTATATATACGATTTCCATGAGTGAATGACAAACCAAAAAGATGTAAATTAGAGGAGTCAGTAAGAGTGTTGTCATTCACCAATATAAAAATATCAACTATATTGTTATAATTCTTAGCAGTAAATAACAAAGTTTTGTTTGGGTAAAAATTTACAAGTCATTATATACTCCAGCTGATCACAGAAGAGAGATCAGACTCAAGATTAGCAGCCTGTTCTAAGCAGTCTGGCCCCTTCTGGAGCCCTGGAAAAGTAAATTTATAAATTTTTTTTTTTTTTTTAAATGACAGAAATCTTCTTCACCTGTCTTTTAAAGGTAACAGTTTTTATTTCTTGTTATAAAAAAAGTGGCATCAAGCTTTAGTGAGTTTAGTGGAAGTGGTTGAATTATTAGTAAATAGACACAATCTTTTGACTCAATCAGCATAGCAATTAACTTTGATTAATTATGACCTTGTCTTTTCTTACATACCATAAAGAATATAAATGATGCTTAAAAACCTTATGATCTTTCAGCACCTACACTAGTGAGCACAATTGTCAAGGATTCCAAACCCAAATTAGTTTTTTTAACAAATCAAACAAAATTATCTTTCAAAGCAAAACACCTTTCATTTACACCATCAGACTCTAATTCATCACCTTCACTACAACCATCAATAATTAAAAAATAAAACAAATTGAAATAAATGTTGAAAGCTGATACTCAGCCTTTATCAACACCATTTTTGCATGGAAGTTAGAAATTCACTATTAAAATTGCATCAAATCTGAAATTAAACCCAGACTTAATTAAAGACATGTTTGAAACTGACACTTTTCTGTCTGATTCTTTAACAATTATATTACTATTAATATCAGTTTTATGGTTGAAAAGCAATGAAATATTTGTGTTCGTCAAATGTAACATTAAGCAACAAAACGAGTCTTAAGTACTGTTTATGAAATTGATGTTTTAGAACTTTGAATTTTTATTTGATCAATTTTGATAAATTTGCAGAAATATAAAGATAATCTGTTATTTAATATTGTTAGCTATAAAATAATATTAAATAACAGATTATGTTATTTAACATTGTTTCATAGCTAACAATATTAAATAACATAATGTTAATATTGTTATTGACTATGTTCAATATTGTTTTCTATGAAAATTTTTATTAAAAAAAAAAAGTTAAATATGAGAACTTTTTAAACTAGTATATAAAGAAGTACAATTCTGTTGTTTGCGCTTTCCATTATTTATAACACCATAATAAAAAACTTATTATATAATTCTTAGTTTGATTTCACTTTCTAAAATTTAAATGACAAAAGTTTGATTATATTCACTTTCTAAAATTTAAATGACAAAAGTTTGATTATATTCACTTTCTAAAATTTAAATGACAAAAGTTTGATTATATTCACTTTCTAAAATTTAAATGACAAAAGTTTGATTATATTCACTTTCTAAAATTTAAATGACAAAAGTTTGATTATACTCACTTTCTAAAATTTAAATGACAAAAGTTTGATTATACTCACTTTCTAAAATTTAAATGACAAAAGTTTGATTATATTCACTTTCTAAAATTTAAATGACAAAAGTTTGATTATATTCACTTTCTAAAATTTAAATGACAAAAGTTTGATTATATTCACTTTCTAAAATTTAAATGACAAAAGTTTGATTATATTCACTTTCTAAAATTTAAATGGCAAAAGTTTGATTATATTCACTTTCTAAAATTTAAATGACAAAAGTTTGATTATATTCACTTTCTAAAATTTATATTAAAAAAGTTTGTATCTGTGTAAAATTGTGAATGACAACACATTGAATTATGCTAATTCGATATAGTATTTTTAAATCAAATTTCTAATAAAACATCTCTAAAATCCAACCAAAATTGTATCTAACTAATGATTGATATTTTTTAAACATTTTTTTACAATTAGAATTAAGTTAATATACAAACAATTTTATTTTTTTTCATAAAATGAATATACAATATTATTATTATTTCTTTCTCTTTAAAAAGTCTATTTAAAAGTTGAGTGTTATATTTTTAAATTATTTTGCATAAGCTTTTTTTATGCAATGTAATGTAAATTTAATGTAATAAATAATAAAAAAGATTATTGGATACTAATTGAATGAAATTTCATATCTCAAGTCAGCTAAACTGTTTTAACTAAGCCATGATGCAAAAACACTTTTATAATATTAGTAAAGTATTTGAAAACATAGGCCAACAGTTTTGAAACTTTTGAACAAGAAATTCATTGCAGATAATTTAATAGTTGGAAAAAATAATTTCAAAGTTGCACTTAATTTAAAAGTTAAAAAAGATAATTTAATAGTTGCAGATAATTTAATAGTTAAAAAAAAACTTTAAAAAATACTATGTATAAAAAAGAAAGGAATATAAAATTTTATCAATTCTTTAAAAAAATTCATTATATTAAATTGATCAGTTACCTAATAATGGTTGTAAAACTTTATTTCTCATTTTTATGTCAAATTTAAATAAGAAAATGACATAATAAAAATTTGCTTTTTGTGTGTATTTATGTTAATCACTGATAGTTATATATTTTTTTAAATATTAATAATCTGCTTTGAATAGTTTAAAATAAGAAAGTTTATTGATAATCTTTATTTAATAGCTTTAAAGAATGTTTATTTATTTAAAGTCATTTTATGATTTGCAATCTTGTTTTTCTTTAATAAGAAACTGTGAAAGACATGGGTAAAGCTCTTGGAAAGTATGTTGTTGTTTTTAATTGTTCGGATCAAATGGACTTTAGAGGCTTAGGAAGAATCTACAAAGGACTAGCTCAGGCTGGTGCATGGGGATGTTTCGATGAGTTTAATCGCATTGAATTGCCAGTATTATCTGTTGCAGCTCAACAAATCTATATTATACTGACAGCAAAAAAAGAAAGAAAGAAGGAATTTGTTTTTTCTGATGGCGATGTTGTTGAATTAAATACAGAATTTGGAATCTTTTTAACAATGGCAAGTTAATTAATTGTTACATTTTGTATTACAGTTAATAAATAAATTTTTCAAAATATAAAAAAATGGTGTATTTATTTTTCATACTTTTTACTATGATAAATAAAAGATATAATATAATATAAAATGTATAATAAATAATATAAAAGTATAAAAATATAAAATAATATAAAAGTATAAAAATATAAAAAAAGTATAAAAATATATAATATAAAAGATATAATATAACTCTATTTTGTCTTTAGAATCCAGGTTATGCTGGTCGACAAGAGCTTCCAGAAAATTTAAAGGTTCAGTTCCGTACTGTTGCAATGATGGTCCCTGATAGACAAATTATTATGAGAGTAAAACTTGCTGCTTGTGGTTTTCTAGAAAATGTTATCCTTGCTCAAAAGTTTTACACGCTATACAAACTATGCGAAGAGCAACTTACTAAACAAGTTTGTTTTTATGTTATTGTTGTTATAAATGTAGCTATTTTTAATTGGTGTGAGAATGTTGTCATCCTTTAATAGTGTTTTTTATTTTTTATTTTATTAAAATTATCACATTTAAATATGGATATGATCTATGATATTTATATTAAGGACAGATGTAAGCTGACAGAGATATTATTTGAGAGTAATAAAAATACATAATATGATATGACACAACAGTTCATATTGATATAACAGATGTTAGAAGTTTAAACTGGTTGAGTAAATATTAATTGAATGGCAGAAATGCTGGTTAATAAAAACTAAACTTGAATTATAGTATAGTTATGTGTAATTATTAATTGCTTAGCTACCTATAACTATGTTTTACTATGTTTATGACAAATAATAACGTAAAAAACTTTTGCATTAAAAAAAAGTTTTTTTAAAAAAATTTAATTTTTAATTACATTAAATTTTAGGTGCATTATGATTTCGGTTTACGAAATATTCTTTCTGTTTTGCGAACACTTGGTTCAAACAAAAGACTAAATCCTACAGACAGTGAAAGTACAACTGTTATGAGAGTTTTACGAGATATGAATCTCTCTAAATTGGTATTTTTTTTTAATTTAAAATAAAAATTAAGATGTTATACATTTTATTTTTTCAAACAAAATAGAAATAATAAAAGCTAAATTGTATAAAAGTTATACATACTTAACAGTATAAAACTGATTGTTGCAAAATTACAAAACAATCCTTAAAAAACTAAATTATATAACAAATGAATATGTGACATCATGAGAACACAAAACAAGTTTTATAAAATATGTTTATAAATTTAGGTTGATGAAGATGCTCAATTGTTTTTGAGTTTAATTGATGACTTATTTCCTGGAATTAAACTTGAAAAAGCTGGGTATCCCCAACTAGAATCATTTATACAAAAAAATGTTGAAGATAATGGTTTTATTTTTCATCCCCCTTGGGTGCTCAAAGTCATCCAAGTATTTATTATTTTGATTTTTTTTTACAGGATTATAAATGGTTATGCTATTTTATTAGCAAAATTTTTTTGTTTGCATAATTTTCTGTCATAGTTTAATCTATGTATTTTATAGTTGTTTGAAACTCAGAGAGTTCGCCATGGTCTTATGTGTTTGGGACCTAGTGGTGCAGGGAAATCAGTATGTATAACTATGCTAATGAAAGCTTTAGGAGATCAAGGTGAGCCACACAGAGAAATGAGAATGAATCCAAAAGCTATAACTGCACCACAAATGTTTGGCCGTTTAGATGCTTCAACTAATGATTGGACTGATGGAATTTTTTCAACACTGTGGAGAAAGACGTTGAAAACAAAACCTGGTAAAATTTTATTTAATGTACATCTGTTTGTTAAAAAATTGTTTTTACAAAAATATTTAAGTTTTTTATTATTTCTGGAAAGTTATGCTGTTTTTATATAGGTTTATAATAGGATAACATTTATTATAAAGTCTTTAAAGTAAAAATCTCTTTTAAAAATCATGAGTAAAAGCCAATTGAAAAGTACTTTTGAGTTTTTTTATTATTTTTGTGTTTATTTTGTTTTATATGGATTTTTTAATATCATTTTTTTTCTTTGTTTTGTTTTTTTATGAATCTTACAATTTTAAATCTCTTTGTATAATAAGATCTGCATACTGTGCTGCCAACATTCCAGTATTAATAAAGATCTGGCTTTTTTACCATTCTGTTAAATGGTTCCACTTTGTAAAATTAATTTATTGTATTTTACTGTATTTTATTATAAAATACTGTTTTAAAATAAAGCAAAACGTATGCTAAAAATGAAAATAATCAAAAAAAATTTTGTAAATTGAAATAAAAAAAAAAATTAAATTACTTTCATATTTTTTAATGAAATTTTTGCATTTTTAAATAATAACTTACAATATAAGTAAAAACCTAGTTATATGTTGTATTAGAAATTATTACATTTAATTAATAGTTTATAATAAAAATTAAATAGTTAAATTAGCATATAAAATAAAGTGTATTGTGCTAAAGATCTCCGCAATATTAACGTTTTACTTGTTTTTTTACTATAATTCAGACGTTCGGAACTGTTTCAGTACAATATGAACAATTACTTTTTATAAAGTACAAAAGTACATTTTTAGCATTAAGAGTATATAATAGAAAAAGTTTTTCTATTTTATAAATATGAATTTAGGAGAGAAGGTCTGGCTAATACTTGATGGACCAGTTGATGCTATCTGGATTGAAAATTTAAATTCTGTTTTGGATGATAATAAAACTCTAACATTAGCAAATGGTGATCGCATAGTTATGTCACCTCAATGCAAAATATTATTTGAAGTTCATAATATTGATAATGCATCGCCAGCTACTGTTTCAAGAGTAGGAATGGTGTTTATGAGTTCTTCTATACTCAACTGGAAACCAGTGCTTCAGGTAAAAATAATTTTTGTTTGTAATTATATATAAAGAATAGTACAATAGTTAAAAAAAAGGAATATTTATCTCAACTAAAAAAAATTACTGATAAAAGAATCAATCAATCAAAAAAAAAAGAGGATTGATTATTTTCTACTAATTTATAATTGTTCTGTTCTTTTAAGAATATAGAGCAATCTGTTTTGTAGAATACATTTAAAATTATTTGTGTATATATATATATATATATATATATATATATATATATATATATATATATATATATATATATATATATATGTATACAGGGGCTATTATAGACCCTCTTCGACAGCGCCAACCGTATTTGCGCCCAAATTCAAAATTGAAAACTTTTTTTTTTATAGCAAATATTGTTCTTTTTGAAAAAAAAACGCCTACATTTGGCATTATTTTCACTTAATATTGCTGGGCGGAGGGTACCGTCACCCAAATTAATTTCCTAGAATAGCCCCTGTTATATATATATATATATACATATATATATATATATATATATATATATATATATATATATATATATATATATATATATATATATATATATATATATATACACACACATAAATATATATACACACACACATATATATATATATATATATATATATATATATATATATATATATATATATATATATATATAGATATATATATATATATATATATATATATATATATATATATATATATATATATATATATATATATATATAGATATATATATATATATATATATAGATATATATATATATATATATATATAAGGCAGTTTGCAGAAATGAACTAGACTCTGTATGTGATTCTACTTCTTGCTGTTTGTTGTCAATGCTCCATTACAATGGTTTTACAAGCTCGTTGTGCTGCTGAGTGTGATTCTTAGCTATCCTCTTCTTAACAGTACATGACTGGAATTGGCATTGTAATTGTCACAAAATATCTGTGTTGTTTTAAAATTCTGATTTCAGTTCAGATTGTTTTTATAAGAAAGTAGGAAAAAATAGCTGTCCAATTTAAATGGTTCTTAGTAACAAACAGGTCTTTTTGGAAACAGACTCACAATAACCTCTACAGGACTTTTTGGAAACAGACTTACATTATAGTCAGGTTTCAGATAATTCTTTTTAAACTATTGTTCACAACAAATGTTTATAAGCAGAGTCTCGAGTAAAAGATTCAATCATGCTAATCATCTAGTGTCTTAACTATGCTCTTGATACTGGTCTGACCCATATCTTTGTCACACTCAAGTCATATGAATTTTCTGGAATTATCTACCAATTAGGCTGTGCAGTAAATGAATAACAGTATAATTTTTATTTTGGCCTGCACAGTTATCACAAAGATGAGTAACTCTTTCGCAGTTTCTGAGACTTTGTTTTTCAGGAAGTTACTAAGTTTCTATGCGACAAAGCCCAGACAGTTTTACCAAAACTAATCTGAAAGAGGCTATAAAAACATATATATATATATATATATTTAGTATTAGACAATTAGCATAAAATATATAGCAAAATCCATGTAAATGTTCTGTAGAATTTAATGATCAAACAGTTAAACACACAAAATCTAACGTTTACATGAAAAGAAAACGTAAAATATAAAAATTGAAATATTGAAATTGAAAATAAATTGTTTTGATTATGTGCTGACAAAAGTAGAGAAATTAATGAGTAAAATGAAGTTGTATTATTTTCTTTGAAACTAAAAAACACTGTAAACCTCAGAATAAAATAACATTGGACTGAGGCAATTTTTCCATGCAAAATTTGTCAGAATAAATATATAACTGTATTGAGTAGGCAGTGGAACCATTATTCGCATTTCTGAAAAAGTGGACTTTAGTCATTGCTCTTCGTATGTCTAATATCGGTAATAAATTATTGGAGAAAATTAAAAACTTTTATTTAACTTTGATTGTTTTTTTTTAGGGTTGGTTGCGATCCACACGTGCTCCTACAGAAGCTGAAGCTATTCAGTCAATATTTGATAACATTTTTGATGGGATATTAGTTCTAATTTATCAAAGTCTAAATCCTAAAATGGACTTGCTTCAAATTAATATTGTTAAACAAGTGCTTATTTAATTATTTTTTCAAATAATTTTATTGTTTTTAGAATATTGTTTTATTATAATATTATTAAAGGTTATTAATTTTCTATTCATAAATTTTTTTATTTGTTTGGTGTAAAATTATTAAAGTTTTACGTTAAGTTGTCAATATTGTTAATATACAAAAATAAATAGAAATTTTTTTTGCAGGCTATTGACCTGATGGAAGGATTAATTCCCAATCGGCAGGTGCATGGCCTTCTTCCAACAAATCACCTAAATAAACTAATTGTGTTTTCTATTATGTGGAGTGCAGGGGCACTGTTGGAGTTGGATGATCGTGTTAAAATGGAGCATTATTTAAGATCTTGCAATTGTCTTGATTTACCACAAATTACTGAAGGATCACAAGAAACAATCTTTGAGTATGTTATTGATAAAAATGGTAGGTTTTGAATAATTTAATTATTTGTCTTGATTGTTTTTACATTATATATATATATATATATATATATATATATATATATATATATATATATATATATATATATATATATATATATATATATATATATACAGGGGCTATTCTAGGAAAATAATTTGGGCGGCGGTACCCCTCTGCCTCACTCCCCCCTCTTAAAATTTAAGTAATGGGGGGGGGCCGAAACATGTTTAGAAAATTTCAAAATTTTTGTTTTTAGATAAACAAAAATTTAGTTAGTTTTTAGCTTTATTATTATGTTTAAATGTATTTGAAATAATTCACTATAATTCATTCCTGTTAAAATGATCTGTTACATAAATTTTATAAGGAAGTTGCTACCTAAAAATAAATATTGCACAGAAGTTTCACTGAAATAAAAATAAATTAACAAATAGCCAAATTACCTTAAATTTACTAGATTGCAAATGTTTATGGGGAAAAAAACCCACATATTTACTGCAACAAACTTACTAATCTCATTGAGTCCATAACTTATATGTATAACTTCCATGTATAAAATAATTATTCTATGAAACTGCTGTTGATGTAGTTAATAAAAAAAAATCTTTAAAATAATTATTGCCATATTTTTGCCAAAAATTAAAACAAATAAATATAAGCTAAATAAAAAAACATTACTACTTTAATCAACCTAAATGCGTTTACCAATGTACGAACTTTAAAAACAATGGTACTGGTGGTCCGGTGAATATACGCGCTAAATTAAAAAGTTTTGTCCAAGTCTCTTCAAAATAAAAAACCATAAATTGAAACTTATTTTCATATTCATTTATTTTTATATAACGGCTGCAAGACAACGGATCTATTCAAAATTAATGCCAAATAAATATATATATATATATATATTTCTCTATCATATTTATAAATATTTACATATATGTTAAATAAATTTTAAAAAAAGGTCTTCAATTACCTGAATTTGGGCGGCGTCCAAATCGGCGCCCAAATACGGTCGGCGCTGTCGAAAACGGTCTAGAATAGCCCCTGATATATATATATATATATATATATATATATATATATATATGCGTACATGTATATTAAGAGAGGTCGATTTTGTACTTTTTTCAAAATTTTAACTTGTTGTGCCCTCAGATAGCTGGGATATATTGTCAGGAATTCAGAACAATGATTCTTTTTTTTTCTACTTTACTCAAATTTTTGCGTAATTGATTAGGAAAATTCAGTAAAAACGTCAACTTTACTAAAAATGTGTTTAACAATTGAAGGGTATCATAGAAAACTAGTAGTTTAAAGTTTTTAATTTTTGAGATCCTATGCCTAGTTTACAGTAAGGATGTTGCTGTATTGTTACAAAGAAGCAAAGTCATTGACGAAACTTTCCAGTTACCACTAATTTTACACCTAAAAACTGCAAAATGAATGTTGTTATATAATTCCTAATTTTTTTTGGTAAAAATGAAAACTGGGGCATTGCTGATTTTACTTTGCACCCATCAACTAAATTATATTTTTAGTCATATAACAGTTGAATATACAAGTTAGTGTTATATTTTACAGGTTTGCAGGAACAGGCAGCCGTAAATGAACTTTAATTGAAAAAATAGTTTTTTAAATACTAAAGCTTATGGATCTCAATAAAAATCATTACGTTTTTCTTATTTTTTTAAATCAAATCAGGTATTATAAAAAATAAATTTAACACACAGCGTTTATTTACAGCATTACAACTAAACAAAAGTATATAGTTTTAGGCTAAAAAAATTTAGTTTTCAAAATGTCTTCAGATCCTATTAGAGTGCAATGTTAAGCTATTAGCTACTCCCTAGGTATAATCCAACAATAGTTCCAAAAAATAGCAACTAAAAAATAAATTTTTAACTAAAATTTGTTTTATTTTTATGTAAAATAAAAGACTTTAAACTTAGAAAAATTATATTATTTATGATATTTTTTAATTATTTGCATTTAAATTTATTATAACATTGTGAATTATAAAATAGGAGTGTTGAGAAAACTAAAAACAATAAATATATCATAATCTTTTTTTGAATAAAACTTTCTCCTTGAAATTCGACTTTTTTGTTTTCCTACTGCTAACTCATGCATATTCTGTAAAGAATACGCTTTTTTTGAAACTTCAGAAACAAGCTTTACAGCACGCTCAACAGACTGACTGTGCAATGGAAAGTTCTGCCAAGTTTTCTTTCAAGACTGGCACAAAGACCAGTTTTATACCCAGTGTTGACATTTGTATTTACAAAAACAATTCCTAACAAAGAACCAACACTGTTGTATTGTATTAACGCTTCAAAAGCAGACTGTACAAAACTTTCTCCTGTCGCATTTAAAATGTCTTTGCATGCCAGATATCTACCTTTCATTTCTCCTGATTCTACTGTAAAACTTAGATGATAGGCATTTTCAGTTAATTTGCTTTTTTTGCTGAGACTATCTGGTAACATTCTTCTATAAACCAGGCTACCTTTATCATCTTTACTATCACATCCAATACATGATAGATTTTGGACAGTAGTATCATGTTTAGCAACAGACTGAAGACAAACCCTTTTTTTAGCTCAGTCCATTTTACTCTTATCTAAAACATCAGTTTTATCAGTTTTAATAATAATTCCAATATCTTTCAAAAGTCCATCACCAAGAGCTGCTGCAGCTTCACTCGATATCACATAGCCAAAAATTTACAATGAAATAACATAAATTAATCAAGTAGATTATAACCAAGTTCAAATATAAATTGCTAAGACATCCATAAAAACACCAATTTAGTCTTTACATTGTATTTCTCATAGAAAAATTTTTAATAACCCTTTTATTTGGAAAATTTCTAAATATCTAAAGATTTTAAGGAGAACAGAATCAAAAGAAAACTTTAACAACTAAATTAATAAAATAACTGCGTATTATATAATAATAAACAACTAAATAAAGTAAAACTTACTAACCAAACACACTCTAAAGCAAAGTTATCTAGCTTTCTTAAAATTATATGTTGAAATAGCAATTGGCTCCATATATTCTGATATATCTGCTGATGATTCCTAAAATTTAATATTTTTGGATATTAAAGCATTTATCCAAAGTGTTAGTGTGTTTATATATATATATATATATATATATATATATATATATATATATATATATATATATATATATATATATATATATATATATATATATATATATAGTATCAAAAATAAAAACTTATTCTTATTCTTACTGAATCAGACTCAAAGTTTATATCAAAAGAAGAAGATTTGCAGTTATAGATAAAGATACTTTAACATTCGGACACTTTTCTACTCTTCTTTTTTCTTTTTTTACAGAGTTCTAATCTATGCATGTTTCCTCTTGTGTCAATTCTTGATCTTTGGTCTTTGATGTATTCTTGTTCCTCAAATGGAATCTAAGAAAATTTAAATAAAATATCATAAAAAGTAGATTAACTCTTGTGAAGGAAGTTTAAAGAAACTCAATAAAAAAAAAAATTCTTAACTAACCTTGTACTCTGGCGGTTAAACACATAAAAAATGTTTATTACTGCAGGTTAGATTTTTGCATTTAACTCTATCATCATGACAGGGAACTTCATCTAAATTACATCTACAGGCAGATATATCGTATAGACTTTTCAATACACTATGTGCTGCAATTTGAGGTCCTTTTTTGCATTTTTCTTCCAATAATAAGTTTCATCGTGTTAAATGTTTTGACCAATTTTAAATAAATTGATTCATTTTTTATCAAATGCAATTTTGGATTCACATCTAACCAAATTTTCACAAGTTCTTGTTGGATTTTATCAATTATGTTAGATTTGTTTTTAAACTCCGATTGTACGAAATAAGTTGGTAAGTCACTTAAGGAAAATACCTCCAAGGAGTTTTTTAGTGGTTTGTCTTGTTTTTGGAACCATTTATTGCAAGTTTTAACCAAATAAAAACCTTTTAAATTATTATAAAATTATTCAGCTGATAGCTTTTGTTTACAATTTTTTTTTTTAGAAAACTTTCCCCGCATCTGCAGAGATTTTTAGTTTCTTTCGTAAAAAATGAAAAAAACTGTAGCTATAATCCTAAACGCAAAAAAACTGAAACAAATTTGTTAAAAAACTTGGGAACAGGTAAGTTGATTTCAAAAATCGACCTCCCTTAATGTGTATACCAATCAAGTAATTATCCACCCCAAATGCCAACTTTACAAAATTCTTTTCTAAGTCTTAATCTTGGTATCCATGGTAAAATAATTAGATTTTTGGTGTCAATCTTTTGAGATAATGATGGTCTTGGGCAATATAGTTTTTTTCAATATCCAAATATTTATAATTTTTTGCAATATGCAGATATTGTTTACATCAATGTCTGTTTTATTCAAAAATGTTATTAAGAAAATATCATTTTGAATGTTATGTTCAGAACCAAAGGATCCATTTGGAACTCCGTCTTGTCCAAGTTTCTGAGTTCTAGAAAAATCGAGAAACTTTGACAAAACTTTAACAAAGTTTTTGAAAAATATCATTTTTTTACTGGTAAAATAACTAAGTTTTTTTTTTCTACGTTGTTTTTACAATAATTCTAAGCTGTTGTTTTGAAATTGTACGCTCTTTAGATTTTTTTTCAACAACCAAATGTAACGTCACAATTGGCAAAGAACTTTATAATATTAAAAATTTATATTTATAAGCAAAAATAAAAAATAAAAATACTAAGTTAGTTTATCTAATAGTAAAAGTGTATTTACATTGGTGTATTTACATTAGTGTATTTACATTAGTGTATTTATATTAGTTTATTTATATTAGTGTATTTATATTAGTGTATTTACATTAGTGTATTTATATTAATTTAATGCTAAGTTATTTAATTTAATTTAATTAAAAATAAGTATTTGATGATTAACAGGTGATGAATGGTGTAGCAATAGAGGTAGAATATACTATAATTTAAATTTTCACCACAACTTCACATATTGCTTAAGAAAGTTGAAATTGCCATCATAAGATAGCGATTTCACCTTTCTTAAACAATATGTAATTTGATTTTTATTATTGTGTAATAAACAATATGTAACCTGATTTTTATTATTGTAACAAATTTGTTTCTGTTGACATGAATGAAGATAAAATTTTTACTCTGTATTCAGTTTTATTTAGATTAGGCTGTATGATTTCAAAAAGATGTTGCAACGGTTTTAAGATAGTGTTTCAATTGTTTGCATTGGATAACCATTTTTTCTTTAAACGAGGTGGAATTGTAATAGCATCTGAAGGAGTTTTTCATTTAATTTTTAAAGTTCAGCTTTAAGGTAGTTGTAAGAGGCACAATGAAGAGGAATTTTGATGAAGAAGAAGTAAGAATGAGATAATAGTTTTAGAGAGATCAAATCAAGATCAGAAGCACCCAAGAGTGAATGTGGAGAAACTAAGCACTGACTAGGATCAGAAACAAGACATGTAGTGGATAAAGGTAATAAGGTAGATGATTCGGATTGTCTGAGTTGAATTGGAAGTGAGTTGGAAAGTTGACTGTTTGTGTTAAAGATTGAAAAAGCCAAAAGCTGTAGGCCTTAACACCTGTAGAGTCACTGACACTAGAACCGAATCATTCAGTGTGATAAACATTAAAGTTACAAATGTAAATGTCTAGGCAAAGCATGTGACTATCAGAGTCTACAAATTAAAGGAAGATAACCATAAACACTAAGATTACACAATGAAACAGCTGATCTTAAATTGGTCTCATAAAGAGCAAGTATGTCTGGTGAATGTTGCAAGAGATAAGACTCAACAAAAGAAAAATTACTTACATGAATATTAGTGAATGATAGATTTAGAGAACCTGATGGTGACAATGGTTTTATGTGTTTTATAGTTTTTGATACTTTTGTCACTTTTTAAATTGTTTAAAAAACTTGATTCAAAGCACAGATAGTATTCAGTACACTATCTAATAGTCCAAGCAATATCCTTCTTACTATTAATAAACCTTGAGCCATAACAAAGGCCTCAACAATGCACACCATAAGTAAGAACAGGGACATCATTTATGCACAACATTGCATTGTTAGTACTCTACAGCTGTTAGACATAGTTAGATACTTTAAAACTGTTGAATGAATCAGCCTCTCTGAGAGCTACCACAGAGTTCAGGAAACCTGACTACCAGCCGGCCTCAGAACCATAAAAATGAGTTTTAAAGCTGTACCTTTAGGAGATATTGTAACGAGTTGCCTAGTCATAAAAACAGACACAAGCAAAACCCATGCAGTGAGTCAAGAAGATCTAACATTTAATATCTTAAAAAATACATTATAAATACATCTATGCCATTCTAATAGATGATAAAATGGTGCAAAACTGGTCAACAGGTAGAATCTGTTTACCCTTTAAGTCTTTGCCTAGGAGATCTTTTAAAAGACAGTAGCTGGATGCATTTAGCGTTTGCCCAAGATGAATATTTTTATTGAGACACTATATCTAGCCTTTACTCAACCAAGAGCCACAAGGCAGGTGTAGTCAGAGTTTTCATCTCCTAGCCTTTGTCTAAAACGTATCCTACAAGGCAGCAGGAAATGAAACAAGCTGTTATATATATAAATATGCACTTATACACATATATACTGTATTAAACTAATAACCAAGACTGTAAAATAGTTCCTAATCTAAACTAATAACCAAGACTGTAAAATAGTTATTGGATCCATTATTAACTGGAGTCACATTTAACAGTTATCCTTCAGGAAATGTTATTAATATATATACTTGTTTTTCCGTGCAGCAGCCTTGTTCGTCAAGGTTCCTGTTTTGGAGTTATAGAGTTGAGAGAGGGTTATAATCACAAGTAGCCTTCTCATCAATAGTGGCCTTCTTGGCCTTGGTAAGGTATGTTTGACCCACTTGGTTATAATACAACAAAACAAGACCATGAGAATCTCATGGTCTTGTTTTGTAGTTATTCTAAGATATTAAAGTTTAAAATATTACCATTAAGAAAAATAGAGGCACAGTATTTGAAGTTAGGAGCAATAATGGTTTGAAAGATTAACTCTTTGATCCATTGAGTTAAATATTGCTTAATCTGATTAGATATTCAGGTTTCTTTGACTTTGTATATGTTTGATGTGGTCAGTAAAATTAAGTTTGTGATCGGTTTGAATTTCTAAATATTTCACACAATTACTAGATTTAATCATCCAAGTTCTGATTGCAGTGTTTGGTATGGTATATATATACATATATATATATATATATATATATATATATATATATATATATATATATATATATATATATATATATATATATATATATATATATATATATATATATATATATATATATATATATATATATATATATATATATATATATGTATATATATATATATATATATATATATATATATATATATATATATATATATATATATATATATATATATATATATATATATACTAGAGAATGTTTAGATAACAAATTTTTATCCTATTTTTGTTACATTAATTTATACAGCGTTTTCAGGAAAAGAAGAAAAAGTTGAAGATTAATGAAAGAAAAGATTCATGCCATAATTCATGCTGCTCCATGATAAACTCTCAGTTGATGTAGTGGCACTCCCTTGTGGCAGTAAGCTTTAAGATTGTTGATGTTTGTACTGAAGCCCCTAGTAGCAGGCTATTTCAGTTTGACGTCATAGATATTATTTAAACACGCATTTATAGTTATAGAGAAATTAGTAAATCATAATTTATTAATTGTCAGAAAGTTATATGGTTCAAGGTGAGTCAAAAAAAGATAAAAAAAATAGTAGTATAGATCAGAACAATTTTTTGAATTTTCCTTCCTGTTTGAAAGACATAAATACAACTTTCAAACGGGAAACAAAGCTACATCTATGCTGCTTCCACGCAGGTAAGAAAGCTGGATCTGTGCTGCTTTGCCACTTTTATAAAAGGTTATAACAATAATTTTGAAATATAACATATTTCAAAATTTAGATAATCGTTTTTAAAATAATTTTGATAAAAATGAAGAAAGAGAAAGATACTTTTCGAAGACTGATTCATATGCATGATGGTGATTTTCTTACTGTTAGAATATGCTTTATATGATTTTATTACTTTTTTTTTAGGTGATTGGGAACATTGGAGAAATCGAGTTGAAGAGTATATATATCCAAGTGACTCAAAACCTTCATATTCATCTATTCTGGTTCCAAATGTTGACAATGTTTGTATTGACTTCCTTACAAATACTATTGCAAAACAGGGAAAAGTAAGCAGTATGAGAAGACTAAATTAAACATTTATAAATTGGTTTTTAGTTAAAATGCAACTAAAATATTTGAAGTTCAAAGTTGGAACAATTTTTTTTAATAGAACATTTCTTTCACTTAGGCAGTATTGTTGATTGGTGAACAAGGTACTGCAAAAACTGTTACAGTGAAAGGGTACACAAACAAGTATGATATTGAACAGCATATGAGTAAATCCTTTAGTTTTTCGTCTGCAACTACTCCAGACAATTTTCAGGTAAGTTTTCTATGACAATATTTTTTTGAAAAAAAATTTCATTAATTTAATGACTTTTTTAAAATCAGTGTTTTTGTGTGTTAAAAATGTTTAAAAGTATACTAAAAATACTTTAAAGCTTGTTTTCCACAAGATGCAATATTTGCGGGAAGCAAATTTTTTCATCATGACAAAACGCTGTTTTGATTTTCACTTATTTTCTTTTGCGCTAATTGTTTTCATTATCAACAACAGAATGGCAGCATTATGTTTACGCTGTATGTTTAACTAAAAGCAGTTATTATTTTTTTGCATACTTTCTACTTTAAAACATGTGGAAATTTAATTCCATGCATTAATTTTAACATTCCTGTCTTATATTTATAATATATTAATTTCTGTCCTATATTATATTATATTATATTATAAGAAAATGAATGCTAAACTCTCATATAAACATTTTTGTTAAAAAAACTTTTACTGTACAAACGAACAAGTTCATGTGGGGTTTTTTACAAAAACGTTTATGACCACTCGAAGATAAACCCTATTGTGAAGTATAACTTTCGGAATTGACAGTGTGGAAATTTACATTTGTGAATTCTTGATTTGAGTTTTGCTCCTTATTTGATAAATTAACTAATGCTTGCCAATGTTCATAGTGAGTTTATAGAAAATCAGTATCAATCGTTTTGTTTCTTTGCCATTTTGCTTTTGCTTTTTTTACTGTTGATATCACATGATATAATATTTAAAACTTGATTGGTTTTTGCCTATGACGATTCACAAAAAGTCGAAATAAATCTGACTTTTATTTTTTGCTGCAGCGAAACTGTGTATCAGCATAATTGCCAGAAACGTTTTATCTGTGCATACTTATCGACAAAAAAATTCGCTTTGCAAGAATATTTTGTCTTGTGGAAAATGGCCTTAATAAACGTTTTTCTTTTAAAGATATTAAAATAAAAATAGGCTTGTAGAAATAAAATAAAAATAGACTTGTCATAATTTATATTTATCAAAATGTTCCTCTTATGAAAGCCTTCTGAAAAAGACAACATTAAATGTTTACCATAATAAACAAAAAAATCACATTTTTAGATGAAGTTACAGAAATTTAATAAAATCTTATTTGCAGTGTTGTTTTTTTTAACAGTATGTTAAAGTGATTTTTTATTTAACACTAAAACTATGGTTAAACAAACATAAAATAAATTTTTAGTAAAAGTTTCTGTCATGTTATTGAATGGTGAAAAATGATTACTCAGAAAAGTTGATTTTATTTAAGTGTAGGCTCAGTTTCATTATTTTTTGATTGTCAATCAAACTTTATAAGTTTGAACTAAAAGTTAATTTTAAAGATTTGACATCTTCCATTTCTATTTTTAAAAGCTCATTTTTTATTTCTAATAAACATAGAGGCATTTCATGGTACCTTCTTTTGCTTGCTTTTTTAGTTCCTGATTTTCATTGATCTCTTGATAATCTTTTCTCCAAACTCATTGATTGACAACTTTCATTTCTGCCCTAATAAAAGTCAGAACATTTTGGTTAAACTGGAAGCCACATGAATATGATGATCATTTTTTGGTTGATCAGTATAGCTGATAATTTTTAACTAAAAAAGTTTTAACTAAAAGTGTTGAAACAAATTTTACATTTTCTAGAAGTATCTTTCCTAAGGACCATTATTGCTCTAGCAGGTCCAGAAATATTGATTGCTTTCATATTTTACAAATACTGTTTTAAAATCACATTTGTTTCACTTACCAATGTCTCATATGACTTATAGTTCATTTATGTTTAATCCTTTTACTTTTTACTAATAATGAGTTTACAGTGATCCTTTTTGCATACACACGTTTTTTTTTTTTCTGTTAGCATCTTTTAAGTTCTATTATTAGTTACTTTTACTAATTTACACTAAAAAAAATGTTAATTTTTATCTGAATTTTTAACTCTATTATGATTACAGTCTTTTTGAGAATGTTTACCTAAACCAACCAATGACATCAACATTGTTTTATTTTCTTATTATTTAAAAAATTTGAACAATGCTTTTTATTTTTTAAATATATAATAGAGAAAATGCTGGCTAAACTGAATGAAAGTTTAAACTTAACACCTTTGTTTGTTTTTTAATGTAATTTTTTTGTAAAAGACTTTTATATTTTCAATAGTGGAATATTTTCAGAAATTTTTTTATATATGTTGTTGGAATGTTTTTGAAAATTTTCTATCAGATGTAATTTTTGAAATATTTTTGAAAATTTAATATTAGATGTAATTTTAACTATTTTTTTTACCTAAATTTAACATTTTTTTTTTAATTTTGAAAAAGAAAAGAATGGAAAAAAAAAGTATTAGTTCAAAGTCATTTTTTTTTCATTTTTTGAAAAAATTTTTAACTTCATTTCCTACTTCAGACAAAAATTTAAAGAAAATTTTTAAAATCCTGTTTTAAGTTTGAATTAAACAAAGATTTTATTAAGGGTTTTGTTTGCGATATGTTTTCAATTACTATGATCATAATTTTTTAATAAAACTTATGATACCAGAAATCAATTATTTTACAAAAAGTCTGAACCTTAATATGTATTTAAAATTTCAGAGAACGATAGAGAGTTATGTAGATAAACGTGTTGGTTCAACTTATGGCCCTCCTGCTGGTCGAAAGATGACAGTTTTTATTGATGATATAAATATGCCTGCTATTAATGCTTGGGGTGATCAGGTATTTTTTTAATATACTTCATTGACAATTCAGTGTTTCTTTGGAATTTCTAATTCTGATTTAATAATATATATATTTTTGTTAAAGTACAAAATGATTTCAAAAACATTAGGGCAGAAGATTTAAGCATGTGACTTTTCTTACCTCTTTATTTAGATCCTTTTCTCTTCTGTAAGGCATTTAACTTTCAATTCTCCCTAAATTTGAGACATTTCATTTATAAAAACCATTTAGAATTATTTCTGTCTATTGGGATTAGATTTTCAGAAAGAAAGTGGTGACGTTTTACCATCTAAAATTCAGTATTGAAGTGTTCAGTTGTAAAGAGTGTTCAATTAAAATTTTTATTTCTACTGATTAAGAAGTAAAAATAAAACTTTATAACTATATTGTTTGTTACAATACTTATAAAGAAAAATATAGTTATGAAAAGCAATATAGTTATAAAGAACAATATAGTTATGAAGAACAATATAGTTATAAAAAACAATATAGTTATAAAGAATAATATAGTTATGAAGAACAATATAGTTATAAAAATCAATATAGTTATAAAAAAGACACAACAATGACTCCTTTATAACTATATTGTTTGTTCTTAATCCTTTAAGGTCTCATGTATTTATTCTTAAAAATCAAACTTGAGATTTAACATTACTATATTCTAAAACACAAAACTTTGTATATATATATATATATATATATATATATATATATATATATTGATATATATATATTTTTTTTACTTTCAGATTACAAATGAAATTACACGTCAAGCCATGGAAGCTCATGGGTTTTATAATCTTGATAAACCCGGAGAATTTACATCACTTGTTGATATTCAGTTTATTGGAGCTATGATTCATCCAGGTGGTGGGCGTAATGACATTCCACAACGTTTAAAACGACAATTTTCTATATTCAACTGCACTCTTCCATCTAATGCCTCTATTGACAAAATATTTGGTAGACTAATTTTGTTAAGAATGTTTTTATTTATACTTAAACTATAATAAAAAATGAACTAAAAAGTAATTTAAAATATGAAATGTTAAGGAGTAATTGGCTGTGGTTGGTTTTGTTCCAAGAGGTTTGGACCAGATATAGCCGATTTAACATCCAGACTTGTTTCATCAACAAGAATACTTTGGCAAAGAACAAAGGTTGATAATCAATAAAATTAAATCAATATTATCAATATTTTTTAATTTTATAATTTAGAATATTTTTTTAATTATAGATCAAAATGTTACCAACACCAGCAAAGTTTCACTATGTTTTTAATTTGCGTGACTTATCTAGAATTTGGGAAGGAATGTTGAATTCATCAACTGATAGTGTAACAACTGTTAAAAGTTTAATTAATCTATGGAAGCATGAATGCACTCGTGTAATTGCAGATAGGTTTGCAAACTCTGAAGACAAATCTTGGTTTGAAAAGGCTCTTTGTAGTATTGTTGAAGAAAATTTTCCTGAATTTTATGACCTAATGGATAGTGAACCTTACTTTGTTGATTTTTTACGGTAATCATGTTAATTATATATACACCTATAATATGTGTATATTTTGAGCATATTTTATATATATATATAATATATATAAATATATATACATATATATATATATATATATATATATATATATATATATATATATATATATATATATATATATATATATATATACACCATGACATTAACTATTAAATATATATATACATACATATATGTATATATATATATGTATATATATATATATATATATGTTATATTTATAACATATATATATATATACATATATATATATATATATATATATATATATATATATATATATATATATATATATATATATATATATATATATATATATATATATATATATATGTATATATATATATATATATATATATATATATATATATATATGTATACATATATATATATATATATATATATATATATATAACATATATACATATAACATATATACATAGAACAGGTGAGGCTTATTAGCCATGGTAGAAACACCATGGCTAAAGAATCTCACCTGGAATTTTACTTATGACAAAGACAACTCCAACTAAGTAAGGGTCAGAGGACTTATGAGAATCTTTACAGTGGTAGTATCACAGTTAAAATACTCAGTCCTGATCTGAAAAATAGTTTAATGTCAGGAAGGTATCCAATTGTAAAAAGTTGCATATAACATAAAATTGTTTTTAAAATGAAAATAGTTTTATTTTTGATAACAGTGATGCTCCAGAAGCCACAGGAGAAGAGAGTGATGATGCCAGTCTTGAAGCACCTAAAATCTATGAGCAGGTCAAAATCATTTTGAAAAAATTTTTTAACTTCGTTTTCAGGTAGCTTCTACTTCATTTAAAATTGATTGTATTTATATTTTTTATAGGTATCAAGCCTTGACATTCTCTCTGTAAAACTTACCCAGTCAATGGCACATTACAATGAAGTAGTTAGAGGAGGTGCTCTTGATTTAGTCTTTTTTAAAGATGCTATGACTCATTTAGTTAAAGTAAGTTTTTAAAATAAATTTTGTCATAAAATAAATATATACTTTTATTTTCAATATATAAATAATAATTCTGTGCATTTTTGTTTATATTATTTTATTGTGGTTTATTTTTTTATTATAAAAGTTTGTATATTTAATAATTTTATAATAATTGTTATGATAAAAGATTTCCAGAATAATACGTACACCAAGAGGAAATGCAATACTGGTTGGTGTTGGTGGGTCTGGTAAGCAAAGCTTGACTCGTTTGGCTTCATATATTGCTGGTTACCAGATATTTCAGATAACCTTGACAAGGTTTATTATTATTGTGTTCTGTTATTATAAATTAATTTTGATATGTTTTAAATATATGGTATTCTTATTAAAACTATTTTACATTATAATCATCTATAGATCATATAACCAAACAAACTTGGTGGATGATTTGAAAATTTTGTATAGAGTAGCAGGAGCTCAAGGAAAAGGGATAACATTTTTGTTTACAGATAATGAAATAAAAAGTGAAGGATTTCTTGAGTACATAAATAATGTTCTTTCATCTGGTGAAGTATGATTTGTTATTTTAATTCAAAAAATCACACACACACATTGCATATATTTTGTTTTACAGTTTATTCAGTCTATGTTTATTATAGTACTTTATATACAATATAAAAAAAAAGGTTTAAAAAATAGTTTTGCTTAAGGTTGATATTCTGGATGACCATTAAATCCTTTAGTTGTAGTACAAAATAATTTTTAACTAAGTACATAAAGTTGGAACATAGAGTAGAAAATTTAATGATAATGCTATTTTTCACATTTAGGTATCAAATTTGTTTGCAAAAGATGAGCTTGATGAAATCACAAATAACCTAGTTTCTGTCATGAAGAAAGAGTATCCTCGAGTACCTCCTACTCAGGATAATCTCTACCAATACTTTATTTCTCGAGCAAAAAATAATCTTCATGTGGTTCTTTGTTTTTCTCCTGTAAGTTCTTCTTTATTAAACTATATTCAATATTTATTTTAAGAGTAATTAAAGTTTTAAAAATAAATTTTTTAAAACCTTATAAATGAAATTAAATAAAATATCTTGAAAAAGTCTTCAAACTTTAAAGTTATACTTTGTTAAGAACAATAGTATTTTTTTGTAGATGAGCATTTTTACACTAAAAATTTTATTTTAACTTGTGTATTTAAAATTTAATATAAGGGATTGTCCATAAAGTACGTACATTCGAAAGGGAAGAGGGGTCTGCAAATGGCGTATATGAGATTTGAGGGCAGTGGGTCAATTATAAAAGAAAGGAGACACTAAATTAAAAAGAATATTATATAATGTTAGATATGTTAAAAGCGTAGGTAATTTTATGGAGGTGGAGGGTACTTAAAAAAGCGTGTTGCAAATTGCAGGAGGAGGGAAGGTGAAAAAAAAGCAAACGTACTTTATGGACAACCCCTAACTTTAAGATAAGATTTTAATAGATTTTCAAACATATGCTGGCTTTTTTGTTTGTTTTTAAGACAAATAATTTTGATTTTAACAAAATTATTTTTTTGAAGATCAAATATCTTGCAAAAATTTGTCTTTTGAATATGTATAATTTGTATTTTGGATCCTAATATAGCAAAAAGAAGCTAAAGTTGTGAAAACCTTGAATTTCAAATGTTTATGTTTTTATCTATAATAAATTTTCTTTAAAAAGCTTCTTATATGGTATCAGAAAATCTATTGATTTTAATTTTTTTAGTAAAAATTAGACTCTATTATCTATTTTTTGTAATAGTGGAATTACACTAAATAGTCAAGCAATTTAGTAAAATATTAAAAAGTGAAAAATTAAAAGAATTTAAAGCATAAAAAAATATTGACCAACCTGTTGAACATTTTCTTTTTTCTTATTACTGCTTAGTATAACTGATATTTTCTTTTTACTTATTACTGCTTAGTATAACTGATATTTTCTTTTTACTTATTACTGCTTAGTATAACTGATAATTTCTTTTTACTTATTACTGCTTAGTATAACTGATAATTTCTTTTTACTTATTATTGCTTAGTATAACTGATATTTTCTTTTTATTTATTACTGCCTAGTATAACTGATATTTTCTTTTTACTTATTACTGCTTAGTATAAGTGATATTTTCTTTTTATTTATTACTGCTTAGTATAACTGAAATTTAGGTTGAAATTCAGAACCTTATTAAGGTTCATGTTGTAGAACCTTAGCCAAAAGCTAAATTGGCTAAGGTTCTATGATACATCACTTATGTATTTATTGCCAAGTTGATGTACATGATCTTGACTGATCCGTTTTATGCAGTAGTTGATCCTGTCAGTGAGCTGGTCAACGGTTTTTGCTCTCCAGCCACAATCATATACTCTTCATTTGAGTTCTAACTAAAAGTCTTCGATTAGTCGGAGTTCTGGTTCATTGGCAGGGTAATGCTCCTTAGGCACGAATTCAATGTTATTCGCTTGGAGGAACTCCTGCGTCTTTTTTGCGTAACAAGACGTAGCGAGGTCAGGCCAGAAAACGATCTCATCATTCTTATGAACTGTTTCGATGAATGGAATCAAGTGCTTCATCAAGCACTTCTGGATGTAGACATCTTGATTGATCGCTTGGCCCGAAGGTATCACCAGGTGCTTTGACAGGCCGTCCTCGAACATAGCAATCCAAACAAGTGCCTTTGGCTCGAACTTGGACTTTCGCTTGAGTTTAACAGCGTGTGTAGAAACCAGCGTTTCCACATAGCTCGTTATTGTTCAATGAAAACTAGGACTTGTCCTCCATGATCACCTGATTTTTCAGGAAAACTCTGACCAGGTGGGCACACTTCGAACAAATAGCTGACTTCTGTTGTGGAGTTCGATCCAGAGCTTTTTCCTTCTTTTTGTATTTGGTTATTGTCTTGGTGTTAATTGTTTTTGATATGTGCTTTTGGCTGATACCATACTCGCCGGCTAGCTGACGCTGGCTAACTCCGTCACTATGATCGATTCGCTTTTTCAGCATGGTGATTCGCTTTGCGTTCATCTTAATTGCCACCCGTCCAGTTCAACGCTGTCTTTCAGGGCCTATATTGCGCATCTTACGCTGCAGAATATTATACAAGATCCACCTTGATGCGCCTTCGATCATGAAGTGTCTCAAAATCTCACTTTTCTTTATATCCGGATGCAAATCGATTAACGCGTACACGCGCTTTCAGAGGTCTTTCTGTTTTGCTAAAAGATGTATTGCAATTTGTAGACAATTAAATTTACTACAACGTAGCATAAGTTGCAACAACTTTGCAACACTCTTTAAACAATTTATGTCGACCAAACTTTTGTCCGGGTTTCTAGGTATCACATGTTATTTCAAAAATTGTGTTAAATATTTATAGTGATTTTCTTTGGAGGTATAAATGTTTGGACTTATGTATATGTAGTTAAAAATATTTATACAAAATAAAATACACTGTATAAGTAATTATAAATGAATTAATAAAAATATTATATATAAAATGTTAATTTTTAAAGTTTTCTAAATCCTATTAAATATATTTTGAAAAACGGTGTTGAAAATTTATAATGATTTTCATTGGAGGTATGAATGTTTGAAGGTATGAGTATAGCTGAGCAACTATGCAAAATTTTAAAATCTTTCCACTTCAGTTTTTAAAAATTTAAAGACTATGGTTTAATTTTTTTTAATAAAAAACAAAAGTTTTAATAACTTTCTGTTTATCTAATGTTTTTTTTTGCTTTAAATTTTTTTTTTTGATATCTAATACAATGGTTAGATGAATCAGTCAGTTATTTAATTTGTTTTTAACACATTTTTTATTTTTTTAACACATTTAATACATTAACACCTCTGCAGTAAAAAAAGATAAGACAAGAATTAATTGGTCAAAGACCATACCTTTTTTATTTTTTTACAAGATTACATAGTTAAAAATAACAACTTTATTTTATTTTCAGGTTGGTGACAAGTTTCGATCTCGTGCCCTGAAATTTCCTGGTTTAATTAGTGGGTGCACAATGGATTGGTTTAGTAGATGGCCGAAAGATGCTCTGATAGCAGTAGCAGACTACTTCTTGTCTAAATTTGACATTGAGTGTACTGTAGAAACAAAAAGATCTGTTGTTGAAACCATGGGTGTTATACACGATGGTGTAGCTCAATCGTGTAATGACTATTTTGAAAGGTGCTTTTTTGTGTAAATTTAAAGTATTATAAATATACACACACACACACAAGGTTTTGTATTAGACACCATTAAAAAAGCTTCTCTAAATCCCAACTACAAACACAGAAAGACTTGATCAATAAAGTCAAAGAATTAGACAACAACAACATCTTTACCATAGTCACATTGTACAATAAACAATAAATGTTGGTAAGTATGCTATCAATAATCATAGAAACAGTATTGGATGATGGGCATTTAGAAGATGGGTTGTCTATAGGTGTCCTGATATGTAAATTTAGATATAAAAAAAAATATTACTAGATAAATAATTAGTGATTCCATTATATATTCTCCAGTGCATCCAGATTCGATGTATAGGAGAATATTCCTTTAACAAGTATTTAATCTGAACGAGCCTTTTCTGCTGCAGGATTATTTGCAACAAAAATTCAATCTGGAATAGATGATGACATACTTGATACACTATGTTTACTCAAGGCTCATTTTTTATTAATATAACATAAAGACTTTATTTTGAAACAAAATAAAATTTTATATGAGTTTCTATGTTGTTTTTTTTTTTTTTTACCAATTTTACCAATAAATTATGCTTTTTTTTTTACTGATTTACTGGTAAATTTAAAAGTTATTAAAAGCTTAACCCTGCTTTGTATTTGTTTGAAATTCAGATCATTCCATAAATTTTTTTTTTTAATTCAAAGTTGCATAATATTTTTTAATAAAAGTTAAAAAAAAATTATAAATAAATTAAGAATTATAGATAAATTTTTTTTATAAAACTGTTTTTTATATAAACCCTATAATTTTTCAAATAAAATAAATTTAAAAAATAGAACACATCTCTTATCTCAAGATAATTGCTTTTGTTTAACTACCTACAATATCATTTTCATTTTCTAGAGTTCCATCCATTCGTTTACTACATCATCCCTCAGAATTAGGAAAAAACTTAATACAAAGGTTTTACCATAAAACATAAAAACGAGGTTAATGATTTTTTGCTAACCTCAAACATTTTTAGGTCGGCATTGCTGAATGTCAATCTTAATTCCGTGGGCTGATCATTTAAAAATAAATTGTAAAATACAGTCATTTTTTATTGCAAAGCTATGAGGCAATGAAAAACTCTAACATGTTTATGAAAGATTGCCTATAAATATTGGTAGTATAAAAAAATGCTGCATTGTAACAAGAATTATACAAAAAGAGATAATATGATATTTTTACAAATAAACTTTGAAGAAAAACTTCAGAGAAAGTGCTGGGTTTGTGCTGTGGGTAAAAAGAAAAGCTTAAATTTCTAAATAAATGGATTTTGTGGAGTGGCTTTACATAAGAAAAAAACATGTTGCTTAGTTTTTATTTCAAAAAAATCATAAGTAAAATATTCACTTTTTTGATTTTTTTTGAAAATGAAATTAACTATTTTTGATTAACCTTTTTACTTTTTTTCATTATTATAGTATTCAGTTAAAAAAAACATGATTTATTACTTGTGGTTATTAAATTTTTTAATTTTCTTTTTCATGTAGTTTATTTTATTAAATAAAATATTTAACAAGTATCAGATTTCTGTATTACTTGATGTGAGCATTAAACAATTTTTAGGTAGAGTTCCTGTTATTATAACTGATATAAGAATTCTTTGGCAATAATTATTTTCTAAAGTTGAAATGAAATATAGTTAATCTTCATATCAATTACTGAAGCTATGTTAATTATTTCGCTTGAGTTTAACAGCTTCTGTTATGTTAATAATTAAATGTTAATTATTTTACATGAATCTTAGCTATTAATACCAACCTAATATTAGCTATTAATATCAATCCTAACTAGGGCTTGTATGCTGTTTTGGTTTGGGCTAACGCTGCCTAGAAAAGTTGAAAATACAACTAAGACACTATAATTGATAGTTGAATAGTGTCCTAAGTAAAATGTTGTAAATGTTTTGAAGTAGTAAAAGTTTTTGTGTTTGAACTGACATATCACTATTAGAATTGTCATCCAAAAAGTAATCTGACAAATTCATTGATTATTCATTAATCTGACAAATTCATCAAACAATTCATTGTTCTGACACTTTTTTTCTTCAAGCTTGTGATTTCCGTATTTAAAAACTTCTTGCTTTTATTTTAAATCTTTGGGAGTTCACTTTCTTTTGTTAGATTTGATTAAAATTTTAAGATGTTACTTTTTTCACCAAGTTTAACCAAATTATGTGCAGTTTTTTAATTTGAAAAAAATACTCCTCAGCAGAAAGAAGAGTTAAATCCTAATGAAAAAGAGCTTCTGTTCAAAAGCAGCAACAATGTTGTATGAAATGTTTACTCTTTGCTGCAAAAAAAAGGTGGAGAAACATCTTTCTAATTAAATCTTTTACTTTGAGAAACTGTTGAATTATTGACAGTAGACTGTTCCATCTTCTTCTGAAGTCAATGATAAGTGAAACCTCTTTTCTGTGCTGTTTTTTGATTTTTTCCTGGAGGAAGTCATTTTTGATTGAAGATTTTTGAAGTAATTTGTCAATTTTTTTGATTTATGTGATGACAGTGTACTTTCACTTTTAGAATGGGAATGTTTTCGTCCATGAGTGCATTAAAAAAACTGACTTAAGTATCTGATTCAGATTTGTTATTGCTGACTTCATCTTTGTCACTTCTTGGAAAGGCTTCTTGTACACCACTTGCCACTTGCCCATGATCTGCCAAATGCATTCCATGGGTGCAACATGTTTGATGCTCAATTGGAAACAGTTTTCCAAACTTAACTGTTATGGAAGCTCTATTTCAAACTGAGCAGACAATGCTTTTGCCAATGATCAATCTGCCACTTTTTTTGTGATAACTACTGCAGCTTTTTTAGTCGGCAGAAATCCAGAAATTTGAGTCAGGTCCAGATTTCAGTATGTATGTTATTGATTAATATTAATACTCATATACCTTCAATTTTTCAAAAAAGTTATAAATCAAAGGTAAAAATCTGAAAAAAAAACTGACTGAATTGGTTGTACATCAGACACTGTCCTGCTAAAACCTCAGATTTTTTAATTAGTTTACAATCTGACATTTTGACTGTGTGAAATTAAATTCTGGCATGTGATCAAAAGTTATTGCTGACCATGGAAATGATTTTTTTTGTATACAACTTGACCACAACTGTTTAGATGTTTTGATGATTTAAAGGTTTCAGAAATGCGCTGGCAAAAAAAACGTTAAGCTAAACTTAAACTAGTAAAAAAATTGAAAAAACTATAGAAAAAGCAAAATGAACAAGAAAATAAATTAGCTTTAAAATAAAACTAAAAAACGCAAATTTTAAATTACTTTTTGATATATTTTTAATTCCATTTGAAAAAAATTACTTTAAAACTTATCTTTTAAAATGTTTAATAAAAGTTACACAAAATGCTTTTACAAATTACTTCTATTGATTGTTTAATAAATAAACAAATTTTATTAAAAATATTGAAAAGTGAAATTAAATTATTGAAAAGAAAAAAATAATATTTTCAAGTTGTATAAACATTTTTTTCAAAAAGTTGCAAAAAAAAATTGTTTAAAAAAATAATGTAGTCTTTTTATAATTGTAATTTTTTAATCATTTCATGCTTTAATTAGTAAGTCAAGTTTAAAAAAAAATTTTGAAGCAATTCTTTGTAAAAATAAAAACAAAACAAAAAATAATAATAATAAAGCAATTAAATCATTGGAAGATTTAACTTATTCATAATTTAAAGTAACTTAAAAATATAATATTTTGAAAGATTTTTAAAAAGACATGAAAAAATAGTTTCAAAAATTTAAATTTATCATAAAAGATACCTACCTACTAAAAAAAATAATTAAATATAACATTTAATTTACACATAATACGTTTTATACTACTATTACTACTACTACTACTATATTACTACTATTATATTTACCATTATTATACAGAAATTTTAAACTTGACGCAAATTTTTAAGTTTTCAAGAGTTATAATTTGTAATTTTTTAACTCTAAAATTTACATTACATGTTTATTAAAATGTTCTAAGGGTCTTTTTATATCAAAATGTTATATTTTAAAAATAGTTTTGTATTTTTTAGATTAAAATAGTTTTCCGTTTTTAAGAATTGTTTTTAAGAGTTACAAGGTCTATTTTTAATGTAATGTGTATTGTTAGATTAAACATATGTATTGTTAGATACATACATTTAATCTAACAGTACATTTTATTATGTTTTAAATTAATCTATTTTGTTAATATTTTTGTTAATAAAAATACTTACTGTTAACATTTTAATTTTTGTAGATTTCGTAGACAAACATATGTTACACCTAAATCCTACTTATCATTTATTGATGGTTACAAAAACATTTACATAGACAAAAAAAGTGTGATTGGAGAACTTGCAGGTAGAATGAAAACTGGGCTTGATAAACTTATAGAAGCTACTGATTCTGTAGCTAAACTTGCAAAAGAATTAGTTGTCAAAGAAAAAGGTTTGATTATTGCTTCTGGAAAAGCTGATAAGGTACAAGAAAAATATTACTTACATTTAATATAAATTATCTTTTGAAATAGCAAAAAAATAAATGATTTAAAACTATTAGGTTTTAAAAGAAGTAACTGTAAAAGCACAAATAGCTGAAAAAATCAAAGCAGATGTGCAGAAAGTAAAAGACAAAGCCCAGTCTCTTGTGGAAGATATTAATGTACAAATTTTTGTTTAGTTACATGTTATTCATTTTTTGATTAGATAGAGAAGTTTATTAATGTTGTACTAATTGTCATATTGCTTGTACCTTGACCATTTTAGGTCGATAAAGGATATGCAATGAAAAAGTTAGAAGCTGCAGCGCCTGCTTTAGCAGAAGCAGAAAATGCTCTTTTGGTTATTTTTCTACTATTGTTTTTCTTAATCTATTTATAGTGTATAATGTTTATAATGTATAATGTTTATATTAACATTTATAATGTATAATGTTTATATTAATATTTTGAAGTTCAATTAAACTTTTTAGACAATAAAACCAGCACACATATCAACTGTGCGCAAACTTGCAAAGCCACCTCATCTTATTATGAGAATTATGGATGCAGTGTCATTACTTTTTCGTAGACCTCTTATTCCTGTTATCCCTGATCCTAATTTTCCTTGCCCTACACCTTCATGGACAGAATCGCTTAAAGTGAATTATTTTTACCTAATTGTTTTATTATTTTACTTTAGTATTTAAAATACCATGTAATACTTTTGCTTTGATAATTGCATAAAAATATTATTTCATAGCTGATGAGCTCAGCAACATTTTTACAAGGCCTTGTGCAGTTTGATAAAGACACAATTACAGAAGAAATAGTGGAATTGCTTGAACCATATTTGAACATGGCAGATTACACTTTTGATGGAGCCAAAAAAGTAAGTATTCACCAATTAATTTGATAATAAAATAAAAAAAAATAAGCAACACACCAAACTATAGCTACTTCCTCATTTCACTTAATTTTTTCTATTTAACAGAGTTGTAGTGATGTGGCTGGTTTGTTGTCATGGACCAAAGCAATGTCATTTTTTTATGGAGTCAATAAGGAAGTTCTCCCATTAAAGGTTAATTTTAGTTTTAAGTACTTTACAACTCTTTATTATCATTATTTTTTTTTTGTATTTATCTAATTAAAAAGTGCAAGTCTTAACAAATTATGGAAAAATATATTTAATAATAGTATATATATTTTTATTGTATGCATGTTTTCTTTTATACAAGTTAAAAGTTATTTTGTTTGCATAATTGTTTGTTTTTTGTTTTAGGCTAACTTGATTGTTCAAGAGGCTAAATTAAAAGTTGCACAAGGAGATTTGGATGAAGCCCAAGGTGTTTTAAATCAAAAACAAGCTGAACTTGATGAAGTGCAAGCAATGTATGATGCTGCAATGAATGAAAAACAGGTTTAAAGAGTTTATAAATATGTTACAATTGAAATAGGTTTTTGAGAAAAAGTTTCAGTTAAATATTTTCCTTTGTTGCTTGAATTACATGACAGGAATTGCTTGATGATGCTATTGGGTGCAAAAAGAAAATGGAAGCAGCATCTGCATTAATTGATGGGTTAGGGGGAGAGCGAGTTCGATGGATACATCAAAGCAAAGAGTTTCAGGAAGCTATAGGAAGGTTTATATTTTTAGTACTATATATTATTATTTTTATTATTATGCTCTTTTATACTTATGCTTTACATATACTTATGTTATATATCTATTATTATTTATGCTATTATATTAAGTTATAGCAAAGTTTTTATCTTTAGTGATATTTTATTAATATTTAAAAGTGTATATATTTATAACCATTATGATTCTATGATTACTATTATAATTATTGATGATTGTGGTCAGTGATATTTTTTATATCTCGAATGATCTCCTACTTTTTTAAGTTATATTTAATCATTTAAGATGATATTTTCATTCAAGTTTCAAGTCTACAGTAATACTTGGGAATGAGTTCAGTCTACACTTCAGTCTACACTTGCGATATGGAGCTCTTACTTTTAGTTAATTTCCATCATTACTACAAAATACTATAAATATATATTTTTTTGATGCAGGAATTTCACCAATCCATCATTACTACAAAATACTATAAATATATATTTTTTTGATGCAGGAATTTCACCAATCCATCATTACTACAAAATACTATAAATATATATTTTTTTGATGCAGGAATTTCACCAATCCATCATTACTACAAAATACTATAAATATATATTTTTTTGATGCAGGAAGTTCACCAATCCATCATTACTACAAAATACTATAAATATATATTTTTTTGATGCAGGAATAATATTATATATACTAGTTTTTCCATTTTAGAGAATCCTTTACCATTTTTGGTTTATTAAGAAAAATAAGGATGTTGTATATTTAATTATTAAGAATGCCAAGTACAATTCTTATTTAAATTTGAGTTTACTTTAAACTTTTAAAAGTTATTCATAATAAGAAATAATATAAACATGAATATTTTCTATTCACAAGCCATACATAGAAACAATTTTGGGCATGTTAAAATCAAAGACTTTTTGAAAATTTTGATTATTCTAATCATGTAACAAACAGGAAAAAATTATTTTTAGATTGGTTGGTGATGTACTTTTAGCAACTGGATTCTTATCATATTCAGGTCCTTTCAATCAAGTATTTAGAACACGATTAAATGATAAATGGCAATCCGAAATGAAAAAAAGAAAAATACCATACACAGAAAATATCAATCTTTCCGCTATGCTTGTTGACAATGCTACAGTAATTTTCATTTTTCTATCTTTGTAAATAATGCTACACTAATTTTTTCAAAAATTGTACAGAAATATTATTAAAAAAAGTTTTATTTGTAAATTATTTTTTTTAGATTAGCGAATGGAATATTCAAGGTTTGCCAAATGATGATCTTTCAATACAAAATGGTATCATTGTCACAAAAGCAACTAGGTATCCTTTGTTAATTGACCCACAAACTCAAGGTAAATCTTGGATAAAAAATAAAGAAAGGTGTCATGAACTTCAGGTATATTTCATTTTAAGTTATCTTTTAAATTTATAATTGCTGATAATATAACCTGTTTAATCTAATTTAGGTCTCATCTCTTAACCACAAGTACTTTCGTATACATTTGGAAGACTGTTTATCTCTTGGCAAGCCATTGCTGTTAGAAGATATTGGTGAAGAATTAGATCCTGCATTAGACAACGTTTTAGAAAAAAATTTTATCAAATCTGGAAGCACTTACAAAGTTAGAAATATTCTATAATTTATTATTGTTATTTTGTAATAATAAAAGATGTTAATGGTAATGTTTCAAGTATTTTATTTTTTATTTTTTTAGGTCAAGGTTGGTGATAAAGAGTGTGATGTAATGAATGGATTTGTTTTGTATATGACAACAAAACTTGGAAATCCATTATTTACTCCAGAGGTATGTTATTTAAGTTTTAAACTTTCTTCAACTTTCTAATAGTTCCTCCAGAAAGAACCCTGAAATTAGAAAAAAGTTAGATCTATGTTTGAGGAAGAGAGAATTAAGTTACAAGGATTAGATAATAATGTTTGCTTATCAAAATATAATATTTGAAGTTGTTGATTAGTGTTATTTTTTATAAATATATATAGTACAATTATAATATGGCTTATAGGTGTATGCACGAACAGCAATCATAGATTTTACTGTTACAATAAAAGGATTGGAAGACCAGCTACTTGGTCGTGTTATTAACACCGAAAAACAGGTCAGTTTTAACTTTTAAACAGGTCCATTATAACTTATGTACAAATGTTAAGTAGTAATGTAATAATTAGGTAAATGAGTAATATTTAAGTATATATATATTTAGGAGTTAGAAGGAGAAAGGCTAAAATTAATGGTTGACGTTGCAGCAAACAAAAGGAAGATGAAGGACTTAGAAGACAATTTATTATTTCGTTTGACAAGTACAAAGGTAATAAAGTTTATTTTTAAAATAACAACTGTTGAGTAACACGTTGGTACTTTATACACACACAGCATGGTTCCCATCAAATTGCAACTAAAATTAAGCAAAATATTAATAACAACATAATAAGAAAGTAATGATTTAATATTAATAAAAAAATAACAAAATAATATTTACAGCTCACTTAAACTCACCAACATAGCGAATGACTTGTCAGAGCATTCTTATAATTGCAAAAAAAAAAAGAAAATAAAAAATGGTAGACAAATTATGCAACATTTAAAAAATGATATGTAATTGTTTGCATATTGCTTTAAAAATGTTGTAGAAGAATTATATTGTAGAATTGTTATCATATTTAAACAATTTTTATCATGTCGATTTTTTAATTAAAAAAAAAAATTCAATTAGAATTTTTGCGCTTTTATGAATACAAATATACTATCAATTTTTAGATATTTTATAGCAGTTTTTCTCAATTTCAAGCTTTAATCATAAAAACTATTTTAAAAAGTTTAACAACAGTGCTCTTGAATAGACATTATATTCCTGTATCTGTGATAATATTAATTAGGGTTCACTTGTGGAAGATGAGTCATTGGTTGCTGTTTTAAGAACAACCAAGGAGACAGCACAAGATGTCAGCGAGAAACTTATTAATGCTGGAGAAACAGAAATAAAAATAAATAAAGCTCGAGAAGAGTTTCGCACTGTTGCTACTAGAGGAAGTATATTATACTTTTTAGTGGTTGAAATGAGCATGGTTAACAAGATGTATCAAATTGCTTTACAGCAGTTTTTAAATATATTTGACATGTCAATGGCAAAGTAAGTTTCATTTTTATACAAATATTTTTTATAAAACATTCATAATTAATAGAGATTTTATCAAAACAAACTAAGAAACTAAAAACAGGCTTATTAACGCACTCTTTAAAACAACAGTTTATGGGAAAAACTTTGTGACTTGCATGCAAGACTATATATATATATATATATATATACACATATATATATATATATATATATATATATATATATATATATATATATATATATATATATATATATATATATATATATATATATATATGTATGTATATATATATATATATATATATATATATATATATATATATATATATATATATATATATATATGTGTGTGTGTATATATATATATATATATATATATATATATATATATATATATATATATATATATATATATATATAGTAAAGGGCTTAAATATCCTGTTTGTGGTCAAAAACAGCTCATAGCTTGTCTATGATTTTTAGACTGACATAATTAAAGTTAGATTATAACAAAACGCATTAATTTAATTGAGGAACTAATTACATTTAATGTGTTTTTAAAAAACCACAAAAACGCAAATTAAAAGACTAGAATGTTTTTAAAAATATTCTGAATGTTTTTATTTTTATTTTTTTCTGTAAAACATGCATTGAGTGTTGCTTGATGGATTATCTTATAGCCTGCTGTTACAAGGAAGTGCTGCTACATCGGCTTCTTACAGCTTGCTGCTATAAGGGAGTGTTGCTTCATTGACAATCTTATAACCTGCTGCTACAAGGGAGTGCTGCTACATCGACTATCTAATAGCCTGACTCACAAGGGAGTACCACTACATCCACTGAGGGTTTGGTTAGGGCAGGCAGTGTATCAAATAATAAAAAAAAATTTTTTTTAAAAAGTTTTGAAATTTTTTCCAGTCATTAAAATATTTTTTTTCTTAAAAAAAAAGCCTAAAACTGACATTTTATGGTAAAAATTAAAAAAGACCATGCAAGAATATATATATATATATATATATATATATATATATATATATATATATATATATATATATATATATATATATATATATATATATATGCATATATATATATATATATATATATATGTATATATATATATATATATATATATATATATATATATATATATATATATATATATATATATGTATGTATATATATATATATATATATATATATATATATATATATATATATATATATATATATATATATATATATATATAATTTGCAGTCCATTCAACTTTAAAGATTCTTAATATGACTTAAATTAGATGAGCAAGCAGGCCAAAGCTTTTTCCTCCATGTTTTGCTGTTGCAAAACTGTTTTTCCTCCATGTATTGCTTAATTGAGCGTGCTGTGTGGCAAGGAGCATTATCTTGTTGAAATTGCTAGATGAAGTCAGCTTTGAAAATATGCTTTGAAGGTTTTAAATAATCTTCTGTTATCTCTCTAAACCAATGTTGATTAAGATGATCAGTGTAAAGATGCACCAGGCCATTGTTAGATCCAGCAATACAGCCCCAAATGCAAATTGAATCTCCTCCTGCTTGAACTCTTGACATGATAAAACAAGAATTGTATTTTTCGCTTTTGTATCTCCTCATGACAACCCTTTTCTTGCAATTATTAAGTTTAAAATTTGACTCGTCTGAGAAATTTACTTTTATCCATTGTTCATCAGTCCATGCAGCTCTTTCTTTGCACCATTTTCTTATGATGAAGAAAAAACAACTAATTCATACTATGCTTTTTTGTTGCAAGATATGAATTGAGTTGTTTTTTTATCATCAGCTTGCTATAATAAAAAAATTGCGACCGTGCTATTACTTTCTGAAAGCACTGTGTGTGTGTATATATATATATATATACTAGGTTGGTTGAAAAGTTCGCGGAGCGGCACCTATGTTGCAGTAGTAGAAACAAATTTATAACTGTATTAAACGTATTCATTCTTCGTATGAACGCATAAAAAATTTCAAGTCGATATGCCATTTCAGTCTTTGTTTACAAGCTATTGGAATTAGACGTGTCATAGTATTTTTTTAAATGGAAAATATTGAACATCGTGCTGTAATAAAATTCTTTGTGAAAAAAGGTTTAAAGCCCATGGAAATTCATAATGAAATGGTAAATGTGTTGGGTGATGATGCTCCTTCAAAACCAACAGTATGCAAATGGGCTGCGGAGTTTCAACGTGGGCGTTCAAGCCTTGAAGATGACCCTCGCTCTGGACGTCCAAAAAGTGCTACTACTGAAGAAACGATTAATGCTGTGCATGACATGGTTATGGATGATAGACGATTGACCAAACGTGAAATTGCTGAGGCTGTGGGCATCTCAGATGAACAGGTATTACACATCTTGCACGATGAATTACGTCTGAGAAAGCTGTTGGCAAGATGGGTGCCGCATTCGCTAACTCTGGATCAGAAACGCACTCGAGTAAAACTTTCTCAAGAACATTTGGCCCGTTTTCAAAAGAATAAAACAGATTTTGTGCGTCGATTCGTAACCATGGATGAGACTTGGGTTTACCACTATGATCCGAAGCTGCGACAACAAACTGCAGAGTGGACAGAACCCGGTTGTTCAGCTCTGAAGCAAGTGAAGGCGTCAAAATCGTCAAAGAAGGTTATGGCATCAGTTTTTTGGGATGCGAAAGGAATTTTATTAATAGATTACCTTCAAACCGGTAAAACGATAACAGGTGAATATTATAAAAATCTTTTGGACCAGTTGGATAAAAAAATTCGTGAGAAAAGACCTGGTTTGCTGCATAAAAAAATCATTTATCACCAGGACAACGCACCTGCTCATATCAGCGATGTTGCAAAGGCGAAATTGGTCGAATTAAAGTACGAACGCTTGGAACATCCACCCTATTCACCAGATCTGGCTCCGTCCGACTTCCACCTCTTTCCACATCTCAAAAAATTTCTACGTGGAAAGCGTTTCTCGTCACATGAAGAAGTCATTGCAGCCGTAAATGGGTAATTTGAAGGCCTTCCGGAATCGCACTTCAGAGATGGGATACATGAATTGGAGAATCGTTGGAAAAAGTGTATTGCTCTTAAGGGAGAATATACTGAAGAATAAAGTCATTTTTTGAATCATAAAATTGTTTTTTCATTTCCGCTCCGCGAACTTTTCAACCAACCTAGTATATATATATATATATATATATATATATATATATATATATATATATATATATATATATATATATATATATATATATATATATATATATATATATATATATATATATATATATATATATATATATATATATATATATATGTATATATATATATATATATATATATATATAATGATAGGTTAATTCTAAAACATAGTATGTCCATTTTAGACAGTTGTGAGAAAAATGATTTTTAAAGTTTAAACTTTTATACGAATTCAAATATTTTAAAAAAAATTTTATAATTGAATAACTTAAAATCTCCTCAACTCCCTATAGTTTGGTACATGGTAGAGGGCACAAAGATTGACAGTTCAACATTCAAAACACAATATAGCCCTACTTTGGACATTCAATATTTTAGAATTAACCCATCAATATATGTACTGTTACTTTTAAGTTAAAACAGGCTTCAACTCTGTTTACCTTTTCAGATCTGAGAAATCTCCAATTCCTGCAAAACGTATTTCAAATATTACTGAATTTCTTACATTTGAAGTTTACAAATTTGCTGTTCGTGGATTATATGAAAAAGACAAGTTTATGTTTACTTTGTTGTTGTCGTTAAAAATTGACATTGGAAAAGGAAGTGTTAAAACAGAAGAATTTTCTTGCTTTATTAAAGGTTTATAATAGTTTTTATTATTTAAAAGTTAAACAACTTGTCTTGACTTATTTTGAGCTTATCAGTTTTTTAGTCTTGTTAGATTTTTTAATTACAGTAGTTTATTTTATCGCTTTTTTTTTTTTTTAAATTTTTTTATTTAAAAATGTTTGATGAAAGCTTAAATTTTTTGTATATATATATTTTTTTAATAACTTGAGTTAGTTAAGTTTTTTTGATGTGTCTCGCATTAGTTGTGAACATTTTTTACTATCAATGAATAATATTTTCTGAAACTATTTAGAAGTATTTACAAATAAAAGTTTTTATCTTTTATAAAAAATTTATTTTGAAATGGATGAAAAATAGTTATATGAGTTCTACAAATAACTTTTTTTTACCATATTTTTCATTAACAGGGGGTGCTGCCTTAGATTTAAAATCAGTTCAGCCTAAACCTTACAAGTGGATTTCTGATATGACCTGGCTTAATTTAGTTCAACTTAGTAAGCTTCCAACATTTTCAGGGATCTTAGATCAGGTTAGAATAGGAAGTTTTTATGAGTTAGCTACAAATAGTTTTTTTTTTTTTTTTTCTAAAAATCATGTTTTAGAACAAAAGTATAGTTATTAATCAGTATGCTCATAGAAATAGTATAAAAAAATAAACAAACTCATTCTGTTTTAAAGTAAAAAATAAGTTTTGCTTTATAACAAGGTTTCACGAAATGAATCAGCTTGGAAAAGTTGGTTGGATAAAGACAATCCTGAAGAACACCCTATACCAGATGGTTACCAAACTTCACTTGACACATTTAAAAAACTTTTACTAATACGGTTTTTTTTTTTTTTTTGTGTCATTACATTAGTTTATGAAATAATAATATATTATGAAGTAACAACAGTTGTTAAATGGTTTTAGCTATCATTTTCATTAGATCTTGGTGCCCAGACCGCACTTTATCACAAGCTCGCAACTATATTTCAGAATCAATGGGAGAAAAATATGCTGAAGGAGTCATATTTAATATTGAAACTTTATGGGAAGAAAGTGATATCAAAACACCTTTGATCTGTTTGCTATCAATGGGCTCTGATCCAACAAGTGCAATCGAAGGTCTTGCAAAACGCTTTAATATTGAGTGCAGAGCAATATCCATGGGACAAGGTCAAGATGTACATGCAAGAAAGTTGCTCCAACAGTCTTCAGTCAGCGTATGTGTTTACTGATTCTCTTTGTGTATATATATAACAGGTAGAAATAAATGCTGGATATTAACGCCTCTCAAACCGTTTTTGAAACCTGTTTGAGGGGAGAAACCAACAATTGTTTATGTTTTCAGATAATAAACAACAGAATGGTCCAAGGAGCAGCGATGTCTGGCACCTATTTTGACCCCTGTATTATGTGTATATATATATATATATTATATGTGTACATAAGTTTTATTTTTTTACATTAGTATTAGCTCAACATATTATATAGCACACTGTGTTGAGTACTCTTACTGAAATGTTATATTATATTATGTTATATATATATATATATATATATATATTTATATATATATATATATATATATATATATATATATATATATATATATATATATATATATATATATATATATATATATATATGTATGTATGTATGTATGTATGTAATGTATGTATGTATGTATGTATGTATGTATGTATGTATGTATGTATATATATATATATATATATACATACATACATACATACATACATACACACATACATACATACATACATACATACATACATACATACATACATACATACATACATTACATACATACATACATATATATATATATATATATATATATATATATATATATATATATATATATATATATATATATATATATATATATATATATATATATATATATATATATATATATATATATATATATATATATATATATACATTTAAACAATTTTAAAAATGTATTCTACAAAATAGAGTGCTCAATGTTCTTAAAAGAACAGAGCAATTGTAAATTAGTAGAAAATCACTTAACAAAATTTTTTTTCATTTTACACTGTGTTTCAACAACAATGCCTCATCAGAAATGAATGATCAAATTAATAAAACTTAATAGACACATTGGAGTGTACAAACATAGACTAAGTGTTTTAATTAGGGCAGGCAATCTATTATTATAAAGAAAAACTGTTAGTATAAAATTTCCTTTTTTTTTTGAACTTTTTTAAAAAAAGATACAAAGTTTATAGTATATGGGAAATGTTGCAGTCATTATATGTTTGTATATATGTAACATATATGTTTATATAAATGTATTTTTTTTTATTTTATTAAATTTAAAAATTTTTCAGAAATATACAAAAGTTTTAAAGTAGACACTAACATTATATGTCTAAATGTATGCAAACAATAACATGATAGTTAAGAATATCAATAATAAAAATATCGTCATCATATCAATCAGTCTATGTAATAAACTTTTTAAATATTTTTGATAATTTTATTATAACTCCTATGATGGCTGCAACAACTTGATGGTTGCAGCTATCATTGGAGTTGTAATATTGAAATCTTTCGGCACAAAATTAGAGGGAATTTGTAAAACTTTATTTTTTCTTTTAAGTTCTATTATATTTTACTTTGGGTTTAACAAGGTTTTTATTTTATTTTACTTTGGGTTTAAAGAGACTACTTTTTGACAATAAAATATGAACATTGATATACAAGGATATAGACCTAGATAGATAGATAGATTGATAGACCTCTGCTGCTCCACAAGATGAACATTTCATAACTAATTAAGGTGCACCATTTGATCTTATAATTACTCTTCAACCATTGAATAAGAGAACCTACCTCTGTGCATTGGAATGAACATATTGTTACTGCAACTAAATTAAATTTTTTTTCCATTCTTGCAAACAATCAATAAAAAAATAAAAAAATTATTTTTATTTCTTATTTACATTTTTTAGGGTGGTTGGGTGTTGTTGCAGAATTGTCATCTTGGTTTGGATTTTACAGATGAGTTGTTAGAATATATGCTCTCCATAGAAACAGCACATTCTACATTTAGATTATGGATAACAACAGAGGAGCATGCAAAGTTTCCTATTGGTCTTCTTCAGGTATCATTTTTTCATTTTTCATTTGAATCATAAATTGTTTATAAAATAGAGAACACATAGATAGTATATAGAATCTTGTATAGGAAAGAGTGAGTCACCATGAAACATTATAATTGTGAAAGAGTTTTAAGAGTTGTGACAACCATTTTCATGTGGTGAAACAGTTACTACTAGTTATATATGTTAGTTACTATTAGTTATAAACTATATATTTACTTACTACTAATTATATATTATTTATTTTGTCAAAACATAGCTATGTTTTGACAAAAAAAATCCAATTTCAATGCAAAAACCTTTGTTTATTGATGCTTAATAATGACATTTAAAACAATATGCTATCTGGATTTCTAAAATGTGATTTGGACCATTGGATGGATTTTTGCATTTTGATTATTAATTTGTTTGTCTTTTAAGTAAATCTGCCCTAAAAACAACTTATTGATTAATTTTTTTGTTATTTAAATAAAAATCTAGGTACTCCATGGGTGTGGTTCCTTGATACTAAATTCTAATTTTATTTTAAATAGTCTCAGAAGTTTAACCTATTATATTTTGGTAATTAATGAGTTTCATATTGTAGGTATAAATTTAATATGCAATTTAAACCAATTGCCTAAAAAAAAAGCATATTAAAAAAATATTCAAAGTATGCTTTTTCATAATGTTGCTGACTGCTTAAAAAAGGGTTTCAGCCTACCTATTAACTTCTCTGTAGGTCTTACCATTTTTTTCTAAATCCACAACTAAGTTTTGCTGAGAAGTTGTCCTATGTTGTTTTACAGTGTACATGTTGTTATAAATTAATCAATTTTGCATAATTAATCAATATCTTATGTGTTACATTTATATTTTAAATGTACTCTTTGATGTACATTTTTTACAGTTTTTAGAAAATCTGAGTTGTATACAGTCAATTTCTTATGGAACTCCTATAGGACTTTTAGGGTAAATACAGCAAAAACTCACACAAAATAATTGATTGATCATAAATTATAGTAATTATTTTTTGGTTCAAATTATATAAAATAAAGTTATCATATAAATTGATAAAAGTTAAAACATATATTGTTATAGATTGTTAAAGTTAAAAAATACATTAGAAATGTTAATAAAAAGCTTTGAAATGTAAAAAAGATTTTTTACTTTTTCAGCAAGTTTATTCTATAGCAGGTTTTGACTAACAAATAAAAGAAATGGCTTTTTGATACAAGATTTTCAGGTGATGGTAAATCTGTTTCCATTATAAGTTTACAGCCATGACATGTAGTTGCAAGTTTACAGCCATGGCGTGTAGTTGCTGAAATTAGGCTGGTTAAGTTTGAAGCATTTATCAATTTATGTAGGATTGTAAGAGAATTTTGCATTTTAAATTATAAATTTGCATTATGTCACCACAGATGCATCTGTGGAGACATGATGCAAATTAAATTATAATTTGAAATTAAATTATAATTTAACTTAATCCTACTTAAATTAATAAATGCTTTAATGGTTTAAATAAAAAGATCAAAAAAGATCTAAATATATTTAACTATCATCATCATTGTTATCATCATCGTTGTTTTCATTTTCTTGTGTAGCTTATGTAGTTTAGTTTCATAGACTACAAGATTTTATTATTTTCACAACCATATATCATAGTACACTAGACATTAGGGTTATAACATTTTTACAACCTTATATGGCCCAGATCCTACAAGATGAGTTTTTGAATAAAAACCATGAAATGGGCATACATTAATGATTTTTATTTCAAAAACATTCCCCAGTAAATAGAAAAACTATTTTCGAAATTTTGCAATTTAGTATAATTGAATAAAATTTTACTAATGAATAAATAATAATATTTAAAACAATACAGTGATAGTAGCTGAATAATTTAACACAAAACAATCACTTGTTTGATAAAATAAACTTCAAATTAATTTTTTCAGTACTTTTACACTGTATTTCTTGCATGATTTTATTTGTTAATTGGCACCAATGTTACTTCTTTGCATCTCAATTGCTGTATTGTCTTTATTTCAATGTTTCTTAAAAATGGTGTGTGTTTTTTTGTGTTTCTTTAACTGTTGTCCAATTTTTTATAACTGACTTCTTAATAAAAAGGTCACTGATCCAAATATCACGTTTTTCTGGGAGCAGTACAAAAGGAAGTAAGGCATATATTGCTCTAGAGTTCATACTTGCATTGCTTATATTGAGTAATGTTTTAAAGGTAATAAAGGGAAACGTGCCATGTTCTTGATAGCATCGGTATGCATTTCCCAATTTTTATAAAAACTGCATATCATAGTGCCATTTAATGTTTTTAACTTTTATATTTACATCACTTTATTGGAAGTCAGTTTTTAAACTTGTATAGTTGTTACTGACTTCTTGCACAAAATCATATGCTAAATTAGGAGATGTTGTTTTTCCATCAAGAATTTGATGGAAAAACAATTTTCAAATTTGACACATGATGTTGACATCCTATATACTGAGGTATAGGAATGCCTTTTTCTTTGAATTTGTTGGATCATTACAACAACTCCATTTCTTACTCCAGTATTGACACTTGTGGTATCACATGTCATAACTTTAATGCTTTCACATAATTTATATTGGTCTAATACATCAGTTATTCCATTAAAAATTGTTAATGCTTTCCCATTATTAAGAGATAAAGCAGCTAAGTGAACTTCACGATTCTGATTTTTTTAAACAACAACTTGCATTTTTTGGTTGTTAAGTTTCTTACCATCTAAGTGCAAAGCCCAAATGTCATTGTGCAAAGCTCAATTGTCATCAAAGCCCAATTGTTTCTGTTGCATTTTCTGTGGTTCTCTGACAGATGCTTTATAAATGGCAGGTTGAGTTGGTGTAGGAATGTCAATACTGTGGTCTGATAGTTGTTTGCAAACTTTTTCTGACTTAGAGAAACTTAGATTAGTCTGTTTTACAAGTTGAATTTCAGTTTTTGTAGTGGAATATGGTTTAGTTTTTCTTGCTTTAGCAGGAGAGTATAATCACAGTCGTTAGTATCATTGTCAGAAGTTTCTGAAGATGTTGATAGATTGGATGCAACATTTTTGCTCAATAAAGGAAGATTACTAATTGTGGAATTAACTTAACATTCTGGTCCAAACTTTTGATGGATGCACTTTTACTTGTACTGATGTTGCATAACCAACATCTCTATGTGATATCATTTGCATTTGATAAATTTGTTCTTCATTGGCCAACCAGATGCCATCTGTTTTGGTGATATCAAGCACTTTTGCAAATTTAACTTAAGCACATTCATTATGGTACTTTAAAAATTTATCCTATTTATTAATTAATGCTTCAGTCTTCCTCACTATTGACTTAACTGTTATGAGTGGAAAATTTTTTTCTCACAATTTTTTCAATTCTTCGGCTACCATTTAAATCTTCCATTTCTAGATTTATTTTGAGTAAGAAATTGAAACTCCAAGTAATTTTCATTTCTTTAGGCATTCTAGTTATGCTGTCAGGTGGATCACGTGATTGTTGCTAAAATTTTTCTTTTTGTTACACTCTTTTGGTATGCTGTCAAGTTTTTTCTCCAAGTAACAGAATTTTTTACAACATCTTCCCTGCTCTTCTTATATGACATTTTCTAGAAAAAATAATAAATATCTCAGTGCTAATGAGTGTGCGTGACAATATATTTGAATTAGTGCAAACTTTTAGGTAGTAAAACAAAAAAATATGTGATAGATAATTTAATGTAAGCAAAATTTATAAGACAGAATGAAAGTATGTAAATTAGCCATTCATTTCATCTGTAAATCATTTAGTAATTAAGTTAACCAAATATGGTTCACAACAGGTGAACTACATACTGGTTTTGGTACACAGCTTGTATAGAAATATTTAAATCTGTGTTCTGGAGGTGGTTTTAGTCAAGGCTAAGTAAAATAGTGCTATTTATAACATATTTGCACCATTTCTCATCAGGTAGGGCAATGGCCATTTTATAATTGAAAAAAAAGTGAAAATGTTGTAACCCTACTAGACATGTTCTGCAAGAAATATTTTTATTCTTTAGTAAAGAAATACTCTTATCTTACCAAGATTGGGCCTGGTATAAAAAAAGGTCAAATTAAGCTGGGCCTGTAGGCCTGGTTGGTCATTATGTGTAATTAATACAATAAAGACTCTCTAAATTTTGTTGATTAAAGAACGTGAGTACTATATTAAATATAATATTATACTTGTCTTGTTTTAACTCAATTAGTGACCTGCTGGCTCAGTTAATTAGTCAATTTAATTATAGCTGAGGTTAAAAAAAAGAGCAAAACTTAATAATAAAGAAGTGCATAGAACATCAGCATACAACTAAATTTTAATAGTAGTCCATTTCTGCTACATTTTTATTCATGTAAAACTTAAAATCCGATGGTACATCTTGGTGTGCATGTAGATGTTTTGTATATTGATCGTATTATTATTGTTTTAGTAATGAAAACACAATTTGTCCCCATAAATACATCTTTTTTTTATTTTTTTTATTTTGATATTTTATTATAAAATATAAAGAATAACTTTTGGAAAAATATAAAAATAATTAACAAAAAAGTTAAACCTAATTATAGCCATGAACTCTGGGGAAAAGATTACTACATCTGTCCATCAACATCCGTGGAGTAGTGAAATAACATCCGTACATTTTTGTGTAAAATCATCCGCTTTTTTTCCTTACTGAATTAACATCTGTGCAACAACATCCGAAATTTCATTGATGTCTAATAACATCTTTAGAAAGATGTAACTACATCCGAGAGTTTTTCTCAATGTGTAACTACATCCACCTAAAATAATGCATTATTAAAAAAAATTCCGGATGTAGTTACATTTATAAGTTACATATATAATTATTATATTATATAAGTGCTGCTACATCGACTGACAAATAGCCTGATTCGCAACGGAGTGCTGCTACATCGACTGACAAATAGCCTGACTCGCAAGGAGTGCTGCTACATCGACTGAGGGTTACGTTTGGCCATCCGAAAAAAATCAGATGCGTGACTACATCTGGTTAAAATTATGCATTTAAAAAGAAAAAAAAAATTTGGATATAGTTACACCTGAAAAATCTACAGATGTAGTTGCACGGATGCTATTATACATCAATGAAATTTGGGATGTTATTGCACGGATGTTATTATACATCAATGAAATTTGGTATGTTATTGCACGGATGTTATTATACATCAATGAAATTTGGGATGTTGTTGCACGAATGTTATTATACATGGCAAAAACGGATGTTATTGCCCTGAACCGAACTCTGCACCCGAACTCTAACCCATGTTTACATAAAACTTGTGTTGTTTTAAATGCAGGGAAACAGGCAAGATAATATTTTCCTCAATAAAACATGTGTTGTTTTAAATGCAGTGAAACAAACAATAAACAAAAATTGTACTCAATAAAAGTTATTTACTTGTTTATTTACTTGTTTAACTGTTTTATTTTCAATTTTGTTTTGTTTATAAGTGTTCGATTAAATTTACAAACCAACCTCCGCAAGGTATTAAAGCAGGATTGAAAAGAACATATGCAAATGTTTCTCAAGATCAACTTGATATATGTTCATTACCGCAATGGAAACCAATGTTGTTTGCTGTTGCATTTTTGCATACTGTTGTGCAGGTAATCTGATTTGTTAAAATATGAACTTTATTATGCAAATTTAAAAAAGCTAGTTTTAAAAATGTGTTATTCATTGCTGTCTAATTTATCAGCGTAAAATAGAGAAAGTTTTAATAAACGGTTACATGATGAAATTTTTTTTTTCAGGAGCGGCGCAAATTCGGTCCATTAGGATGGAATATACCTTACGAGTTCAATCAGTCAGATCTTACTGCAACCGTTCAGTTTGTTCAGAATCATTTGGACGATTCGGATAGCAAGGTTTATTTTATTTTTTTGTTTGTTTATCTTTTTTTTGGTTATCGTTTTAAGTTTAACATTAGACTTAATTTTAGATGTCAGTTAATTTTCTTTCAGATTGTTTCAAAATAAAACTTAAAGAAATTATTTTTCTTTATATTTACTTTATACAATTTATATATTTACATTTATATGAAGTATCGTTTTTTAATTTAGTCTATTTCATGGGAGACAGTTCGATATATGATTGGAGAAGTTCAATACGGAGGTCGTGTTACTGATGACTATGATAAACGATTACTGATTACATATGCAAAGGTTCCGTTGCAAAAAAGTGTTTTTGTAAAATTAATAATTTTGTTCAAGTTTTTTTTTTTTACAAAAAACTGTTTTATAATTTGCAGGTTTGGTTTACTGACGAGTTGTTCAAAGAAGACTTTAGTTTCTTTAAAGGTTATAATATTCCTCGCGTGAATTCTATATTCGATTACAGAGAAAAAATCAACCTTTTTCCTAATATTGATTCACCAGAAGTTTATGGTCTTCATGCTAATGCCGATATAACGTATGATTTTATTGTCTTTACTGAAAAATGTTTTTGTTAGTGTTAATCTGTTATAATAAAAACTGATTTGTGCAAAACTTATCATTTTCTCCATAGTTACCAGACAAACACCACACGTGAAACTCTTGAGACAATTCTAAACATTCAGCCAAAAGATAGTGGAACTGGCACTGGGGAAACAAGAGAACAAGTTGTCACAAAACAAGCAATAGAAATGCTTTCTAAACTTCCTTCCAACTACGTATCTTTTGAGGTAAAGAAAATATTAAAATTATAGTTCCAGTCTAAATATGTGTATTTTAAAACATTTGTTTTTGAGTTAATGTTTTTATATTTATTTAGGTTCGAGCTCGTCTTCAAAAAATGGGAGCCTTAACACCTTTAAATATTTTTTTGGGACAAGAAATTGATCGTATGCAAAGAGTTATAACTTTAGTTCGAAATACACTCACTGATTTACAACTTGCTATTGAAGGAACAATAATAATGAGCGAGGTACTAACTTTTTATATCGAGGATCAAATGTTAATTATTTTAGTTAAAGCAATTGAACTATTAAAACTATCTGCCATTTTTTACTTTAGAATCTTCGAAATGCTTTAGATAACATGTTTGATGCACGTGTCCCAACTCTTTGGCAAAAGGTAAATTTTCTGATTCTGTAATATTTTGATTTGAACATGTCGTTTTGAGTAAGTCACATCCATTTTTAATAATAACGTTTAATGGATGTTTAGGTTTATTTATGATTGAGCTTGCATGTTTAAAAGTAAATTAGTTTTTAATGAAGAGTTTTCATGTTTGAGCTTTGATATGTATATTAAACGTACTTTAACTAAACGTAATTTAACTAAAGATTGAATGATAATATTTGTTAAGATATCTTGGCAATCATCTACTCTTGGATTTTGGTTTACTGAACTTATTGAGAGAAATCAGCAGTTTTCGACTTGGATATTTAACGGGCGTCCAAAGGTTTTTTGGATGACCGGTTTCTTTAATCCTCCAGGCTTTCTTACTGCTATGAGACAAGAAGTTACGCGTATGCATAAAGGATGGGCTTTAGATTCTGTAATACTACACAACGATGTATTAAAACAAATGAAAGAGGAGATTACAGCCTCACCACAGGTAATTTTATTCACCATTTTGACTACATTTTGATGCATTAGGGTAAACCTTTTTTTAAATTAGCGTTAAAAATAAAAAATTGGTTTCATGGGCTTATTCAGATTTTAAAAGTTTACCAAAGTAGCTCAATAAGAAAAGCTGATACTGTCTACTTCCAGCAACATATAAACCATATTATCTTTAATAACACTTTTGGCGTTTCACTAATTTGAACTTCCGATAGTCTTAAGTTCAACCTTTTTGGTTGAACTTAAACTTTAGTCTTAAGTCACCAATACAGTTCAACCTTATTGGTTGAACTGTATTGGTGAACGGAAAATAACATGTTAAATGCTTTTTCTTTGACTGTTTAATTTTAAGTTTACTAGAGTTTCTTTTTTTTTAAATTAAAATTCCATGCATCAATAAAATGCAAACATCAATATTTGCGAATAATTCCTCACAAAGTTATTTAAAAAAAAAATTTTTTTTTTATTTTTTATTTTTTTTTGTTTAGGAAGGAGTTTATGTTTATGGTTTATACTTAGAAGGTTCATCTTGGGATAGAAAAAATTGCAAACTCGTTGATTCTTCTCCAAAAACTCTCTTCACTGCTTTACCCGTTGTACATATCTATGCAATCAATAATACAAGTTTAAAAGATCCACGTTTATATATGTGCCCTGTATATAAAAAACCGAAACGCACTGATCTTACTTATATTACTGCGTTGAGTTTACGAACAACGCAAAATCCTGATTATTGGATTATGAGAGGCGTTGCTTTACTGTGCGACATCAAGTAAACTGAAGTTCTATTTATCATGTTTCGAAATAAAATTTCTTCCAAAATGAATATAACAAATTGTTATTGTTGCGTTTGTGCGTCTTTTACTATTGTTATTATTACTATTTTTATTAGTATTACTATTTTTATTATTATTATTACTAAAAGCATAAAACAAATTTAGCTTATGTTTTATGTATTTTGCAAATACGTGTATCATACAGTCTTAAGTCCTTACAAACGTTCTTATCTTTGTTTATAATACAGTTTACATTTGCATTCAGTTTCATTTACATTCTACAATATATCATCTTTTTAAGCAGCCGTGGCGCAGTGGTAGCGCACTTTCCTCAGAAACAAAGGATCCGTTGGTTCAAACCCTATCTCTGGGCAAGTTTAGCGACATCGGTTGGGAAGGAGTTGTGAACTTCCTATTAAATGCTCATCCGCGGTGCTCTGTGACAAGACCGTAAGGACTTTTTGGAGCACCTAAAAAAAAAAATCTATTTAGTAATTTGCTGGTTGGATCTATAGATATATAGAGTTAGATAAATTGTAAAAAAAGTGAATTGTAAATCATAAATAAGATGTACTGATATACTGTTGTAATTAAATTACTAATTGGTTAGCAACAACAACAAATAAACCCACTTTAGAATACTGTAAGTAAAAATTTGTAATAAAATCTCAGCTCTACGAAAAATAAAATTCAATATGTGAAAAAATCTTAGACTTGTTAAAGATTAAAGGCAAATTTTCATTACAAAGTTTTGATTGCACTCAAAAATATCTAAAGACAGGGGAAATTTAAAGAATCAACACTTACAAAACAAAAACCCCACCCTATTAAACTACAAAAAAAATTACTAAAACTTATTCAAATAATAAATAAATAGTTGCCGAATCTATTTTTATGTGGGGACGAATAAATTATCTTAATTAACTTGTATTTAAATAAAACTGAAACATTTAAACTTAAATAACTTTATAAATTCTAAAGTAAAACGTCCTCCCCAAACAAATTATTGTAGTACATCCTTTTCTGAAGAAGATAACATCTATATATACGTATATACTATTAATTTTCGTGGGTGGGTTTTTATTCTTCGACACCTACATAAAATCATTTCTTATGTTTTTTGGACGAAGTTTTTCAGTAAAAAACAAAGTTTTTTTTTTTTTTTTTTTGTATGTATTTAGGTGCTCCCAGAAGTCCTTATGGTCTTATCATAGAGCACCGCGGGAGAGCATTTAACAGGAAGTTCACGCCTCCTTCCGTACCAATGTCACTTGTTGGGCTAGAGTTGGCGTCGAACCTCGGACCTCTGGGTTCTGAGCCAGAACTCTAACCACTGCGCCACGGCTGCTCTATATTTTTTCCGCGATAAAATGTCACGTGACAAAACTCCCTATAGGGAGTTAATCAAACTTCAGAAAAAATATCTAATATATAAAAAATATCAATTAATCAAACTTCAGAAAAAATATCTGATATACTATAGTATATCAGATATTTTTTCTGGAGTTTGATTAATTGAAGCTCTTTTTGAATATGAAAACTCGTGTTAGTACAAAAAATTCATGTCATCTCTCCAGTTTGATATTTTGTGCGCAACTAAATATTATTAACACTGGTTCATAAATAATGATCTTTAACAAGTTGCACTTACAAAAATCAACTTTTCTGGTGTGTTTTTCTCATTATTTATGTACAACTGAATTTCCATTTTTCGCTACGTGTTTGCCATCAAAATGGAAAGACTAGACATTTCTATTTATTTCAATCTTAAATTTAGTAGCCTCTTAAACTTTGCTTTGCCTAACTTGGAGCTTTATTGTGTGATAATTATTTGCAGATTTTAGCAGTTTTATTCATTTATACTATTGTGAATGTCACCAAGTTGTTGCGGTTCTACTTTTAGAGAATTTAATGCTTGGAAAACAAGTAATCATTTCTTGATGTTTATCATCTTCATACTTGGTCTAATAAGGGCCAGCTTTAAATGATTTTTTTAATTTAACTTCCTTTAACAATTAACCCCCTTTTCCACTCTTTAAAAACTACCATGTTGCAAAAACACAAATTAGTTTTATGTTTAAACGCGTTAAGTTATGTTAATGTCAGCTTGAATATTTCAAAATTTTACATTTGATATAGTTAATTAATTAAAAACACCAGAGCTGGATTACCCTGGGCTCTTGTGCCTTGATGGTGTGGAGGCTGTGATTTAATAATAATTCATTTTTACTCATCTGTAGCAGGCAGCTACTTCACTTCCTGTTGTTGGTACTAACTGTTTATATTACTAAATTTTTTTAGTAAAGCAGCAAAAAAAAATGTTTGTTTGATAAACTACTTAGATTTTAAACTAAAACAGTACATAATAGTTGTTGAGCTACACAGTAGATAGTACACTATCAATAGTACACTATTGTGTAATCAACAGTTGATTATTAACTGTTAACGTTATTAAATAACAATATACCTAAAACCATTGCTTAAAGAACTTTTGTTTATAATCACTTTTAGAATTTTAAACTTTAAAAGTGTTTAAAACTTAGTTGACAAAACAAATTCTCGGATAAGGTAAAACACCCATGCAATCAAGTCGTCGCAGCAATTGTTTCTAGGTTTGATTTCTTATGACCGTTTTCAATAAACATATCTATAATAAACTGAATTTCGTTGTTATTGTATTTTTCGAAGCAGATTTTGGTGACTCGTGACCTTTAAAAACACCAGGTTTTATTTTTATGTTTGTTATTGTTTCTTTACGGTGGATTTCGGAATCATGATGGTAATTATTTGTGTTAGTTAATTTTATATCTAAAAAATTTAGTTCTCTCTGATCATTTTCAACCTCTGATGTGTATGCTTTTTAACTGATTCAAATCTGGCATGGCTATCATCAACATATCTTCTATAAGATTTTGGTGAAAAATTGTTGATTTCCGCAATATGCAGAGCTCTTGTATATATATATATATATATATATATATATATATATATATATATATATATATATATATATATATATATATATATATATATATATATATATATATATATATATATATATATATATATATATATATATATATATATATATATATATATATATATATATATATATATATATATATAACTCCTATAAATAAAGTTTTGGACAAATTTTAATTGCATTTGTTATGTAATTTATTTCATGCAAGCAAAAAACTTTTATACTTATTTGAAAGAGGATTTTAGAATCTTTTTAAATTAAATTTAATTAAGTAAAAAATATTTAAATATTAAAAATAAAATAGTCAAAGTAAAGGACTTCGAAAAAATGATCGAAATTTTTTTCCAAAAAAATCGAAAAAAAGGTAGAGCGTTTGTTGCTGAGCAGTTTATGGATTGGGGTTTACCCAGATCAACTACTTACGATAAAATCGTAAAATTGAAGAATAGATCTCTAAAAAGAAAAGTTGCAAGTGGTCGAATTGCTAAGGTAGCTACTAAAGAAAATATTTTTTGAAAATAAGTCTGGATGCTCCCAAAAAAAAGTAGCTCAGGTTTTTAACTGTAGTAAAACTTGAATTTCCCAAGTATTAAAAAACAATGACCAACATTCGAACTTTAAAAAAAAATTGTCCAGATCATAGCCATCAGTAGAAGAAAGCTATGCGTCCTAAATGTCGTAAATTGTTCGAAAATTATAAAAACTTGGATTTTATTATGGATGATGAAAGCTACTTTACCATAAACAATAGCACATTAGCTCGATAGTGATATAAACAATAGCACATTAGCTCGATAATGATAGATTTTATGCCGTTGATCCTTCTCAATGTTCTGACAAAGTAAGATACAATTTGCGTAAAAAGTACGAGGACAAGCTCTTAGTTTCTTTTTTCATCAGCCCCGGTGGAATAAGCCCTCTTTATATTCATCACAGTAAACAGGCAATGAAACCAGTACACTTATAAAGAGATACTAGAAAAAACTTTACTTCCTATAGTATCAGAATATTATAAAAAAGACAATGAGAATCTTCTGGCCTGATCTAACTCGATTACATTACGCAAAGTCGGTCATCGACTTTTTAAAATTGAAAAAAATCAAAGTTGTACCCAAAGATATAAAACCGGCTAACGTTCCAGAAGCAAGACCAATTGAAAACTTTTGGGGTGATTTAAAATGGCTAGTATACGAGAATAATTGGGGAGCTGAGAATTTGGAAGAGCTTGAAGCAAGAATTAGATATTGCTATTCAAAGATGAATAAAGAAATTTTCCTTACTCAAATAAAACATCTTTCAAAAAAACTTTATTATATTTCTGAATATGGTATTTGAAATAATTATTTGAATATGTTTATAAACTACATATACTAACATATTGTTAACAGTTGAAATACTAAATAATAAAACTTATTAGTTCTTAAAATCAATTTTTAAATTTTGTCCAAAATTTTATTTATGAGGTGTATAATATTATAATATTAATAATATTAAAATATAATTATAATATAAAAATAAAATTTCAGATCCCAAAGCTAAATCTCCTTGTCATTGAAAGTGGTGCAGTAGTAGTCCAAAACAGTAGTGATTTAGATAAGAACAACTTAAAAGCAACTGCACTATGTTTCATCTATTTGATCTACTAAATTAATAAAAAACTTTCACAAAAACATTTATAAACACTCTATTAATATTGTTTTCTCTTTTTTTTTGAGATTCCAGGCAGTCATATGATCGAAGATTTTTAGTCGCATCCATTCACATTATGATTAAAAAGTTTTATGTGTATAAAACTTTGGTTCCAAAATAATCACTTACGCCCTAATATTTAATTTTTAACAAAAAAAAAATTTTTTTTGGTATTGTGATTTATCCTTCCCCGGCTAATTGCCAAATAGAAGATATTTTTTTAAAAAGATCGAATGTTGCAGACACCAGCCAAATTTAAAAGTGTTGTATTAATATATGTTTGTTATATTTAATATATATTTTTTCTTTATTCTAAAAAAAGAAAAGGTTTCCTAGCAAAGTTTTATGCTTTAAAATTCACTGTAAATTGAACTCACTGGTGTTATTTTCCGTACCAGTTAATAAAGTTTTAATTATTCATTCACAGAGTTTAAGTCTTTAATGTTTCAAATCTTTAAATCGTCTTTAATGTTTCAAATCTTTATATCGTCTTTAATGTTTCAAATCTTTAATTCATCTTGCATTCTTTCGTTTTGGTGTATTATTTTTTCAAGCGCTTTAGTCAAATTCCATAGCCGGATATCTGTTTCAACCTGTAAAAAAGTAAGATCATTGTTTATTTTGTTTTAAAAAGTATAATTCTACTGTTTGAATTTTAATAGTAATTGCCCCTTCCACCACCCACATATACACACGAACACACGCGTGCACGCACAAAAAAAGTTCAAAGGGATTGGACTTTACAACAAATTATTAATGATAAACTTTGTTTTACATCTATAAAAACTCACAAAAAAAAGATTTTTTAAGAAAAAATTTGTTACAAGATTCGTGTCTTTTTAACCTAAGGGTTACTTAAGGATGACATAATTTTAGAATTCTTGATAAAGTAATTTTCTATACGCTAATCAATTTTCAATTTTTTTTTTTAATTTTTTTCTGTTTCTATTAACAACATTTTTATCACAAGTTTTTAATGAATATATTATTTACGGGTTATTAGGAGCTTAGCGGTAAGACTATTTTGTCTTCTTCTTACCCCCGCCATTTGTATATTTTACAAGTATGAAAGTTGTAATTATTTTTAACGGCAAATTTATAAAATGGAAAACAAAATACGTATTAAGTAGTGGAGACCGGAACTAAATGGCAGCAGAGGCAAGTTGACGAGTTGCATTTATCTTCAGAGATTTTCATCAGAAAGTACCAGAAATTACGTGGAATCTTCCTAAATGAGCATTTAATCCTTCAATGTATTATTGTAGAGATTCGCACATACGCACCAAAGAAATTAGGATTCATGTTTTTTTTTGGACAAAAACGTAATCCTCAGTAAAGACGCGATATCAATGTGGTATTAGAATAATATTAAAACTTTCTATATTATCAGCTATGATATCAAATAATGATATCATTATGATATCATTACTATGAACTTCATAGTATGTAGTGATATCAGAACTTTAGGAAAAAAACTTAATTTATAGCATAATTTTATATATTAGTTATAAAGCACAATAAAAGTTAAGTTTTTTATTTTTTAATGTCCAAATATTTAGTTTTGATTTATGAACTCATATCATGATATCATTATGATATCAAGAATTTGTCATGCTATGATGTGAAATAAAGTTGCTTGCTATCATACTAATTTACCTGAAAATATACAAACGGAAAGATGCGAAAAAGTTTAAAAAAATGGTTAGACCAAGTATATGAAACTTTAAACTTGTTAGTAAATTTGTTAATATTCCATTGTAAATACTATAGCATTTACTATGAAAAGTTGACAATTTAGGTGCCCCTAAAATATACTATGACCAGGTTTTCCTGTGTATGGTCCATTTAGTGAACGGTAAAACTATATCTATGGAGTTTATAAATGAAAAGCCTGAAAATGTGTTAGTTGAAATGTTATGCAATATGAAATTGAATGTATTTGCTTTGCAAAGCCTTTATTTTTATGACAATAGAAAAAAATATTTTTTTTTTTTAGTGGGATATTATATAAGTAAAAAATATAATCTTACAAATAACGAGGTTACAATTAACGTTTAAGTCAAAAAAACTAAAAGCATACTATTGATGATACCGCCTACTTTTAACCGCCCATCTTAAAAAGTTGGTAAAAGTTTCAATAGTTTTAAAATGCTAAAAAAAATTAGAAAAATCTTTAGTAAATAAAAATTAAATTACGTAACTGGCAATTTAAATTTACATTATTTTGAAATATTAAGTACATTCCAACATTAGGAAGTTTTATAATGGCAAATTTTAAAATAAAGCACGTAAATTTTAATATAAAAACAATAATATCTTTGGATATCACTAACATATTTGGTTTATTCGGGTCAGAAAAATGCTGGTGTATTTTAACTAACTACAATTTCAGCGGCATCAACCAGTGTTTTCTCAAACTTTGAGTCAATTCTGGTATTCATGAAAAACTTCTTTGTACCATCCAGGTGATTTTTGGCGCCATGAGTATCTAATTCTTTAGTCTGAAGTTGCTTACTAGTTACATGTTACGAGTTATGTTGATCAAAAACAACACGTCACACCGCATAACCAGATAAATCGTAAACTTAAAACTAAAAATGGTTTTTGAAATAACCTGTGTATCTGTATAGGTGATGTATTGTAAGATACTTCGGTTAAATTTGTGCCGTAACCTCTTTCAGATTATCGCTTATATCACCAGCATCACTGAGTTGGCATGTTAAAAAATTTATAAAAAGTTTACAGCAAAGTATGTAACCCTAAAAGTTACCATGAGTATAGTCAATTTATCGAACGCCAAAACATCTCAACGGAATTTATAAATAAAAAAAACAAAAATTGAAAAAGTTATTCAAAGCACGTATGATAAAAAAGCCAAATAAATAAGTTTTTGGGTAAAAATAAACCTAAAAACATTTCTTTCATATTTAGTTCAGAATAAATTAAAGTAATTTTATTTATCTTGCAACATTTTCTTTTGAAAACTTTAAATTACCTTTTAAAATATTTGATGCTAAAGTCCAATAAAGCAACTGCAATCAACAGCAACTTATGACATAATGTGAATGTAATTGTTAGCAAGAGACAGTGAATCTATTTGTTACCAAGAGAATGTGAATGCAATTGTTAGCAAGAGACAGTAAATGTATTTGTTAGCAAGAGAATGTGAATGTATTTGTTAGCAAGAGACTGTGAATGTATTTGTTAGCAAGAAACTGTGAATGTATTTGTGAGCAAGAGAATGTAAATGTATTTGTTAGCAAAAGACTGTGAATGTATTTGTTAGCAAGAAACTGTAAATGTATTTGTTAGCAAGAGGCTGTGAATGTATTTGTTAGCAAGAGAATGTGATAAATTTGTTAGCAAAAGACTGTAAATGTATTTGTTAGCAAGAGACTGTGAATGTATTTGTTAGCATGAGACTGTGAATGTATTTGTTAGCAAGGAATTGTGAATGTATTTGTTAGCAAAAGACTTTGAATGTATTTGTTAGCAAGAGACTGTGAATGTATTTGTTAGTAAGAGACTGTGAATGTATTTGTTAGCAAGAAAATGTGAATGTATTTGTTATCAAAAGACTGTAAATGTATTTGTTACCAAGAGACTGTGAATGTATTTGTTAGCAAAAGACAGTGAATGAATTGTTAGCAAAAGACAGTAATTGTATTTGTTAGCAAGAGACTGTGAATATATTTGTTAGCAAGGAACTGTAAATGTATTTGTTAGCAATAGACAGTGAATGTATTTGTTGGCAAAAGACTGCGAATGTTTTTGTTAGCAAGAGACAGTGAATCTATTTGTTAGCAAGAAACAGTGAGTTTATTTGTTAGCAAGAGACGTGAATCTATTTGTTAGCAAGAGACAGTGAATAAAAATGTTAGCAAGAAACAGTAAATCTATTTGTTAGCAAGAGACAGTGAATGCATTTGTAAGCAAGAGACAGTGAATCTAATTGTTAGCAAGAGACAGTGAATCTTTTTGTTAACAAGAGATAGTGAATGTATTTGTTAACAAGAGACTGCGAATGTATTTCTTAGCAAGAGACAGTGAATCTATTTGTTAGCAAGAGACAGTGAATCTATTTGTTAGCAAGAGACTGTGATGTATTTGTTAGCAAGAGACTGTGAATGTATTTGTTAGCAAGGAACTGTGAGTGTATATGTTAGCAATAGGCAGTGAATGTATTTGTTAGCAAGAGAATGTGAATGTATTTGTTAGCAAAAGACAGTGAATGTATTTGTTAGCAAGAGATTGCGAATGTATTTGTTAGCAAGAGAAGGTAAATATATATGTTAGCAAGAGACTGTAAATGTATTTGTTAGCAAGAGACTGTGAATCTATTTGTTAGCAAGAAACTGTGAATGTATTTGTTAGCAAGACACTGTCAATGTATTTATTAGCAAGAGAATGTGAATGTATTTGTTAGCAAGAGACCGTGACTGTATTTGTTAGCAAGAGACAGTAAATCTATTTGTTAGCAAGAGACAGTAAATGTATTTGTTAGCAAGAGATTGCGAAGAAATTTGTTAGCTAGAGAATGTGAATGTATTTGTTAGCAAGAGACAGTGAATCTATTTGTTAGCAAGAGACAGTGAATCTATTTGTTAGCAAGAGACAGTGAATCTATTTGTTAGCAAGAGACTGCGAATGTATTTGTTAGCAAGAGACAGTGAACGTATTTGTTAGCAAGAGACTGTGAATGTATTTGTTAGCAAGAGACTGTGAATGTATTTTTTAGCAATAGAATGTGAATGTATTTGTTAGCAAGAGACAGTGAATGCATATGTTAGCATGGGACTGTAAATGTTATTGTTAGCAAGAGACTGCGAATGTATTTGTTAGCAAGATACTGTGTATATATTTGTTAGCAAAAGACAGTGAATCTATTTGTTAGCAAGAGACTGCGAATGTATTTGTTAGCAAGAGACAGTGAATCTATTAGTTAGCAAGAGACAGTGAATCTATATGTTAGCAAGAGACAGTGAATGTATTTGTTAGCAAGAGAGAGTGGATGTATTTGTTAGCAAGAAATTGCGAATGTATTTATTAGCAAGAGACAGTGAATCTATTTGTTAGCAAGAGACTGAGAATGTATTTGTTAGCAAGAGACTGTGAATGTATTTGTTAGCAAGAAACTGTGAATGTATATGTTAGCAATGGGCAGTGAATGTATTTGTTAGCAAGAGACAGTAAATGTATTTGTTAACAAGAGACTGCGAATGTATTTGTTAGCAAGAGACAGTGAATCTATTTGTTAGCAAGAGACTGTGAATGTATTTGTTAGCAAGAGACTGCGAATGTATTTGTTAGCAAGAGAATGTAAATATATATGTTAGCAAAAGACTGTGAATGTATTTAATAGCAAGACACAGTGAATCTATTTGTTAGCAAGAGACAGTGAATCTATTTGTTAGCAAGAGACAGTGAATCTATTTGTTAGCAAGAGACTGCGAATGTATTTGTTAGCAAGAGACAGTGAACGTATTTGTTAGCATGAGGCTGTGAATGTATTTGTTAGCAAGAGACTGTGAATGTATTTTTTAGCAATAGAATGTGAATGTCTTTGTTAGCAAGAGAATGTGAATGCATATGTTAGCATGGGACAGTAAATGTTATTGTTAGCAAGAGACTGCGAATGTATTTGTTAGCAAGATACTGTGTATATATTTGTTAGCAAAAGACAGTGAATCTATTTGTTAGCAAGAGACTGCGAATGTATTTGTAAGCAAGAGACAGTGAATCTATTATTTAGCAAGAGACAGTGAATCTATATGTTAGCAAACGACAGTGAATGTATTTGTTAGCAAGAGAGAGTGAATGTATTTGTTAGCAAGAGATTGCGAATGTATTTGTTAGCAAGAGAATGTGAATGTATTTGTTAGCAAGAGACTGTGAATGTATTTGTTTGCAAGATACTGCGAATGCATTTGTTAGAGAGAGACAGTGAATGTATTTGTTAGCAAAAGAGTGTGAATGTATTTGTTAGCAAGAGACAGTAAATCTATTTGTTAGCAAGAGAACGTGAATGTATTTGTTAACAAGAGACTGTGAATGTATTTGTTTGCAAGAGACTGTGAATGTATTTGTGAGCAAGAGAATGTAAATGTATTTGTTAGCAAAAGACTGTGAATGTATTTGTTAGCAAGAAACTGTGAATGTATTTGTTAGCATGAGACTGTGAATGTATTTGTTAGCAAGGAACTGTGAATGTATTTGTTAGCAAAATACTTTTAATGTATTTGTTAGCAAGAGACTGTGAATGTATTTGTTAGTAAGAGACTGTGAATTTATTTGTTAGCAAGAGAATGTGAATGTATTTGTTATCAAAAGACTGTAAATGTATTTGTTACCAAGAGACTGTGAATGTATTTGTTAGCAAGAGACAGTGAATGTAATTGTTAGCAAAAGACAGTAATTGTATTTGTTAGCAAGAGACTGTAAATGTATTTGTTAGCAAGGAACTGTGAATGTATTTGTTAGCAATAGACAGTGAATGTATTTGTTGGCAAAAGAGTGCGAATGTTTTTGTTAGCAAGAGACAGTGAATCTATTTATTAGCAAGAGACAGTGAGTTTATTTGTTAGCAAGAGACAGTGAATCTATTTGTAAGCAAGAGACAGTGAATGAAATTGTTCGCAAGAAATAGTGAATCTATTTGTTAGCAAGAGACAGTAAATGCATATGTAAGCAAGAGACAGTGAATCTATTTGTTAGCAAGAGACAGTGAATCTTTTTGTTAACAAGAGATAGTGAATGTATTTGTTAGCAAGAGACTGCGAATGTATTTGATAGCAAGGAACTCTGAATGTATTTGTTAGCAAGAGACTATGAATGTATTTGTTAGCAAGAGACTTTGAATGTATTTGTTAGCAAGAGACAGTGAATGTATTTTGTAATAATTTCAAATTGCAAAACTGAAATACGTCTAGAATTAAAAATGTTTTTCTTAATTGTTTCTAAATATTGTAAATGTTTGTTGGTTCCCTCTTGTATGATAGGGTTCCTATAATGTACATATTTTTAATATCTACAATATGCTTATTTTTATACAAAAATTAAAAAAATTGTTTTTAAATTATACAAAAAATATACTCTTTGTTTTTAAAATACTTTTCAATAAAAAAAAAATTTTAGGACCTAAATTTATGTTTCATAAATATTTAATTAAACAACGTAAAGTATTTAATTTATTAAAATAAAACCTAATATTTTATCAAAAAATTAAAAAAGAAAACAAAGCAATGATGGTATATTTTGAATTTCTTAGGGCTGACGCTATACTGAGAAAACATCGACATTCTGACGCTATACTGAGAATACATCGAAGTGTTTTAACAATTAAAGAGGGTGAAAGATTTTTTTGTTTTTTGCTGTATTTTTCTCTCCAAAAATTTATACTCCTTTCAAATGAAATATGTGCAAAATATTATACGCGTTACCATTTTTAATGTGCCTTAATGTTTTTACTTAAAAACAAAGTTCCACATGTCAGACTCTTACACAAACTTACAGCCTATGGTATAAACGGCATAGTTTTATACTGGATAGCAAACTGATTAACTAATCGTTATCAACAGGTTGTAATCGGCAAGCATAAATCCAAATGGAAATATGTAACAAGCGGGGTACCCCAGAGCTCTGTGCTTGGTCCACTTCTTTATATCTTTTATATAAACGATCTTCCGGACTATATTACTCATCACATAAAGATTTATGCCAACAATTGCAATTAATCGCAGTTCTAAAATCTGAGGAGGATAAAAGAACATAGCAAACTGACATAAATAATTTTGTAGATTGGTCGCATAAATGGAATATGCCTCTCAACTTCGATAAGTATAAAGTTATGCACGTTGGGCGTGGTTACTCTAAATCTACTCAAACTTATTGGATGCTTGATTTGAGTGGAAACATGATCTGGGAGTACTTCTATCAGACTACTCTAAATTAAGCTATCAAGTTGAATCAGCAGCAGCAAGAGCCAACAGTAAACTTGGTAGACTTAAGAAAATTTTTAGAAGTCGTGGACTCTTTTTCTGGAAAGTGCTCTACAAAACATATATAAGACCCCAGTTAGAATTCGCTACCCAGGCTTGGTCACCACACAATGAAAAAGACATAGCTATTCTAGAACAAGTACAGCATAAAGCAACTAAAACAATATCGTAAATAAAGCATTTGCCATATGAAGAAAGACTCTTTCATCTCGGCTTAACTACTCTTAAAGAAAGGAGAGTTCAAGGCGATCTGATTCTACAGTTTAAAATTTCAAAAGGTATTGATCAAATTATTTTTGATAACCCTCAAGTCTACGCACCATCGATTTACAAATATAATTCACTCGAACGCCAAAGGGTAAAAAACTGTTTTTACCCTTTGGCGTTCTTTGACTCGAACGCCAAAGGGTAAAAAACTGTCAAGAAAGATTTAATTTCTTCACTAATCGCATCGTGAATGTTTGGAATACGCTACCTTTAAACGCCATAAGAGCTGAATCAGTCAACTCGTTCAAGGTTAGTGTTCATAAATTAAAATTCGTAATAGATGAATGATCGGACACACGAGTGCCTGGTGAAGCACTACCTCATCAAAATATATAAATGTATTATATCATTGATTTCTGAAATAAATAAACTCAAACTCAAAGTAAATTAACCCATCTATTTTTTGCATTAGAAAAATTTTTTTTTGAGCTATTTAAAAATTCTTATCTGAAAAAAATGAAATGAATTTATAAAGAAACATTAAAATTAAACGTAGTAGATTGTATTTTAGCTAGTAAGATTAAAGGAAATTCTAGTTTTAATTTTTCAAAATAATTTAAAACATATAACATACATCCTACCAAGTATTTTCATCTGGTCTTTCACTTTACTTTTTAACAACAGGTTCAAATGACTTAAATCTTAGTTTCGGTTTTAAAGAAACTGGAGTTAGTTCCGGTTTTAAAGTTGAAGAAACTGGAACTGTTGTTTTGTTATAAAATGTCGACGATGGAACTGTTGCTTTGTTATGAAATGTCAACAAAAGCTGCGCCTTTATAACTAAAGAATTCATAACATAGTCAGAGCAAAAGGTTATCCAATGACTCTATACATTCCTGTATTTTCGAGATTTGATAAAGAACAGCTGTTCTTTATCAAAGGGTAATCAAGAAGATTCAAGATGAAAAAATCAACGTAAAAATGTTTATTTAATAAAATAAACCATTTTTTTATACTGACAACCTGTATGATTGCTTTTGCACGACAAAGTAGTTGATAATGTTTTTGTTAAATAAAACTGTGTTCAAAAAAGTTGAAATTCCAAAACATTTAGGTGTTAACTGTGCATCTGAAGCAGATTCACAGTTAACACCTAAATGTCACCTAAAAAGGCCTCTAAAAATTTTGGGGGGGGCCTAAATTTGCAGGGCCCGGGGCTATAGTCACCCTAGCCCTCCCCTTTGATCCGGCACTGTCTAAGATAATATCAATTAAAAGTAGAATGAAAAATTTAATTACCTCAAATTAAAAGATATTTTTAGTGTCCCGTAATAAAAGTTAAGATTCTTCAATGTCCTTACCATATTCTTATTTAAAATTTTAAAAGTAAATTTATTTTACTTACCTGCATGTAAAAGTATGTTTTTATATTTATAAACAGAAGTGTAAATAATAATAAAGATATATGTAACTAAATAGTTAGCTTAAATTTGATTACTTGTTGTTGTTTTTTCATTTGGAAATTTTGCTTATCTGAGTTTTGATTAATCTCTTCAAAATGATCTGTGCTCAACGTTTCTGCATTGAATGTTTGATTAATGTTTTCATTGCATGTTTCTTCTTCTTCCTTTAAAATTAATATAAAATAAAGAAAGAAAAATTTCAGATTTTTCACTACATTTGGAAGGTCAAATTATGATCTCACTTTAATAAATTGGCTAAACAATTGCCACGTATTAATTGAATCATCTTCACTTTGCTTTCTTTTAAACCATTCATTGGAGTTTTCTCTTTGTGACCATTTGTTAAAAGCACATTCTTGTGACCTGTTTGAATTGTCACGAAGATTGTCTTTTTGAAACAATTTATGACATTTTTTGTCCTATAAGAAATAAATATTTTTATATATAAATATAAATTTTCATCTTATTTTTTATTTATAAAATAAAATAAAAATGAAGATGAAAAATAGATAAAGATAAGATGAGATAAAAACTTAAAAAGTAAAAAATATATTTTTATGAATTTAAAATGAAATTAAAATAAATTTAAGTTAAAAATTGTTTTGATTTAACATTACGTGAATTTTTTTTTAAATCATTTTTATTTTATGTTGCAATAGATTTACCTCATGTTACAATAAGTTTACCTCATGTTGCAACAAGTTTATCTCATGTTGCAATAAGCTTTTGTTAGCCACATTAAAGCTAGTTTGACTATTTTGCTTTTCTTGGTAATGTACCATTTTGAGGATTTGACTGCATAGAGTTCTTAAACTTTCATTTTCACTAAAAATTAAACAAATATAAACTGATTAATAGGCTTTTAAGTATTTTTAATTTTGGAATTTTAAATTATCATCTTATTTTAAATTATCAACTTATTATAAATTATCAACTTCTTTTAAATTATCAACTAATTTTAAATTATCTCATTTTATTAAAATGTGAAAATAAAGTTGTTATGACCACCTTTTATCATTTTACTAAAAAATAAATAGTACCTACTTTAATAATAAATAGTACCTACCTTAATAATAAATAGTACCTACCTTAATAATAAGTAGTTCCTAACTTAATAATAAATAGTACCTACTTTTTAATCGAACTGTACTGATCGCAGTAAGCTAATAACAAAGTCTTTATCTTTTGGAATTTAAGATTATTTCTATAATCATTTCCATATTCTATTGAAAGCTCTTTTTTTGGAGATATTTCTGTTGACAAATTAGTTTGTAGTTTATTATACATTATTTCAGATTTTTTATTTTCAAAAGACTCTTCTATAAACGCTATTGTTTTTAAAACCTTTATTTTTTCAAGCTCTTTTTTTAATGAATTGTTTGCTTCTTTCAACTTAGTGCACTCTAACAAAATAACGTCGTGAGTAGTCCGAAAGTTTTTGATTTCACCACGCAATTGGTTACGTTGATTTCTCATTACCATCCATCTTTTTCTCCATATTCCAGCACAGTTGCTCCACCATGCGTTTGCTTTTTGCAATTGCAAAAGTTTTGATGTTAAGAAAATTTTTTCTCTGTCATTTTCCATGTTGTTTTAAAATCTCTTGTGTGGAAGCTATCTTTTTTTTAAAAAAAACACAAATCTAAATTGTTGTTACTTTGAAAGAAATTAAAAATTTATATTTTATAATAATCTCTAAATATTTCATTTATATTAATAAGTATTTATAAATTATTTATCTTAATTATTTGTTGATACCGATTTTATTAAATATATGAATAAGTTTAAAATTTTCTTTTTTTTTTGAGTAAATAAATAAGTCGAAAAGTTTTAATAAATCATTAAACAAAACTATAATTTTATTTAAATTTCTTTGATTTGTATTGATTACAAAGAACTATAAAGTTGTCTTTGTATTGATTAAGTATAAAACTGTCAATCAAACTATAAAGTTGTCGTAAAAAATAATGTCTGACAAAAGATTTTTTGTTAGTTTATAAAACAAACAAGAGTCAAAGATTCCAAATAAGAGCCCGGCTAAACAAAAAAATACTATTTCTTTTACTCAGCGTTTTTGGATTGTTCAGCTTTACGTGAATAAAAATTTGAGCAAAATTGCTTCATCGATACCAAATAAATTAGTTTCAATATCTTTCATCGATATCTAATAAATTAGTTTCTTTACCTTGAATTACATTAGTGGAAATTTTGAGATCATTCGCAATAGGGACAAGTTTACAATTATTGCCAGAAAACTTATTGTTTGGAATTGTTTTCCCGTCAACTGACATTAAGTACATCAAAGATCGTTCAATCGTGTGCAAGGCACAAACTAAACAGATATGTTTAGTTTAAAGTCTCCTTTTCGGCCTTAAAAATTTTTATGTAAATATATGTTTAGTATTTAACATTAAACATTTACCTGTATATTAAAATTTTTCGACCTATTTATTATTGCACATTTACTTGAATTAACATTGGTAAAATCACAGTTAACTTTGATTGAGGTAAAAAAACTCAGTAAAATCACAGTAAAATCAACTACAAAACCTCATAAAGATGTGTTTTTTGATTCATCTCATTAGTTATCATCATCTTGTAAGCTTTGTTATCTCATAAGAGGTTAAAATTATTGATAACAAGCAGCTGAAACAAGTATCTTAATTATATATCAAGTTAAGATTATATATTAAGAAAAATTTAATATATAATCAAGGCCTTTGAGGACGCTAATAGCTCCCGGATCAAATATTGAGAACTGCGGCTCTATTTTAAACTTTAAAGTTGTTTTAACGCAGAAATTATTAATTACATTGTTTTTCTGCTTTACTATTAATTCTCTGGGTTGAGAAATTTGTATCTCAAACCTTCTTCAATCGAAATTATCAAAAGATTAGTAACGCAATCCTGGTCCATGGTTGAATGGAGAGAGTTTTTAGCAATCTTCAGTTTGCTAAACGATCGTTCACTCTCAGCAACTGACATAGGAATAGTGTTGAAAACCCGGAGCATGATTCAAGTGTACGGAAAAAGATACTCAAGCTTCTTCTTGAAGATTTGATTGAGTAGCTGCAGTAGATTTCCTTGCTTAAAAAATAAAATCTTCTTCAATGAGATCTTCTTTGTTAACAGTTCTAGTGCAAGTTTGCAAACTTTATTTTGAACGGAAAGATTATCATTATTTAACCAGATAAATGAAAAAATATTGCCAACTGCTTGCCTCAAATCTTGAATCAATCAGACTATCAAAATCAAAGCATTTCTGACATTGATCATACAAACAACACATCTTGGAGAAGATTGATTTTCTTCAGGTAAACTGGTTTCAAGGTCCTCAAACTCGTTTTCTTCAGATGGTATGTAAGACCAAGGCAAATAGATGAAAAAAATAGATGCAAATTACAAAAAACAGGGTAGCATTTCTTTGAAATTCTTTCTTCATACAGCCGGATCTTTTCAATCGTTGGATAATTTTTTTGATTTTGCCGGACAGGTTGGTTGTTTACAAGGAGTTGTAGTTTATACACACCGTATTTGAATATATGTTGTTGCAAAAGGTGAATAAACTGCTAAAATCTTTGATGACAGTTACCTATATTAGTTTTGAGGCGTCAATGTTTCAACATTATTGTTGGTTTTATGGTCAAGTTGATAAACATTGAAGTAGGTTTGATGAGATTGAGTTAGAATCTCTCGAAATATTTTTTGAAAAAAAAAAGTTTTGTTGTTACTTCTCCACTAAATTGGGCTACAACACCTGATTCAAAGGCTTCTTGAATCTTGTCAGCCGGAAGTAGGCATAAACCCATTACTTTTCTAGCCCACTTTTTGACAAGAGGTGAATGCCAATAAAATGGAATCTGAAAAATGTTTCAAATGTATTTTTATCTCTCACACACACACTCGTTCTCTCTCTCTTTTGTGCAGATAAGCACAATAATTTCTGTCTCTTCTTTCTTTCTCTCTCTCTCTCTCTCTCTCTCTCTCTCTCTCTCTCTCTCTCTCTCTTTTGCTTGTATGACGTGATCTCTCTTGCAAAAGAAAACGTTTGAAATATCTGTATGCATTTTTTTTGCTTTCCCTCCACGTTATTTTTAGTGCAGGGATCCATAGCGGCAAGAAAATTTCCATTTTCTTTCCTATTCACCATTTCACCTGCAAACATAATTGTATATAATAATTATAATTAAGTTAAAATAATTAAATAAATAAATAAAAATGATATTGAGAGAACTTTATTATAAATAACCTAGAAAAGCTAAACTCCTATTCAAAAAAAGAGTCACATCTAAAATTCATAAAAAGTTGTCCTTTATTTAGCTGTTTCAGAATTTATTTATTTTTGGAGCTCTGAATCTATATCAGTGGAGCTGGCAAGACGAATGTATGCCTCTTTCCGATCCACGGAGAAATTTTTGGTGCAATAAGCTGGATTGATGCTGCTTCACACAATCTATGAGTTTTCTCCATTGATCCCTAGCTCCTCAGTTCCAATGAAGAAAAAATAATTCCCCACTTTTGAATACTACTTTCGTACCCAAGAGAGAGCAAAAAAAATAGTTGAGAGCCTTGGTAGTTGAGCTCCAAAACATAAAATTCTCTTAACTTTTTCCTCATTAGGTAAAGATGGATAAAACACATTCAAATGAGAAAGATTCTCTATTTAGAACCACGGGAATATTCTCGTTGTGAAAAAAATGTGAAGTGCGCACTTGCCTCACTTTAGCAAGTTAGATATTAAATTAAACGCATTAAATTAAAATTTCAACATATCCACCAATAATTTGAGCAAGAAATTCTTTTTTTTCCAATTGTGTTTAAAGTTGACATTCTGTGTACTTTAAACTGATGCAACTCGATGCAAAAACTCAAATACCTAATAACTGGCCGGGCAAGACGGCTTGTTTGCCAAAAAAATGCGACGCTATGATTTCTCTCTGTGCTTCAAAAGTCAAATACTACTTAAAAAAGTAGCGCTTTTATTGTGAAATTGTCACTAAATGTCTTGTTTGCTTTAACTTCTTTAACAACTGCGTTGTTCACCCATGGAACGCGCTACTTAACGCTGTTGTCAATGCTATCAGCGTCGACTTTTTGGTATCTCCAGTTTCCTGTATAAAAAACAGATGAACTTTAGTTTGAAAGCAACTGAAGTCATTGGTTTTACTTAATTTTTGAAAAAGGTCACCCACCATGAGTCTTGATTGCACACTGGCTCTCACATATCAGTGAATTTTTTTTTCTTCAAGAGTATATCAACCTGGGTCTCAAAAGAACCAGAATTTCAAATAAAAATAAACTGCCTAAATTTTAAATACAAAAAAACAAAAATTTTTAACTAAAAATTGAAAAAGTCGTTTTGTATGACATTTTGTTTGCAATATTTTTGAATTATGAATTTGAATCTTTTAAACTAATTATCTGCTTTCCATACAGGAAACTGGAGATACCAAAAATTTACTAAAAAGTCAAAACCCTAGTATCGACTGTTTCAAAGCACGAGTTAACATGTCTAATTGTTCATGGGCTTACAGAATACATTCGGTTTCGTCTAATTCAACTACAACTGAATCCTACTTTTTCGTAAAAAAAAGTTTATAATTAATTATAATAATAAAATTTAAATTTAATTTTTTTTTTTTTTAATTCTTGTGCATTTTTATTTCGAATACTAAAGTTTTAACCTCAAATAAAAAAACTAAGCAGATCTATTTATTGCCCTTCCCCCTCTCGAAAGCTCTGTATATAGAGGTACGATATTTATTTTATAAAGTATTTTTAACAAACATTTTTCAAAAAAGTGTGTAAACAACATTAGCGCGGAGTGCGAGGGGCCACCATAGCATAAGCTGTCGACGTGAAAACTTAAGTTGTTCTGTAAAATACGTTGGAATTGCCCTAAGTAATGTTTTAACCAGATTCATCTTCATTAAATAAAACTAACTTCATTATTTGCTACAAAAAAAAGATCCAAGGTTGAACTGTTTTATTTTATCGGAATTTGTTAAATAGTTATTTATTTAAACACGTTTTTTCTCAACTTTAGAAACAAAGTAGCATTTGTGACATGAAAACTTAATTAACTGTTGTCATAGTAATATGTGTTGTAAAAGTGTAAATATTTATTACAAAGTTTACAATGACCAGAGTATGAAAAAGTTCATCATTCTGACTTTTTATCTTTAAATTTTTAATAGTAAATTCATATTGTGTTGAACAAATTTAAATCAGTGCAAAAAAAAAACTTTTTGAAATTCATCATACCGTTTTACTTAAATAAATGTTTGAAGATGAAGAATAAAAATTTAAAAAATTATTTAAATTAATATTGCATTTTTAACTGCAATTAAGTTGTATTTAACTTAATATAGCATTTTTAACTGCAATTAAGTTGTATTTAACTTAATATTGCATTTTTAACTTTTAACTAAAATTGAATTAGATTTACTAAAGTATGCAAAACTAATGCAAAGCACCTTTTTTCCGGAAAGGTCGGAATTTTGTTGGCTGGTAATTCAACTACAGCAGCAAAAGTGGCTGGTGAAGCCGTTCTTACAGAAACCGAAAAAATTTTTTCTAACGTAATTATTTGGCTACAAACTGTAATTTAAAAGAGACTCGAACCTTCTTTATATTATATG